TTTCTGGGCAATTCTTGGGTAATGTAGCAGTATATTCCAGTGTCATTAAAGTCTTTTTTCGGGCATGTATTATCTTTTCCTAAAAGTTGTTGGCTTCTTTTCCCATGGTAGAGCTTGGTGCTTTTTTTCTAAGTCTCAATATTTACACAAGGGCACTGTCTTTAATTTCGTTACCCAGCCCCTGTCGTCAATTAGGTTTTCATCATTTTTGCACATTTCCCATCCCGGCAGGGAACTTTTTATATTGTAACAATTTCATGTTACATCTTTTTCAAAACTAAGACGTTGATGGTCATAGGTCATTGATGGTTATATTTATATAAACTTAAAGATAACTTTTAAAAACTGTCCAGCAGATTCCTAATTAGATCAGATAATCGTACATGTAGGTGAAAATTTGTAGGGTAGGCCTATAGGACTTTGCTGGCAAGTGGAGACATCTCTTATACAGTATGCTTAGGGAGCGCTTGAGAGGTAGTATTCCGCTCCACATAAAATAAAAATACGTCATAATATATTCTCCGCATTTTTTAAAGCCTCTACCAAACATTTTCAAATTTGAAAGAAATTATAGGCCTTAAGAAAAAACCAATGGACACAACCATCTACGAGAAAGTTGACAGATTACATAAGTGAATTGAAGGACAGATTTGGTGAGAAAAGGAATTAAATAACCTTATCCTAATAAGATTACTTTTGGCAATTCAATTTGTCACATAGAATCTTTTAAAAAGCATGTATTTCAAAGTGGTTTGACTTATTGTATATATAAGGTCAAAATATTATGGTCCTAATGTTCACAATCCTGAATATACAGTTCTATTGCTTTTATCTGGTGCTTACATGCCTTGCTCTACCGTTAGCTTAGTTTAAAGGCAGAAATGGGGTAAAACTGAGTGACATTGCCAAATATTGGACTTAGAATAGAGTACTGAAAAGAAAAAGATTTAGTATTGAATAAAAGATTATGAAAGGAACAATTACAAAGTTGAACTATATCATATTTCATCTGTATCTATATAGACAAGTTTTCTTTTATCTATTATATATTACTATAGACAGTAGATTAGTAAATAAACATATACCTTTTATATCTACTATTTCTTATTGATGTTAGATTATAATATACTAGACTAGCTTATAAATGTGAATCTCATTTTTCATTTTCTAAATCAGGTGTACTGTGTGCATCAAATATCAGCTTCCCTTAAGTTGTTACCTTTGATAGACGAAAGAGAGTGCACATAGTTAACCATAAAATTAGTTTACATTTTCATGCCGATTTGCGTTAAAAACTCTGGCAATATCTTGGTGCCATCCTGGAAATGCTATGGCATTTACAATGTTATGATAATCTTAGGCTATGTAAGTTTTTATTAAAAAGGTATGTTCATTTAGTTGTTATCCATTTCTACACTGTAAAAAAAATTTCCTTCGATTAACAGAAAAATTCCGGCAGCTGATTTACCAGAATTTAAATTTTGCCTTCAGTTATATAACAGAATTTCTTGTAAAATATTTGCTTCAAATAACAGAAATATTTTTACGACAAAATCTGTTAAATTACAGAATGACTAATAATATTTCCTGTAATTAACAGTAAATAGGAAGGATATTCTGGTAAATCTGCTGCCGGAATTTTTTCTAATATTTCCTGTAATTTAACAGAAAATAGAAAGATATTCTGGTAAATCTGCTATTTTTCCTTCCAGTTCTGTAAGAGAACATAATTTTAAAAGGATATTCTGGTAATAAATCTATTACTGCGGAACTAACATTCTGTTAATTTAAGAACAAAGTCCGTAAATCAACAGAAAAGTATGTATATCAGCAGAAATTTACGTATATCAACAGAAAATTTTTACAGTGTATGTTGAGTCCTAAATTTGCCTTCAACAGATAAACTGCGTTTTAAAACTGAAATCTATGTTGTTTTGTACAGTAGTATAATTGAGCAAATATACCTCCATCGCTTGTACAATTAAATTGTAGCCCATCACTAATCTTATTCTGAATGCCCCAAAACAGTGGTATCATTTGAGTGAGTCTTGTAACTGAGTTTGTCTATTGGGCAGCAATGTGAGAGAATGCCTGTGGTTAATGGTATTCTGTTATATCTAAAGATATGATCTCATATAATTATATTAAACACCTGTAGAAGAAGGCTAGTCATATTAAATTAGTGTTTTGAGTACAGAGTCCAATTTAATGAAGTGATAATGTAATGATGTAATGAAGTGATAATGTAATGATATAATGATGATAAGTTATGATTTGATATCATTTTATTATTTTTATCACTGTTATTGCATTTTAATTTGTAACCACTCTGATTTAATTAACTTTCAACGATCTTATCTTTATAATGGCTAATTCAATTAACTCAATTTTGAGTAGTGTTTTTCAAAAAAAATTATTTCTGAAAGTGTTTCTGATTGCTGAAACTGAATGATATCAACTGGTAAAGCAAACATTCATACATATTTCTTTAACTGTACCAAATGTGATCAAGTATTGAAAGGTCATTGCACCGAATATCAGCCTTTATCATTGACAAGGTATTAGATATACCTATGAATAAGAGGTGGGAAGGTCTACATCAAAGCATAACTAGTAATTTAGATTACCATAAACATTTCAACAAATTCTTATTTATCCTTTGAACTGTTTTTTTCTGGCAAGACTTGTCCTATACTAGACATCATATCACAACATATTATCTCAATTTTTAAGATGGAATCTCATAACATATATTGAGTGCATTAATACTTTATTTTTTAAGGATTATTATGCATTTCAGTTTTGAACATTATTTTATGGGTATTATACATGTTCTCAGACAGAGCTCAATGTATATAGAAGTCTTAGAATTTGCTTTGCCAGATTGTAGAGATCGATTTTAACTACTGGTATCACTTTTCAAAAATATTATCTGGCAGTTTACCAGCAAGAATATAAGAATATATTCCAGTAGGGCCAGAATAAAGAATTAACGCAAGATTTCTTTTGTGCTTAAATCAAGTGATAAGAGATTTTTTAAACATGTTGTCTAATATTGCAAATCCAATCAGATTTCAGATTCAATGTTTAGTTTCTATCTTTCTTCTCTTTTACTTATAAGTACAACAAATAAAAAAGATAAGATTGTAATAAAAAATAAACTGTTGATAAATGTATCTAATACGCTATGTTAATATCATTTGTTTGACTTAGATAAACCTTCATTTATTCCTCTTTATAACCTTATGTTAGTAAGTCTTACGTCATTCATAAATAATATTGTAGTTTTGCCCAACTGATGCTTGGTCGATTATTAAATATTGCGATGTGCAATGCTTGGTTGTTTACAGAATTTGGTATGATGTTAAAAGTTATTTACAAAATGGTAATCTCCAAATGAAAAATAAAAATAGAACACCCTTAAGTGATAGGTAGCCTGTTAAATGTTAAGTTGCTAAAAGCCAATAGAAATGCCTATATTTATGATAACCATCATAGTAGGACTTACACATACTCATTTATTGAATTTTTTTTTCTGTTTTCAGGAAAGTGAACTGAATTCATTCCTGTGGACTATTAAACGCGATCCTCCATCCTATTTCTTTGGAACTATCCATGTTCCATATACACGAGTGTGGGATTATGTGCCAGAAAATACCAAAAAGGCTTTCAAACAGGCTGAAAATATTTTCTTGGAGCTGGATCTTACAGACCCTTACACAATTTCAGCATTGTCAAAATGTCAACTTTTGCCTCACGGAGAAAATTTATCCAATGTGTTGCCACAGGATATTTATAACAGATTGAAGAAACATCTGGATTATGTACGTGATGCCTTGCCAGAATGGATGACTGCTGATCAGAAAGGACGAGGACTATATCCAGATTATTTATTTAATGCTATAGCGGGTAATTGGGAAAGAAAGAGACCTGTGTGGGTAATGTTAATGGTCAATTCATTAACAGAAGGGGATATAAAATCACGTGGAATACCAGTTTTGGACCTCTATTTAGCTCAAATGTCTGAACAACAAGGAAAAGTGACCGGTGCTGTGGAAAGAGTAGAAGAACAGTGTGTTCCTTTAAATGAATTAAATTTTTCACAGGTAAGAATTCTTTTATGTAAGTTTTATATTATAAATCTTTACAATAGGTAGTGGTTAGGATCCTCACTGTCATCTCCGATCATATGTTTTAATCCAACTGAAAACCTTTTGATATGTTCAACATGTCACTTTGATAAAATTGGAGATATCTTAGCATAACAGAGAATAAACTTTGCTAAATAAATGAATGGGTACAAAGTCTACCCCTTAGACAATGCTGCTCCTATTAGCTTACTGGACCACCAGACAATAATTATGGCTCTGTGGGGTCTAGGTGTCTGCTGTTTTAGTGATGTGAAACTCTAACAAATATTATGTTATAAAATAGAGTAAGTATTGAGTGATGAATGAGAGTATTTATTAATCAATGTGAGAGGTGAAGGTATGTTATTTTTTTCACTAGAACTAGACAGTATTATAACAGGTGTTGGCTAGAAATATATCACACTGTTTTCTATTGCTCTTTTTATCTTTTGGTAACAAATAATGATAATAATTCACTCCAGGCTTTTTTCAAGTCTGATACAAAAAGATTACTGTTGATTCCTAAAGTTCTTGTCATCAATTGATAGCTTTGGTAATGTCAAACTAAAAATATTGGAGATTTTCAAAACAATGTGGTTCAGAGAGTTAACTGCTATGTGTATTTTGGGACCTGGAATTTGTAGGTTATGGTCATTTAAATGTAAGAACAAACAAGTCATAGAGTTGAGAAGTGTAAAAAAAAACTACAAGTGCTGTACAAGATTTTAACCGTCTGAAGATGATATTGAGACCTCAATAGTTTGCCTGTTCAGACTTGATTTCAGTGCCTTTGAAATCTTCATCTTTATATTCAAGGTTGTATTTACATCGTATTCCTACTGATACTGTTAATTCCATGCTAAATAGCGGAGAAATGATACCGATAATAGTTTTTAAATTAGACTAGTTCAGTGTTTAACATCTGCACAACTAATCACCGCCATTTTTTATTAACTCAACTCAACATGGCCTCAACCAATAAACACATGATTAGAATGCACATTGAAGTTATTATTTCTGCTAAATCTCTAGTTTGGATTATACTAACATCTCTAGTTTGGAATATACTAATATTTCTAGTTTGGAATATACTAACATATCTAGTTTGGAATATACTAACATTTCTAGTTTGGAATATACTAACATCTCTAGTTTGGAATATACTAACATCTCTAGTTTGGAATATACTAACATCTCTAGTTTGGAATATACTAACATCTTTAGTTTGGAATATACTAACATCTCTAGTTTGGAATATACTAACATCTTTAGTTTGGAATATACTAACATCTTTAGTTTGGAATATACTAACATCTCTAGTTTGGAATATACTAATATCTCTAGTTTGGAATATACTAACATCTCTAGTTTGGAATATACTAACATCTCTAGTTTGGAATATACTAATATCTTTAGTTTGGAATATATATACTAATATCTCTAGTTTGGAATATACTAACACCTTTAGTTTGGAATATATATACTAACATCTCTAGTTTGGAATATACTAACACCTTTAGTTTGGAATATATATACTAACATCTCTAGTTTGAAATATACTAACATCTCTAGTTTGAAATATACTAACATCTCTAGTTTGGAATATACTAATATCTCTAGTTTGGAATATACTAACATCTCTAGTTTGGAATATACTAACATCTCTAGTTTGGAATATACTATGGTATATGACTTCTGATCTGTCTGTCTGAAAAGAGTAATATTCAGTAGACACCTTTGAATAAAACAACTAGAAGAATGCTATTGTTTAGAAATGTTGTAATTTTTACTAGGTAAATGATATTTGTATAGAAACAGACAAGCAATTGACAGAATTCCAGAAATATTATCCATTATAACTGTTTGTACCTAATACTCTCTCAACCTCATTTCTACTCTTTTAATGTTGAAAATCACCTCTATTTCTAGTTCACCTATTCTGTTTTTGTCTGTGGAAATGAGTTCACTGATAAGGAGAGATATAAATAAAACTTCAACTAATTTATTTCACCATAAATGTTCATGTTCCTTAATATTCAATTTCCATTATATTCTTTGATGACATCAAAAAAAGCCATACTAGAAAATGATACTTTTTTCAAATTCTGAAGGTACAGTGTAAAGAAATATTATGGATTAGTTAAAATGATAATTATACTAATATTCAGAAGGATCAGATCCAGACCAGCCATGAAATATGATCAGTTATACAAAGGCCAGTAGACATTAGAACTCTTAAAAGCATTGCTCTTTATTAATGTTTTTTCGATATTTTTCTATGAGGATAAGCGCCTATGAAAAAATGTTTTAACCCTTTACAAGTCTTGAATGATACAAAAAAAAATATATTTTCATTAGCACCAAACTTTGACGATATGTTGTATTTGGATTCTTCTTTTTATGAAGTAGCTTTGTATATTAAGTGTGGGTCTTAAACCCTAGATTGGCAGACCCACATAATACCCAAAATATCAGTCTCTACGGTTAATTATTTCACCGCTTTAGTTTTGAATTTTGACATTTCTTGCTTTTGATATGACAATTTTATCATGGGGTGGTCCTAGTCAAGGCTATTTCATACTCAAGTACATTGGTTGAAGAAAGCCATGCAGTGAACATCAACCATCATCAAACTGTACTGTGGGATTTTGAATGATGAATATTTTTGGGCATATATATCAATTTTTCTCCATTTGACTGCTGTAGGCCTACATCTGGAAGTGCCATTTTGCAATTTTTTATCTCAAAATTTTCAAACTTCAAAAAATATACATTTAGTTTGCAGAAATGCATGTCCAATTTATTTGTAGTTTTTTCTTTTTTTTCACTCTTTGTGGTTTGCTCAAGTACTCTTTGGGTTGACTTTAAAGTTCACAACTGTTACACATTGAATGAAAAGCTTTCTATATTTGTAATGTTATTATTGGCATTAGACGTTTCATAAATAGAGGGAAAAAATGTTAAACAATATTTAGATATCCTCAGTGAACATAGGTTCTTAAAATCAGTATTTCTTCAAAACAATGTAACATTTTTAAACATGGTTTATTTTAAGATTTCTTTTATTATCAAAAAATAGAAATAAAATTGGTATATATTTATTTTTCTGATATCGTGATACATGTATTTAATGTTTTAGATTTACAATTATTTATTTTTGTTTGATTGCCTATAAAAAACAATTTCTCAGTTTTCATAAGCAGCTGTACACATCTGCCGGACAATTCTTGATCAATGCTTGACAGTTTTGCTAACCTGAGTAACTGACATCATCATGTTTTGTCAGAAGTTCGTCATTGCTTTATGTTCTGGGATCAATACTTTATTGAGCATCATTCCTACTTTCTGTAAAACTAATGGGTGATTGAGTGTAATATGATCCAGACTTGCAGCATTGCAAGAATACCAGCATAGACTTTTTGCCATCAGTTTGACCAATCATACCTTAGTCTCAGAAATTGGCAAATGTGTTCAACTGGATGATAGATTATAGCTACACAATTTTTGGTGGAAGGTATAACATGTGCAACAGATGGCTACTTGATATTTTGATTAAATCTAGGAATTGATCTGATTTTCCCTGATCAACAAATCAGTTGATGGAAATCCAGTTGCTCTCAGATTCTGACAGTTGCAAGGTAGATCCGAGCTTCCCTTTACAACCTCTGTTATGAAGTCTTATATTTTTTGTCAATTCACAGAATACTAATCTGCTTAGATATGCTGCTTTGGAAATCTCTGCTGTTATAGTCAAGATAATTGGCTCTGAGACTGCAATTAGATTTGGTGGAATGAGTCCATCCTGTCTTTTAAGATCTAAGTACGATAATGCTTGATCTGACCCAGAAAGATGAATTTCATATTCAAGATATGGAAAAGACCTGTGATTGAAACCTGCATCAAAAAGTTGAAAATGCTGTAAAGTACATTAACCAGTGTATTTCTAAATTAAGACAATCATTCAATAGAGAGAGTGAAACGTGACAAAAGGGGCATTTTTCAACCATATTGTTTAATCAGTTCATTGTTTTGACTCAATACAATGTTGATGAGTGAAATTCTTACAAACATTAGAAGTATTCTGCTCTTTAGATAAAAACAGTTGATAACATTACAAAAAGAACCTGAAATGTTTAAACTCTTCTTCCTACATGCTTAACTTGATTAGTTTTTCCAATACCTCCCACTATAATGTCAACATTATGTTTAACTTGTTTTGCCCACTTTTGCAGGTGCATCAGTTCACAGAGCAAAGATAACAATTGATTTTTTAAAATATATTTTCTTTAAAAATGAGGAAGAATTCAACCTTTTATTGATAAAATCTAGGCCAAAATGGTTTCATTCTTTGTTATAGATTAAAGTTGAATATACCAAAGATCTTGACAGTGGATCAATCTGACTTATAGCCGTTATTTACCTAATTTGGTTCCTGTAAGACATACACTTGCATCCCAAAGTGAAAAGGCAAAGGTTCCAAAAATTATTCAAATGCAATGCTTAAGGATTAAATGTGGATTATCACATGTTAATTTGATTAGATTTAACTAATTCAGCGTTCATCAAACAATGAACACAAAAAATACTACATTTGATATTTTTACATATAAATAATTTTTGTGAATCTATCACCGTACTTTAAGAATAAAATTATTGCCATAACGTTATTGTCACAAAAGTGAGAAAAAACAGCAACACAACTCCTGTCAATTAACTTTAAGCCCAGCCCCTACGTTGTTAGGCTGACGATAACATATGAATACAAAACAACAGAAATAAAATAGTGCAAGGTTAATTGAGTCCTTTTTTACAAAAAAATGAAAAAAACATTTTAGTTGTTCCATCATCTTGTCCTTTTTCAGTTGAAAGTTTTTGTGTATTCATACGCCGAATCCCAAGTTATCACAGAAGATCACGTCATTATGTTGATCATCATGACATCATTATGTCATCGGAATCACTATAGAAATATGTAGTTCATCAGTAAATGAATGCAAATTTTTCACATGGGTTCACTGTAGCAAGTGACAATAAAATGTAAATATATAATTATGAATTAAAGTTCACATCTTTGGGCAACTGTTGTGACATAGCTTTTTTATAGTAATACGCCTCATTTGCACCCTGGCTTCACAAAATTTAACTTTGTATTTCCACCTCAGAGTTATAGGCTGTGATATCATTTACAGAAATTATTTCATTTGTAAATTGTATCTGCAGATTATGGTTAACCCTTTAACCTGCAAAACAATTCTGCTTTTGTTCAAAGTTAAGGTTTATGGCAAACATTAAGTGTAGTGTTAGGTTTTACACGATTTAAAAGACAAATGAACCGAATTTGATCCAGTTTTATGAGGCTTGCGTGTGGGACTAGAATAATCAAGTTACAGAATATTTAATTTATGTGACAGTCCAAATTATTTATTGTAATTAAAAAATCTGCTCTAATGTAAAAGGTTACTAGTTTCTCTTGCAGAAGTCAGGAGTTAGCTCTTCAATGTTGCAAGGTTAAAATAGACATCACTTTTTTACTGTGTGGGCTGAATGATTGGGATATCACATACTTTGCATAATATACATTAATAGATCACATAATGTTATCAGAAGGCAGTGGTGTTTAAGGTTGGAAGAATTCTGGAGGTTATAAAAACAGCTAATGAAGACTGCTTATTTAAAGGTAGGCCTATGGGTGCACCATTTTTTGGCCAATCATACTTAAGTCTCAGAAACAGAAATTTTTTAGCTGAGCCAATCAGTAAAAGTCTTCTCAGATCACCATCGAAATTTGAGCCTTCAAATCCATGTGTATCCAAAATTTACACATATTGAATACTCAAATCAATCTCCAAAATGGCACAATTGTCCCTTTAAAGTTATTGTGGCACTAAAAAAATGCAGCCAATAATTAAAGTTATTATGCAATGGTCAGAAGTGTCCATAAAACTTGATGATGAATGGAACAATTCCTTAGGTCTGGTTTGTTATGTGAATACAGCATAGCAAGATTATGAAGAGAGTGGTAATTCTGATACCAATACTCACTTAAGGCTATAGGCTACATTCAATGTGACTATTTTGTAACAAATCAAACATATTATTTTCAGTCAATATCTTAAGATATTTATTTTTTATGTGGCTGTACACAAATATTTACAGCCTATGTTGATTGAGATCTTGATGCAGTATAAGTCTGTCCTGAGACAATATAATTTGATATGAGTTTATCAGGTTATTCTACTATTAATGGAACCTCAGAAGTCAGATGGTAAGCTTTAAGTGTCCTCATTCATAAAAAAGATGATGCGATATCTTTTGAATCCACTTAACATTCATACTTATTTTACTCAGATGTAGTTTTAACAATATGACAACCTTTGACCGAGTGATAAAAAATTCATGTTGAATGTTTCATTCATAATATTGGACCACACTGGAGGGACAAACATTCTTGTTTTTAACATAGCCCTGAAAAAACCACTGTAGAAACAGAAGGCAACCTGTTGTGAGGGTAATTATGTTTGACAGTTAAACGTAACTGATATATTAAAGGGAGATTATTCTACTGGTTGATCAAAGGAATGTTTATGAATAGTGGCAGTAATTTGAGAGGGTAGTTATGATATTTGAAGATTTTTTTTACATCATGTAGAGAATGTTTAATGTGGATAGATCAAGTTATATTGTATTCAAGTTATTTATACTAATATATTGCTATACCTTTAAGTAATTTCAAAATTGTCCCCATAGAATAGCCATTAATTAAATTTTAATGATCATTTTGAAAATAAGTCTTTCAATTTAAAAGAACTTTCAGAATATGCTCAAAGTATAAGATCCCAAGTCACTTCTGTGAGAGTAATAATATTCTTATCATGAATCTGGGTCTACTGATTTTGTCATTGAGAATCTATTCTGCTGTATATGTCTAGATTCATTTCTAGCAGAAATAGTGATTTCAAGACAACTTACTAACTTCGTATGGACCAAAATTGATTGAATATGTTCTTGTAGAAATTGATCTCAATATATTTTAAATTGAACCAAAACCTAAAGACTACAGAACTGTCAGAACCCTTTCTAGTTGCTTATGAAATACTCACCCTTTGAAAATACTGTAAAATGAAAATTAATGAATTGAGTAAGATTTACCAACAAAAGGTACATCTAAAGTAATTAAGTGAATGAGCTCTAGGCCTACGCCTGTGACTATAGATCAGTTCAACAATACAATGTTTAAGTACTTGTGGTAATTAATCAAGGGTTAAATTAATTAATAGAATTTACAATGTCAACAATAGATAACACTCCCTACAGGAGTTGGGTGATTGAAAAATTTGAACCTGTTAGATAATTTACCTTTTTAACTTTCAATGTAGAAATATTTGTATATAAGTATGCTGTATACATACCAATTAAAGGGAAGGGAAGGTGACTTTGTATCTGGAAGCATCTGGTATTGGATCTTGCCATTGACAAGGGGTTCAGAATCTGCCAAAATGCAATTGTTATCAGTCTGTCGACCTGAGCCAATCTTTAAAGTCAGCTGGCATATTCATGTTTCTCCTCGACTTGAATTTTGAGTAGGTTCCTGAAAAGTGTTGGCTGATATGGGAGAATGAAGCTTTTTTATTTTAAGGTATCTAACCAAGGTACCTGTTTTATAGCACATAGTATGATGATTATTTTACAGAGTTGATTAAAGATCAAGATTTGTATCCTATTATACACATATATTTATCATGTTTTGTTAATACTGTACATTCTTCCTTCTTTGATTTTCAAAATTTTTCTCTTAAACTATGTCGAGATTAATATTTTTAATATGTAATGTTATTCAGCACATACACACACTTAAAATATTCTGAAGAGTGAAAAAAATATTGATATCATGATATAAATATTAAACCTTTCAAAAAATAATTAACCAGCTTAAATGATAGTTTTAGAAACAGAAATAAACCTACTCCAGACACAAATAAGAAAATAAACATAGATCAAATGTCATGATAAAATTTTATCATCTTATCAATAGACATTTTAATCTTGAGTTTAATCTCTTTAATCTCCTGCCTAATCCATCTTAATCCTGGTAATAGTTAGAATAAATAGATATTGTTTAAAATTCTGATAGGTAATCTGTTAACCTAATAACTTTATCTTAATGATTTTTCTTTTTCATTAAAAATAATTCAGCACACCTGAGACAAATTGAGAATATCTCAACATACTCACTGCAGTTCACTGAGTTCACTTATTTAACTTCTGTGCAAACTAAGTAAGTATAATTTCAATGCCGACAGACCAAAGCTCTTGCCAGTGGCCTCGCCTATTGTCTTGCTCAAGAATTCTTTTAAAATCTTATAAAATAATACTGAACTTTAAATTAACCATTAACCATAGTCAGAACTTATGTGTATTAAAGATTTTAAGAATAAATTGCAGCAATTTGATTCCACTGACTTTAAATCCTGATAGTTAATACCAGGCCAGAAGATAAATGCTGGCACCAGATTGGTTGTAATTGTACGTTTCTCCTGGATTTATCATGATCTTTAGGCTATAAGACAATTTTCTTTAATCAATTGAACTTTTATAGAACAATTAATAGTTCTCTTTGAAAAGTATGATTGAAGTGTCCTGTGGGGAAGTTTTTAATTTTCTTTGAATTCAAAAGTGATAGGAGATGGAATGAAGCAGTTAAATAAATTTCAGACAAAACATGGTATTTTTCCTGATCTGTAGGAATATTTTCAGACCCTAAATCTTTTTGGCTTCTATATCTTTCCCTGAAATTGAATTTTTGAACATGTGATATGTAATGATCCTTGTTAAAGATAGTCTAAAGCGAGCTTTATCAGCTGGCAAAGCAAATATTTACAAATATATCCTTTTGATATGCAGTGACAAAGGTAGGCTATCAACTGTAAATATACATATTTAACATTTAAATATCTAATCTTACTCCAAACATTATGTAATCAAAACAACATCAAAAACCTTCACACAGTAAGAATTTAATAAATATAATAACATAATGTCTTTATGTATGATAAGACTAACTGAAAATAGACCATCAAAGACTTCATATCAATCATTTAAAAGCTTTGGATGCATAAATAATTTGAGGTAATAACAAATTTGATAGAAATATTTCAATCATTTTGAAATCTTGATAAACCATGTATATATTTATCAAATTATGAATAAACCTTTTAACACCCCCACTCTCTTCTTAAAAAATATGTAAATTTGCTTATCAGTGATTTCTTAAGTAGGTATTTGGTTATTTAGATTGTATTTTACTTAGACAAATGCAAATATCAAATAGCCTCGGCTTGTTTTCGAAACCTAAATTATGTATTTGTAAACATACTATGTATTATGAATAAAATATTGTTTAAAAAAATATCAAATACATATCACAAAGCTATCTGGTCAAACATTGCACATGATTATTAACAACCATTAAAATAAATATGAAAAATAAATTGATATTGTACCAAATAGCCAAATCTCAGACAGGAACACCAAGTTGACAAACCTGGTTGTCAAGTGGCATTAAGTTCCAATACCAAAATCCCCAACACTGGATTTAAATTTGATGTTAAAAATGAAATTGTCTGTAAGAAAAAAATTTATAAGATTTAATGTAAAATTTGTTGTCTTTTTTCAGGTAGTGTTTGCATTAAACCAAACACTATGGCAACATGAAATTTACCGTCAAGGGAAGGAATCCATGCCGTATACAACTGATGATTTAATACAGCATTATAACTGTGGTGATTTGAACTCAATTATATTTAATCATGATACTGCTCAGGTGCCAACTTTAGTCAATACCTCACTACCTCCTAGTGATTTACATAGGGCCCAGACTATCGATGACTATTTCCGTAATGAGCTTATAGATAAACGAAATCAAAGAATGACAGAACGGGTTATACATCTTCTACAAAAATATCCACAGAAAAGTTTCTTCTTTGCTTTCGGTGCAGGTGAGTTGAAGATTTTATATTTGTTCATTTCTAACAATAAATACTCCTTTAGTTTAGTGAGTTTTCCTGTTTGGTGCTTCACAATTTGTTTCAGCCTTCAGCTTTTTAAACCAGATTAGATATGAAAGACTAAAGCTGTATTAATTGGAAATTGTAAGAATGTGTATGTGCTGTCTGGAAAAATTTCCCTCATTGCACACTGCATTGCAATGTAGTAGGTGAAACATGAGTAAGGAATATAATACTATGAGGTTTTTTTTTCACATTTTCAAGTATTTACCACTAATGTGTTTATCAATCTTTTTGAAGTCTTTTAATCCATCTGGGTTTCATTTCAAATTGAGAAATCTGTTCTCACTCATGATATTGTACTGAATAAACTTGTAATGGGTCCTCTAACACAATCAAACTACCTCATCCAAGCTAAAGACAGGGTGTGTTCATATGTTCTCCTGCATGGCTGAAATGCTCTGATCTAATAATTGCATTGCTTACAAACTGGATCTATGTATTGGATTAAATGCTTGAACAACACAGATTTTATATAGCATGTTTTATAAGATTAATAGCTGTAATGTATTTCAGAATTTATACTTGTTATTGGAATACCCCATGACATAAAGTTTATAGTAGAAAGTAAATGAATAAGAGAATTTAATTAGTCCATTGGCCAATATACTTATGCCATTATTCAACAAGTTGTCAAGGATTTGGAGGTTTTCTGATAAAAAATATACATTGCATCGAAATGATATTGCGTGAATCCAACAAGTCTCGCGCTGTCAGTGTTTATGGGAGTCTATGTCTGTTTAGTAAAAGCACAAAATGAGAAAAACATTGATTAGCTCCTCATCAATATCAGAACTTTTGCACGCTCTTTTATAGTTTTAGTGGAATAAAAAGATTATGGTTGGCAGGGTTCAGATAGGATTTGTCGGAAACCTGAAGCAGGACTATTATTTTTTTGGCCTAATCAAATGCTATATCAGAACTTTACAACAAACTCTGTTTATCTGCATTCACTTATTTTTGCTAAAGTAAACACTATTAGATAAAATGGTGGCAATTCCCATTTATTTCCTTTACATTTCATCATTTTATTAAGTTTATATAGACAAAGAAAGATAAGGGACTAAGAATAAGGATAAGTATTATTAAGTTTTTCCTGTTATTACAGTAGCAGACGTCAAGTTGATAGTGCCATCTGGAGGCCATGTGGAGGTAAAAATTGTGAGCAGGTGGAAAGGGTGTTGCTGGCATAGTGCCATTCTCAATAAGATCAAACCTGTAATAATGTAGTTGAATTGTTCGGTCACACTTTGAATTAGTAGGTTGCAGGGCGTTGGCACAGACTACAAGTAAAATCTCATTTGGATACCTGCAGTTAATAAATGTTTATTATGATTCAGTGCAAACATAAATATTTCTCATTATTTATAAACAATAAGACTCAAAAACATGTCTCTAAATTGAAGGGATGGATGGCTTCCATTTGCATTTTTGCTTCATTTTGATTTCCTGTCCAGCAGACTATGTTTAAATAAATCCATAAAAACCTGACCATATTATGTTACTACCTCCAATGTCTGTGGTTTCAATAATTCTAGAAAAACAGATTCTGATGCAATATCAGTATGTTAAACCTCATCCTTTAATATTGCTTAAAGGCTTGATGACTAACATTATAAGTCTCATATGAGGAAATTCCTGATATTAATGTAGTATGACTATGGCAAGGTTGAAATTACAAATAATTGGTTAGAACTAGATCTAAATGAGTTCAGAATGCTGGCATTTCCAGAAAAAAATAAACAAGATGGTACAATTGAGAGGGTGGTAGTGGTTAATTATTAATTTAAATAGAATTTACATTCTAAATTTTAAAAATATTTTTACTAAGAGACATCCCTCTTGTTTTTACAGTCAATGGATCACGTCAATTAAAGTGCTTGCTCACTGTGCTGAAGGTTGTTGGTGTGTGGTTTGATCCAAGCAAAGTATTACTTCAAATATTTTATCCACAGACTGACTTTAAATACATCAGGTTACGTTTTTATCATAAGGCATTGGACAACAGCACCTTATACCATTTTTGTTTCAATACTTTTACAATGCAATATGACATCTTCTTTACAACATGATGCACAGAAATTATAACTTGTGAAATCAACCTTAAGATAATTTCTGAAATGGCTTCTTGATGGCAGGACTAGACAGAAGCAAAATGATATGAAAGGCAAATAATTACCAACAATTCTTCTTATGAGTCAAGCACAATTCTATAAAATACAGTGAAAAAATAATGATAACTTTAAAATGTAATATCAAACTGCTCAAGTATCATTATCATGCCCAGAAAAGCTGTAGGTTGACTATAAAATATACACTTCAAAGAAGATATAAGACTTTAACTGACAACATTAAATGATAAAGTTAACTTGTTTATATTTTGACTAGAATTAAAATAGAATGGTTTGTCTTCTATCATTTAAACAGATCTGACTTTATAGTCACATAAACTAAATAAAAATAGATTATAATACACCAGTTTGGCAGAGATCATGGCTAACTTACCTCTCATGTGTCTCATTATCAGACAGGTCTGTAGAAAAGATACCTGTATTCATTGTTTTCTAATTTTGGCAAGTTCTTTTCATTTCCAAACATGCATTCTTCTCTTTTTTTACAACAGTCTTTTGTGAATGTTCAAAATGCCTCAAATGTTGTAAATCAAAAAAGAGAAGCTACTGCTGTTGTCCTCATTGTATATTGTGTGATATTACTCTCCTAATCATTCAGTAGGTTCTGAATCATCTATAACCATAATTAAAATTTGAACAATTTGAATTGAAAAACTTGGTAAAATTCAGTGGAAATAGTTTGGGGTAGGCTTATTGTCTGATCAACCAAGAACATGTCACATGAAGGTAATTTACTTCCAAAATGGCATCTCAATCCATAGTATAGTAATGACGTTACATGGTACATGAGCAAAAGTCATGATATGATTATGGCAGTCATGATGAATTTGGCCTAGAGAGAAAATTTAAATGTATCTGGCACCAGAGTCTTGATGACATATATTAAAAACAAATCATTGTCATAAGCACTGCAGATTTCTCAAACTGAACAAAAAGAACCTATCATTACATAGAAATATTGTGAATAGTGAACTTTTAAGAGAAGAAAAGAATTAAGTCAATTGAGACAAATAATTTTAAAATTTAAACCAAAGGTGAAAAAATACATCTTATTACTCCCAAGTCTAATGGTGGAAATAAAATTAAAGTTTGGCACCAACTACAAAGATAATGTGAAGTGGATTTATAACAATTTAAAATAACATTCACTTTCATTTTGGCACCTTTCTTATAATAAACTTCATAAAATTCACTTGAAAGGACAATAGTCTAGAAATTTTGAATAATTAAAACTTTGAAAATACATTATATTTGAACATGTGGTTAATTAAACATAGAAAAAAACAACCTATTAAACTGATTTAAAATGATTTGATAACTTTTCAGTCTTCATATTCTTTTAGATTCGACATAGGGTGTTCCTCCAGGAGATAGTGAACGTGTACCAATATTCAGCTTTAAAGGGACATTCTGCTTTTTTTGTAGGTCGAAATTTTTTTGGGCTACAAATATCCAGCAGTTAATTTTCAAACGCCAAAAAATATTTAAAAACAGGTTTTTAAGTTCGTTTTGATTTTTGGAAGCTGTTAGAAAACTACTGTATGTCCCTACGCATTCGGAAGGTTTCAATATATTGTGCCATTAAGAAGCCAAATACCAAAACTGCTTAATTAACAAATGGTATTCTCCGTTTTTAATTAGCCCTTCTAAGACAAATTGGTTTGAACAATAAGACACATAGATATAATTAACATATTTTAGGAATATTTTCATACAACGCTTTTGATTATGAAAACATTTGAGCGGAATGTCTCTTTAAACAATACTAAATAGTTAAGTCTAGATCCAAATATAAACCTCAATTTTGTCATTTGCATGTTGTGACTTATTCTCTTTTGTAAATTGATTTGAATATAAGTATCAGAATAAGATGGAAGTGATTGAATGTTGACTTCATGCTGACTCTTAAAAGCCCTGGCTGTGGCATTAGACTTTTTCTGACCCTTACGAGGATTTGAACCCCCCGCACCTAATCACTTAGCAAATGACCATCAAATTCTATACCAAGTGAACTTTCCAAATTGAAAAAAGTTTCAACTTAACATAAGGACAAGTAATTGCATTTCATAAATTTGTAAATTGTTCAAGGAGACTTAAAAATGAATATGTTTTTTAGGCTACTCTTGCTTTCACCCATGTTTAATTGTTTGAAGATTTCTTTCAACATAATGTTATTAAAGTTATACATTGTTTACATGCCTTATGTAATTATTTTACACTAGTTCAATGGGTATTTATTTATGTCTTGAATTATCTCCCTTTCATGTTCCAGGTCAAAACTATTAAATCAAGCTTTTTGTCTGGAACATTTTGCACCTACACAGAAATAATGGTTGATTCAATTTTCATTAAGCCGGACATTTTGGCACAGGATGAAGTAATTGATTCACATAGGGTGCTGGTAAAGGTTAAGATCTTAATTTGATCCCACATTTCTCACATGATGAGAAATTTTGACATCAACTTTACACCCAGATAATAATCGAAGTGACAACACCTTGCTTCACATAGAAAAAAAAATATGCTCTTTATATATGAATGAATAGAGAAGAAGTTTGTCTAACATACAATTCAAACCAAATAAATATCTAGATTTAGTAAAATGTTTTTTATATAGCTCAAATTTGAAATACTCTTTATCAAGAGTGAAAATATTTTGTTATTATTTATTTAATTAAATGAAGACTTATGGGCCTAGTTAATCATCAACTTATACGCTGTAGGAGCTCATCGTTATTGAGGGCAAGGGGTCTAAAAACAAACTCTTTATTTGCACAAAATTGATTCTGTCCATATGCATTAATTTGCGCACTACTACGATGATAACTTAAATACATGATAACATTTGGCAACGGGGTTTCTCAACTCATCAAAGTATGATTTTAAGTTCAACAGAATCATTTGAAAGTATTACTTTATATCTGGTTTCATCCAGTTCTGAAATCAAAGTGTATGTGAAATGTATGTTGTTGATAATGGTGGAAATTAATTTGGATATCTAGAGTTTTTATCTGTTAATTAACATCATTTAATCATGTCAGGTGTTTTACTTTCATTTTCAACTTCTGACCTGATAACAAACATTTGTAAACCTTGTCGTATCTTTTGATCAGTGTATGAAACATATTCCATCTTGAAATATATGTTCAGTCAGGTTAAGGTATAGTAAGTAAAACTTCTTTTCCAGCCATTATTCTCTGATGGACTTCTTTGCCAGGAATGTAGGTCAAAAGTGCTTTATAGTTGTATATAGATGTCAGATAGAATGCAGATGTCTGAAGGCTTAAACAAAATTTCCCTCATTGCATACTGCATGGCATTGTCCATTAGAATAGAAGAAAAACATCCAGTCAATTGTGGACTATTTGTTCTCAGTTTTGTGCAAAATTGTCATAATCTTACCCACCAACAATATACCAATTAGTGGCAGTGATGTAAGATGTTAAACTGCTTTTCATTTTGAAATATAAGACTTGTAATAACTAGTGAGAAGATAGATAATTTCAAGTTAAAAATCAGTAAACCAACCACTTTCTGGAATTCAAAAAGATATTTATAGCCTTAATTATTATTATTAAATGTAGCAAATCCGCATAATTGCTTGAAATGTTGTGAAAAATAACAAATTGAGAAGAAATTCAGATGAGAATCCAGCCACTTAACTTTATCACCGAGGTTTCCACAACATTGTTTGGTTACCATATAAACATATTGTCATGGATACACCCAGTTCTTGAATCTTCTAAATAAAAGAGTCTGTTGAAAGATGGAAAGAATTTTGTTCAGTGTTTGGTCGGCAACAACTTTCATGGCTTTGTATATAGGTATACATGGGTCAAAAACACATTTTATACGCCTACATGGAAATGTAGACGTCTATTGCTGTCGCCTCTGTCTATCACATTTATTGTAGGCGCGTTAGAGGCTACAATTTTTATCCGATCTTGATGAAACCTGGTATGCATGTATATGAGATCTCGGTCAAGTTTGAAATTGGAAATAATTGGATGAATGGTTTTAAAGTTATTGCCCTTGACTTAGTAAAAACTTGTCAAATTTACTTTGCATACTCAACAGAGACTATAGTTTTATCCAATCTTGATGAAACTAATTACTGATGAGATCTCGGTCAAGTTAGAAATTGGTAAAAATTGGATGAACAGTTTCAGAGTTATTGCCCTTGTGTGTACAGCGATGTTTGAATATTGATGAATTGTTTCAGGTTTTGCCTTGATATTTTTAACATTATTTTAAATTCATTATCAAGCCACTTAAGATTTTATTATCATTTTTGACAACTGGTAGTGGGTGTATGTTACCTTGCCTGGCAAGATATAAGTAAATCTATGAACATTACTCCCATATATATGATGATTATCCAAAAAGGTACAGACAAGAACAATGTCACAAGATGGTTTGTTACATGTGTCTGTAACTTATGTATATAATTACATCCATTCCTCATTACATACATGATTTTTTTAATTAAATTTTAAAGCAGTATTTTGATACAGTGTAAATAGTTTTCATATACTGAAGCTAGATATTCCTTGAATCTCTAACTAAACTATTATGTAATTATCAAATTCACAATATTATAGATTTCAAATATACCACCGAAGACACAGTAAATTGGATCTTGGATTATTCAGAAGTTTGTTAATATCTGTAAAATTACATCAAATGCAAGCTAAAGTCATTGATGTTTGGTTGAATTGTAGATTAACTTTATGCCATGGACATGTAAAACTGAGTTCTGTATTTGTATATTTTGCAGGTCATTATTTAGGAAATAATACAGTGATAGATAGAATGAGAGAGGCAGGTTTTGATGTTCAACATACTAGTCCAGATTACACCATACCAGAGTAAGTATTCATATATCTAAGCATGTTTCATATTCCACATTAGTATTTGTTTTAATTGTAGGGAAACCAATGTTATGAATGATTCGTTTGAAAAGAACTATTGATATAGTCGGTAAAGCAAATTTTTAAGCTATATTCCTTTGGTCAATGAATTCTTGCATAGTATTGCTCATATAATTTTAAAAAGTTAAAGGGATTGCAAAGAGGTTTATTAAAATATTTTTTGATAATGAAAACTTTTTACAAAAAAGCGGAATACCCCTTTATTTGTTCATTTATTTATTATTTGATATATTTTAACAGTATTAAAGTGAAATCCAGTCCATCATCACCAAGATTAAGAAAGAATTATTTTTCTCACATGAAACCTGATTTTCCCTTAGCTTCTGATGTGATATATGGTGATGCTAGATATTTATTAAACAAACAGTAAGTCCTTGTGCAAATGGTAATTCATATTGCATGACAAACTTTCCAATATGGGACATAGATAGGAAACCAAACTGGGGTTATCATAAGCAAACAGAACTAAATTGAGCTGATGTGGTTAAAGATGGGTTTCCTTATATTTAAGTGTCAAATTAAGCAAAATATTTGATTAATTGGTGTTTCTAATGAATCATCATGTATTCTTAATCATATCATTATGTTCTTGTTGCATATAATTAAGAGTTTTAACCCATCGTAAATGTCCATGTATGTACGGTCTGGATAAACAAAAAAAAGACTTTTTGACCTTTCTTGATCGGGTCACTCATTGTAATTCTGCGGGTAATTCTCTTCTAATTTAGCTTATTATGAATTGATTATGGACATGTGAGACAAACTGGTATTTTCCAAGTCATTAGATCACATCTACTTTCTATTCATATAAGTATTAGCATTTTTAAATTTAATTTAATTAACTGGGAGAGAATCCTTTGGTGTTCAAATATTATGTCTTTGTATAAGCCTAACATCATCTTATGTGTAGGATTTTTAGTTCAGAGATCTGTTTTCATCTATTTACTTGTAAATTAATTTTTGTTGCAGATACAATGCAGATCTGACTATAAGAGAAAGAAAGAGATTATTAAGAGCTAAAAAACGTCAACAGCAACTGACACAATTATGGAACAGTTTAGAGGCTGACAGGTAAATATACATCAGGTTTAAATTGGGCATAAGATAAATGACATATGGATGACTGAAATAACTATGCTTTGAGATTTGGCTAGTAATATTAATTGAATATTGTCAGATTAAAAAGAAAATGTTTTGAATTCTGCTTGGCTGGTCAGTTAGTATAAATTTACACATTTATCTTATTGCAAAAGTTAAGAAATTCCATACTATTAGACCTTGACAATATTCTAGTTTCAGTGAAATAAGACGCAATTCTAAGAAGAAAAAGAAAAGTAGAAATCGTAAAACATTTAATGATTTATGGGTTAGAATGGAGGATGATGATGATGGGTAAGTCTGAAAACTGTATGATTCTTGAAAATATATATTTATGAAATATCGTCAACTCATTTGCTTGTCTAGGATCTTCTCATATCATTTTAATATCAACCAACGGAGATGCACCAATGCTTTTTTACTGTAGGTTTGGCAATGGGGAAGTATTGACTTTATTGACCTTATTTGAGTAAAACAACAGCAGATGTTGTCTGAATTACACCGCTTTTGCATTTTGCATTTTGTCTACCGATGGTCCATTTATTTTTTTTGATTCCTAACCCTAATTTTTATGGGAAATATTTTTAACAGATTTATCTTGCAGATATCCCTTGGTTTCTGTCAATTTGCGACTAAACTTTGACCATTTAATTTCAGCGCTAATATCATGGCACCACCTGGAGAAAGACATCAGGAATATCACAGAACTACAGTTTCTCAAATAGTTTATTCCTATTACCATGGAGGACAAACAACTCAACACAACTCTTCATTTACCCTTATGTTTGTGATTATCATTTTAATGGTGTGGTAAAATGTGTCAAACCTTTGAAACTAACTTATTTTGAACTCTGGAAACAGCATGATTTTGACAAGCTTGATTTGTGATTATCGTAATCTGATTGGCCATTTATATAAAAAAATATTTCACTGTTGAACTTGAAGGACAATTTGTTTGAAGTCTGGTGATGTGATACGGTTGTGAAGCAATAATATTCCATGTATTTTGAATGACAATAATAATAGTTTGTATATATCTGCTTGAACCAGATAATGAGGTTTGATTGGAGCGTAAGGATACAGTGTGTAAGAATACAGAAAGTAGAACTGTGTGAAAGGGAAATGTATGTTATGGTAATAATGTATTCCAAACACATTCGTTGAGTGTTTCAGTACAAAAATTCAACCCTGCTACTTGCACATTTTTATCTTGTAATACTACATGCTTAAGGAAAGTAATGCTGGCCAAAATTCACGTCTTTGAAGGGACAAAAATTCCATCAATGGCTTACAGCTATTGTTTCTGTTTATCTTTTGAAATTTTGGTGTTTCTATCTACAATTTGAAATCCACCTTCTGAGATTTTTGCTTCAGGCTCAGCAAGTATTCAAAATTTGAATCCAAAAACCATTATTCTATTAAGGCATTTGGTACTTCAGATAAACCCATATTACATTTTAAAGGAACAGAATTTGACAAGTTTCTGTCACAATCTATAGCAGATCTTGATATATAGCAAAGATAGCCTTTTGTTAAAGAGTATGTGTATGGAAAAATACAAAGATTTTTATCTTGAAAAAATGAAATGATTTCTTTTCTGGATAAATTATTTTCTGACTGTGTTTGGAATACTATTGTAGTGTTCTAGCAGTTGTATATTTATTTATAATTTATCAATGTTGTCAACTTTATTTTGTTGTATTCATTTCGTATTTAGTCAATATAATATTATCAGAATCACTATTACACAAATTAGTTATAAAACCAAAGATAGTTTTCATCAGTATTATTAGTATGGCAGTGACTCAGTAAGGTTAATACAGTCAAAGAAAATACCTTATAACGTTCATACATAATGTAAGACTAAAAAGGCTATGACGAGAGACATTTGTCTAGAGCTTTCTACAGACACTTGTCATAGATGTGATTACTGATGACAGTTTAAACCTCTGCTGCTTAAATCACTTAGAAGATTATGTTTCTTACTAGTTAACAAGATAGTCTGGTACTGTTGAACAAAAGTGCTTTACTGGCCTTGAATTACATGTATTAGCATGCTTCAAAGCATTGTAAAATCATGAATTTTCTTGGCATAATGGGTCAGCCTGTCCTTGAATTTACATCCCTGCAAATTTTGTAAAACACTTTAATTCTGTAAGTGATGTTAATTGATGATAATGGATTAAGAAACAATCTAATACCGTAGGTTTGATCAGTAGTTAATCCTATAAAATTTGATGACATACAAAAATACCTAGAAAAAAAATTGCAATTCACAACTCAGATTAAAACTGCAAAATTTGATGCCCATGAATATTTATGATTTCACATTGATGAAATGCTATGTGTTTTCATTATTGCCAGACTGTCGGAGTTGTTAGAGTCTAATATCTTTACCATATTGTATTGATATTGCATATCATCCTTTAATATCCAATCAATCTACCTCATACTGTACTTATTATTCATTACATATATTGTCAAATAAAATACTCCAATTTCTTATTGGTATTTTACTTTTATTTCATCATTAATTGATGGACAAGCATCATTTTGTTGTTTTCTGTCAATGTTAACTTAGTTTTGGTGATACCTTTCAGATTAGTTGACAAAACCTTTCTTTAACTGAAAGAACATAATTTTAGCTACATTGATCTGTATATTTCAAAAGGAATATTTCTGGTTTGTCTGAGATCACCAAAGTTGTTAAGTAAGAGCAGTAATATATGCCAAATAAATCATTCAGACTCAAATCTTTATCAAATAAATGAAATCTAACAAAGTGATTCGGTATTTATTATTATTACTGAAATGAAAGTCTCAGTATTATGATTTATACAAGTTGATACATGTAATGATTTAAAAAATGATTATATGATGATGATATTGTTCATGAATGCACAAGTTTTTTCGTGTCAACTGATGAAAACAGATTTTCACATTTCAAACAAATTTAGTTTACAATTTTATATATCAGTGGAAACAAGATCAAAGTGATAATCTCTTGCAAGCACTATTTGAATTTTTTATCTTCATTTGTGTTCCACATTTAATGGATTCAGTCTTCTATCTAGACTAGGTATACACTACTTTATTCATCTTCTCTCTTTTCAAATTTCTGTTTCTCTAATTTGATTGGCTGAAATGCAAGAATATTCGTTAAAGCATGCCACTGCAGTGGCTACAAATTATGGTCCCTTGTGTAAGAAATATTTAAAGGGGAATAGGAAGTTTGCTGCTAGCTAATGCATAGTATTGTTTTACATCTACAAGTTTTAGAATTCCTATCATTTTATTTTATCATTCATTAGGGACATTGCAACCATAATCTAAATAGGAATTATGCTTTAATAGCACACTGTGTTAGGGGTAATAGCCATGGATGTAATAACATCTAGTGGTTCAGATAAATATAAAGTCGTTATCACCAAGCTCATTAAAAGATTTACCTGTACTAAAAGAGCAGACGTATTGATGCAATAATCAGACATTCTTTATTACAGTTAAAACTTACCTGGTCAAATCCTCTTTCTTTGATCAACATATCAACTTTAGAATTATAGAAATCATAAACAAACTGAGCCATCATAGACATATCTTCTATTACCATTGGTGTAGTCACTGGGTGTTCTGTATTCTACAATTTAATTACAAAAATGTCTATATGAAAAAAAAAAAAACTTGGGAAATAGAATATTTTTGTAGTTGGATCAAAATAGCGAATACTAAAATATTTTCAAAAAATCATATGGCCAAAAATACATTTTCTTGACCAGGAAAATGTAAAAATAACATATTTTTTAAATATCAATTCTGCATTTGTCAATCTTCCAAACTAGGACATCATATAACAATAATGAACCAACCTTTCTATGAGTAGGATATTCATCTTCAGGTGTAACATGTAACTGTAATGGTCTTGTCATTAGCTATAATTAATATATTATGTTTCTATTAATTAATTTACATGTAGACAAGAATGGCATTTCAACAAGTCAAGGGACAATTCCAATAAAAGCACAAAATGTTCACATCAGGATGAGAATCATAGGGAATTTAGTACACAATACAAGTATTTACACTTGCAAAAAGTAATTTTATCCCAAAATTTCATGGTTTTGAAAACTTACACAAAGTTCCTAAATGCATTTGAAAGGAAATACAAAAACTAAGTTAATACTTACTCTATTAAATGTAGGGGTCAGTTCAAAACAGTTACTGAATAAAGAGACCCTAGCGAATATATAAAGCCCCAATCTAGCTCTGGACATAGCTACAACTAAACGTCTCACATCACGTATATGACCTACAGTTTTAGTACGAACTAATGATAATAAGATATAGTCATTCTGTTGACCTTGATACCTATCTACTGTTGTCACCTGTAATGATATAGATTAGATATTAAATTATAATATACACATTAAATAGGTATAATACAAAATACATGACATGACATACTCTTAGAGCTGCAACTGAAAAAGCATGTATATTACATGTGATAAATCTTAAAACAAAACAAATTTAAATGCAGTAATAAAGTTACGGTAAATGGAGCTTTATGTTTAAATTTTCTACTCCTCATAAAACTAATGAACAATAACAACTACATGCAGTGTACAATTATGCAAGTTCGGCCAAGAAAGCTCCATTACTTTACTCTTGTTATAATTTCTGATTGATGCTGTACCTTTAATGTACTCTGCCTGTAGCACATGGAGCCTTAGTTTATTGCCAATTCAAATTACTTTTTTTAATATCATGAGAAATCACTAATATGGGTTAATATTGTAGATTTCACTGGTATAGAAGAAAAAATATCTAATTTTTACCACTAGATTTGAGTAATTTAACACATAAAACTCTCACCTTATGAGGCTTGCCTATAAAAGGATTGTTACCACATCTTTGATGTATGACATCACGTATTAAATGTTTCTGACCATTGTAAGTTGTTAATATAGAGATCTTCTCGGCAGAATAACCCATTAATCTCATATACATAAATACTGCTACTACATATTCTGCTTCTGCTAAATTCTGCACAAACAATACATTATATTACATTACATGTATGCCTGTAGGAAATCAATTTAATTTAATGTAGTCCAACATCTTTCTTACATTAATTGATGGATGTTGTTTCTGAGGCAGAATAAGTTCATCCTTCTAGAACACCTTGACAGGCTGTTGTATTGCTGGTCTTGTCAACTCAGCATTCCTTTCTACTGGTTTACAGTCTTACAATAATCTGATATCTGATACTCTACAATAATCCCCTCTTGTCCCTGAAACTTAAACCGTACCTGATAGAAATATGGATTAGGTTCTGATTCACCAACACCATTAAAATCTTGTACATCAATTAATTGGTAATCAAAAACAAATCCGGGGTTAGCAAGCTGAAACTCTGGCTTATTCAATACATGAGGTAAACTTCCCAATTTCTTATATCTCCAATTATACAATGATGCAAGACTGAAAACAGAAAACATGTTAAACATTAGCAAACAGCAATATGGCAGCATTTAACAACTGACGCTGATTTTTAAATGAAATGGAGTTTTACATCCTACTTTTCTTCAAGTGTTTGGTTTCTACTACTTGATCACTGGCAATAATGCAGCAAATAGTTGAAGAAAAAATAAAACAAAACTAATTGAAGATCTTATCAATATAACACAGCATTCTGAAGTAGGACCATAATTTGATCATCACTCCATAAAGGGGTTCAATTATGAACAATTCAGAAAATATCAATACAATCTTTGGTCAGAAACAAAACATTTGATTGTTATTTACTTTTTAATCTAAGCTCTTGAACTATTCTGAAGAATCATGTTATTGCGTTCCTTTTCAAAAATGGAAACTCTATTCTTCTGATCTATTTAAGCTCCAGTTATCAAGAATACAGATAAAAATTTCAGATTTGGGGTTTGGACTATTTTTCCCCTAATTTTACCTTGCTCTAGCTCTACCCTGGGCATCCAAGTCTACAGTAGGAACACCAAGACGTACAAATCTAGTAAATAATGACTGTTCCATGTTGGAGAATTTCTGAAAGGCCATATTTTTAATAACTGGTGGTAATTGATGATGATCTCCTATCATAATCCATCTTTTTAATCTATTATTACCATCTTCTGGATTCTACAGAAATGAAAAAAATTGAGTTTCCATCTCTGTTTTAGAAAAAAGAAAGCTCTTTGAGAGCATATATTAAGCTCTATGTTTTATCACTAAGTTTAGAAAAATTGACATCTTGAGCTATGAAAATCAAAACAGTAACATGTATTAGTATTATCTTCTGGATAGTAGAAGTAGATTAACATAAAGTGAAGATTGATGATTAGTAATTATAAATTGTACCTGTAAGAGTAGTGGAATAAATGTTTCAATCTCTAATATCTGAGCTGCTTCCTCCATTAAAATATTATCAAACTGAAATAATTTATTACAATTTATTCATTCCAAGAATTATAAATATTATCACAATGTATTTGATGGTGATATAATCCACATTTACCAAATTTATAATAAGTGTGGAAAATTGCATCTTACTTTACATTTTGGTTACGATGTTTACCCTGTTTCCACACATACATGTCTCCAGGTTTGAATCTATCTGGTACCATTAATAAAGGCCATTTACAATATTTAATATGAGTATAACAGATGGAAACACAAAAGTTTCTTAAATCTCTCTTACCACTGCTTGAGATATTTCACTACATGAATTACAATTCAAATTTTTAAGATAAACTTGATTGTTCGATTGTTAATCATGCTAAAATACCTTGAATCCAACAGCTACCATATCACGTCTTTTTAAAGCAGCATGGGTACAAGTCATAGCTATAATTTTAGCTTCTTTAATAAATAAATATTCAGCTCTATCAGAACCACTCCTCAATAATTCAAATGCTCGGAATTCCTTAAAAAATATAAATAAATATAAAATAGTCATATCATGTACTTTATCATTTATTTCAAAATTTTCATGAAATGTGTACTCAAGAGAGACTTGGATTTATTTTCATTCTATCTTACCTGTAAAAAATATTTTTATATAAATAATTGCTTGTGTCCATTCTTGAGTCAAACAATCAAAGTAAATCTGATGATATCATAAGCCCCATACAGAAGAAGTCCATGATAATTGTGGTCTATAACAAATTTTTGGACAACTGGAAATTAAGATTAAGATAATACAAAAAAAAAAGACTTGTGTCGAGCTTATTCTTTAAATAAATTCAAATTCCCTACCTCTAATTGTGTAAAGATTTTCTTGATGTGTCTAAAACAACCTTCTGCTGTATCTAGATCTTTACTATAATCTTGACCAGTAAATAATGGCTGTGGGGCATTGTCGAAAAACTTGGTGAAGGGAAAGAATTCTTTTATTGCTGATGGTTTAGATTCCTTAAATGACAGCACATATATGATTATTTTAATTTATTCAATTTTCCGACCAACCTTTGTCCTGATATACAACCGTAAGCACAATATGTTGACTCATAAATTGATTCTATGACTTGTCTTGGACAACAGCATTCACTCATTCAGATACATATTAAAGTGATACTATGTCTTAGAATTAACATGAAATTTAAGAATTGGCAAATAAGAGCCAGTAGATATACCTGGTGTCATAAATAACATAACAGGATCCTAATATAATCGGATAAATCCAAAAAACTTAAAAATTACCCATAAATATGCAATTAACTATTGAGAATGTTAATAAAACCTCCAAATTTTGATTCTGATAAGTGTTACACATATCTGAAATTGAATCCTAAGTTAAATTATAAATAATGTGTACCTTTTCTTTAACATTCTGTAATTTACTTAAAAATTCTTCCCATCTTGATAAAACCTGAACAGTAGTATTAAAAATATCTAATTATCTTATGGAATTGATTACAGTACAAACAATCATTGAAAGAACAGTTCACTAAATCAATATAATTATGTACAAAGCTAAAAATTAAAACGATAATCGTTCATTGTAAGATTTTAAAGGAACAGGATCTTCAATTATTCAAACAAAGTTCTACATTTCTACACTAATTTGAGCTAAATACATGAGGAAATATTACAGCAGTATTAGTTTATTATTGTTCTGCTCCCAACTGTCAAGGTAAGGTAACTCCAGTAGGGTAATAAGAAATATAATGAGCTATATGTGTAAAAAATGAAAAAATTTTAAAATGAATATTTATAAATACCTGATACATATAGAAATAGCCTGCTGTTTCTGCTGTATAAGACATATCACCTTTAACACCTAAACTAGTTTGTAATCTACCAACTTCTTGTAACAGCTCTATTCTTTGTGCTAGTACATAGTTTACTCTTCCATATCTATATATAAATAAATTCAAATCAAACTTCTATGTTTTACAAACATGATTATCTAGATCAAACTTAGCAAAAAGAAGCTGGAAATAATGCAAACAGAACCTGACCTGCTAAAATCTTTCTCTGTTTCTAAAGCCTCTTCACCATGACCTAAACGTAATAAATGTCTCTCATCTATATCTAATGCCATGATTTTCTCAAATAGCTGATTCAAGGCCTGAAATATATGGAAATAGGAACATTAGTCTAAATTTCTACGAATACTGTAATTTAAGTGTCTTTAAGTGGGAAGAGTGTAGAGCTCGGGCAACATCGGTATAGGGTGTATTCTCATGCTTATTATACCAATATATTAAATATTCACCAATGAATGAGTTCTAGCCTTTAAATACTGTGACCCAAATTACCTTGTATATTTTTTTTCTATAAGTTAAACAGTAGAAAATTTATAAACACATTGACATTCCAATTCTAAATTTATTACAGCCTTGATTTTTCAAAACATATCTGATATGCCTGTAACTAAGGTATATCAACAGCCTTGATATCATACACTGTACCTGATTCGAATGAGTAACTATAACAGTACGTTGATCTGGGAAGTTGTGGTATATATTAGATATTATCTGTACAGCTACATCAGTTTTACCAGTACCAGGTGGTCCTACTACCATAGTTAAACCAGGTTGCATACCAGCTCTTATAGCTTCTATCTGGGTTGGTGTAAACCTTATACTGTTCCTAGAATAGGCAATATGTTGACAGTCAAAATCAATTTCTGTAAGTAAAGTAACATGTTAATTGGTAGAACCTCAGTTTTGTAAAAAAAAAAACGTCAGATCTGAGTGAATCTGATCAGTTGTTGAGTAATATCTTAACAAGTTATAACCATGAAGAATATCAAGACTGAATGAGAAATTTTCACTAGATCTTACTTTTTAGGTTGACTGTATTCATATGGTCCTCTATTAGGAATAATATGTGGCTCAATTGCTATTTGTTTTAATCTGTCTGCAATAGCATCTTCTTTTGACTCTGTTTTAGCTCTCTTCTTACTAGGTTCATTTTCTTGAAATTCTAACCTGATAAATATAATACATAACATGGATGTATATTGTATATCCAATTTTTGATCAAAGTTTTCTTGGACAGTGTTATTTTCTGCTACTTATATCTTTTAAAATAATCACATTCATTCAGGGCAAATCGGAACACAATTTTGTATCTTTGAAGAGATCTGAATTACATGTCTGGACAAGGTTGTAAAATATCTGAACAATATGTTAAAGATCTAAACAAGAAGTGTAAGATCTGAACAATATGTTTAGGATCTGAACAATATGTTTAGGATCTGAACAAGATGTACAAGATTTTGTGTCATGAGATCCAATATAGAAAGTCTAATAAATTTACCTAAATGGTGGTGTTTGTTTACCAGCTGCTTCACTAGTAACTTCTGTGTTGTGTTCAGGAAAACAGGATTTGAGATGTTCTAGTGATAAAAATGTATCATTCCAGTCTAATTTTTCAATCTTGTCAGGCATTCTAAAAGATAAATAAGTAATAATGAATTTTAACCACAAAGACAAACAACGAGCTAAATTCTTAGCAATCTAATTGAGTTGTGCTTGGGAGAATTTTGGATGTTGCTCATAGTGATGCAAGTATAACTCTAACATCAAACATTATGGACCAATCAAAACTCTACTTACTTTTCGTAGTGAGCAGAATCAGGATCGCCATAGCCTAAAATAAGATCATGGAGCCATTCTGGTACAACACAATCAGTATTCATTAAATCTCTCATTGTCTCTAATACAGCTTTAAAATTATTCTCTTTTGGTTTCCGCCTCATTATAATATTAAATGTTTCATAAACATCCTAGAATATAGACTTAAGTATTTGTAAAAGAATGAATTAAATGAAATGAAACAAGAGTTTTAGGCTTACACTTCTGCTCATCATTGGGGTAATTAAGATACGAGACAAATTTTGCTAACCTACTCCATTAAGATTTTTAACTGTGGAAGGACACCTGTGATACACACATCAAAACAAAATTCCTAATTGAAGTTTCTTCTGTACAAATAATAAAATCCTACCTCTTCTCCATTAACTGCTTTAGTCATATCTTGTTGATACTGGTTTGGATCTAGCCAAACCCGGAATGTTCTGGTATTACCAGTTAATTCTGGTTTAGGATCAGGTCCTGCAATGAATAAAGATCCTGCAATGAAGACACTGTGTTCCAAATTGTCCACATTTAATTGGACATAACAATCAAATATGCAAATTCAAAAACCCTGTGGGTTTAACCCCACGGACGGACTGGACCAAAGTATGATTTAAATTCTTCTCTTCACTGAGAGTAAAACTTGACAACCTCTTTACTAATAATCTGACTTTTAAAAAGAAGGCTTTTACCCTACCTTCTTCAATAACTTTGCCTGTGTCATCTAACATGCCCTCTATTTCACATCCTCTAACATAGATTAAACCAACTTGTGGTATAAAATCAGCATGGTAATCATATTTAGTACCAATAGGTTGTGTTGGTCTCACTGTTATCAAAAATGCTACGTCATGTTTCCTCATTGCTGAAAACAGAATACAAGACAATTTCATAAAGGCAGAGTCTATAAAATGAAGATTCAAACAACTGATAATCTGATTAAAATGCAAATCTAGATGTTATGTATTGTCTGACAAGTAAGCGAGTTGATGGGTTGGCATAAACTATAAAAAAAAACCTTCGTTCAGTGAAAATGAGTCATACCACCAAGCTTTTTGACTTCTGCCAAAAGTATTTACAAGTCAGTTGAATGAATCAACAGATAAGTGATGGTATCAATTAGTTAACATTCCAATGAGTGTATCAAGATTTTCTAGAAAATCTGGACTACAGCCCCTTAAACAGTAAAAAAAACGTTTAAACTAATCATTTGGATTTCCTACCTTCCCATTCTGCCTTGATTTCTCTTCTAACACTGAGATTCATAGTAACATCAGCTCTAACTTGAGCTGGATGATTTTCTCCAATTTTAGGTTTTGCCACCTGCAAATTAACAAAATGTATAAAATTCCCCTTCATTATCTAAGAAGATAACTTATATTACAATACAATAGCCAACTTCAGATCACTGAAAGGCAAAAGAAACATCACTTCTGAAAATGGTCAAAAAGTCATTTAATACATGTTCTCTACTGCTTTTTTTGGTTGGTGAAAGTCCAGATGTCTTAAATAACATATATAAGTATTTGATATATATACTTCTCTATGACTTTCGGTTTAAACAGTATTTTATTTCTATTATACATATAATCTTTAAAGAGTATAAATAAAGTTTCGGAAACAAGCCATGTTAATCTGTCACCTGACATCCTTTTGCCTTTCAGTATACAAAGCACTCAAATGGCTTAATGAAGATGTTCAATGCAGAATGCAATGAGGACCTGAGCTGCATTTACAAATAATATACAAATACCCAAAAAGCTTACCTCAACTACATTAAAACCTACTACACTTTGAGCCATTCTAGCCCAGCCACCAAATAAACAACTACCATCTTCTGCTAGCCTAATTACAAAATATATAATTGATCATTTACTTTTGTCAAATATATGTAAGACACAGAGAGGCAATATATTACAGTAAAAGTAAATGAGATTGCATTAGACATGAAAGATTCTTATAGATAAAACTAGATTTTATTTTTTTAAATGCTGTAGACTCTCCATTATATTGGAAATAAAAAGTTTTAAAGTTGAGCATTTTTGATAAATTAAAGCAGTTGAGCAATCAAAGATTCCTGAATTAAAAGAATAAATGAATAACATACCAAGGCTTCATATGACTTACAGCATCTTCAATATCTTGTCTTATTTCATCTATAAAATATCAATATTCACTCAAAAATATTTAAGGCATCAAAATTTACCAAAAAAACCTTTTTGGGGCATTCTCTTCTGATGTACATTGCAACTGATTTTATATCTAGTACTATACATTTTATTCACCAATCTGAACACAATATTTCATAAAATTGGATTTAATTTAATTATTCATCTTCCATAATGAAATCATAAAATAATGTTACAAACTATCACTTACATGTAGATTCCAGCCTAAAGAGATTAAAATTTTTCAATAGATAATCATGTAGAGTTAAGAACTGTAGATTCAATTTTGGTAAAGCTAAACATTCTGAAAATAACAGAAAATAAGTTTCAACTTTAACAGAATATCTGTTTTTTTTTTTTTAATGAGCTACCGAAGATGCCCTAGTATCAGTAATAACTGCAAATGAGATGGCTAATTATGCCGTAGAGGTAAAATCTAAACTGGACATTGGATTTTAATTCTGAAAAGTGATAAAGATAGCTGAAATTGAGATCTACGAGTTGGTAAAGCGACTGTATTTCTTTAAATATGCCAAAATATCAACATCACATAACCTGTGCCATATCAAAACCTGCATGTTATAAAATAGGTTTTACCTCCTCCTGAATGATATTCTGAAGGCACAATATTTTCATCCCAAATAATATCTTCTGTAGGATATAGAGGCATATTGTTGATAGCTTCTAACTGACTGGGTCTTTTCTCATGTTTACAGACCTACAATAAATTATCACAAACTTATTTCATAGAATAAATTATCACAAACTTATTTCATAGAATAAATTATCACAAACTTATTTCATAGAATGAATTATCACAAACTTATTTCATAGAATAAATTATCACAAACTTATTTCTCATAGAATAAATTATCACAAACTTATTTCATAGAATAAATTATCACAAACTTATTTCATAGAATAAATTATCACAAACTTATTTCATAGAATAAATTATCACAAACTTATTTCTCATAGAATAAATTATCACAAACTTATTTCTCATAGAATAAACTATCACAAACTTATTTCTCATAGAATAAACTATCACAAACTTATAGAATAAACTATCACAAACTTATTTCTCATAGAATAAATTATCACAAACTTATTTCTCATAGAATAAATTATCACAAACTTTTTAGCCATTTAAATCAAGATCATGTTCTTATTAGAAAATTAATGTTAAAATATTTGGGTTGTTTTTGTTTTATTCTAAAGATTTGAAGATTTATCAAGATAACATACCAATAACTCCAGTAAAAATTCTGTTGAATATTTCTCCTCCTTCTCTTCTTCTATTGGATGTGGTAAATAATTTAAATGGGCTAACAACTTATGCAGATCTCCATTACTGAAAAGGAAAGGTTCTGCAATCATTGCTCTTTACTGTGCTGGTAGACTAAACTTTACCAATGAGGTCAAAACATTATAACATTAAAACCTACAGTAAGATATTCATAATACATTTTGGTTTGGTGTTTAAAATTGGGCAAACTGTGCATAAATAATACTTATGTTGTACTATTGATAGTTTCTTGCAAGATACAACAGTATAAAAATATATTTTCTTCATTTTAAACTTTACAGAAGATAATACTAAAAATTGGTTGAAAGCAAAATTAATTGCATAACTATACCTAAAATCTTTAAAGTGTTTAACAAGTGAATCACGTGTATCAATACTAGCTACATTAGATATAGCAAACTTCTTGAGGTCAGGAAAATGTTTAAACACGACTTTCTAAAAAGAAAACAAAATGCATTCAAATGAATTTGGGGGTTTTAACTCCTCCTTTTCAGCACCAAAGGGCCAATTTTTCCAGCATAAAGACAGCAGAATGAGAAAACTCTTTTTTATATAACAAACTGTCATGAATTGTTAATGTGGACTATCTGTAGCATACAGGGGCGTTCCTACGTATACGCTTTTATAAATAAAGCACTTTTGAAGGTAAAAAAAGTTAATGTATTATTATTAACATTATCATCTGACACTAAAGCAGACATTAATGAAGAAAATAGAAGATTTGTAGACAAATCAAAATTTATGCTTCTGGTTATCAATCAAGATAAAAAGCTGTATCTTCAGAAAAATGGAATAAAAAATGGCTTACTTGTAATTTCCCGACTGTATTATAATGTAAATCTATTCTATCATGTATCGTTAAAGCTTCACCAGTTCGTTCATCTATTTCAAATTCAGCATACTTTATCAACATATCTAATAACTACAAATTTAACACCAAAATTATCAAAAATCATCAATAAATCATTCATTAATGTTCCAAAAACTTCAATTCAACATACTGTGTTGTTTTTGTTTATTTTTAATCCAAATCTCTTCAATAAATACAGCACAAGTCTCAACCTTGTAAAAAAGAAGTGAAACTGACCTCAGTAAAGAGTTTTCCTTCTTCTCGTTGACATAAAGGAGAAAGTTTACTAATTTCCACAACATGGTGATCATCCATTAAAACATTGAAAAATCTTCTAGTAGGTAACTGAGCTTCTATATCAATCATTAGTTCCATAAACCTTTCACAATATTTCACCAAATCCTCTTTTACTTTACCTACAAATATTTCAGTCAATTGTGGACTAAGTTGAGTCAGAAAAGTCCAATGTAACAAAATATTTCATAGCATCTTGTTTACCCACACAATGAAGAGTTCTAACGACAGTTGGTGTAACATTGGTTAATTCTTCTCTTCTTATTATTCAAGTCAACCCAGGTATAACTGGTTAATATGGGAAATATCAATGACAAAGGACCCTCTGATAAACGCTATGATAAGAGAATGGTAACTAAAATATCGTTTTCCATACCTTTTTCTGGAATCTGTTTCAGAATATCAAAATATTTATGAATGGTTTTTGATAAAAATTGACGTTCGCTTGTTACAACCTTAAGACGTTCCTCATCTAATTTCTTATCATTCTTCTTTATAACATTAAAAACTTTCTTATATTTGGTATTCCCTTTAAATATCTCGTCTCTCCTGCCCTAATAATTTAATAGTTATCAAAGTCAATAAAAAATCTGCTAAAATAGGGAAAATGATAAGAAAACCTGAAAACTAATCAATAGATTTAGATTTAGATCAATAGAGATAAGCATAAATTAACAATGTTTACACAGATAAACAAAGATTTGGATAAATGACGACTTCTTTTCTGCTCTTAATTTTATGTAGTGGAAAATTTTGTCAGGACAACATTAGCTTTCTTTATTCTTTCCAGGTAAGTGAGCAAGCACTAAATTTCCTATATCTTCACATAGATTCTCCAAGAAATTATTTATTAGTAAGTGGTAGTAAGTATAGACATATTTACCGGTAAAATAAAATCCCATATCGGCAGTGAAACTAATTTCTGTATTTGTTCACGTATTAAATCAACTTCCTATCAACAGAAATAACCTCATATATATAAAACAATTAGTTTGTATTCTTCATTTCTCATTTTCCTCATGAAAAATAGTCCAGAATTGACAGAATAGATCAACAGGTGGAGAGGCACCTGCACAAATTGCTCAATTTCCAAACATCATTTGGTGTCCCATTTGATTTGCTAAAGATAGTGGACCACAGCCATATATGCCCACCACGGCATGTGGATGGTAAATATTCAAGATTTTGGGGCAATAACTCTGCTTCTAACGGTCGAAAATAGCTCAAATTCGAACTTGATCTTCGTTTTAAGAATATGTATACACATACCGAATTTCATTTGATCCATCAAAAAATTTGATTCCTTCCAACACTCTAGTTTTTAGAGTGTTTATGAGTAATTGATGTTGATAGAAGCACTTACTGTATAGAGGTTAAAGGGCGATAACTCCTCAAAACTGACGTAAGAGGCCTAAATCTTGAAAAAGCCTTAAATTTAATCAGAAGTAAACTAAACTTTCTCAAACCTTTCGATTTAGGTCCAATGACATCCATTTTAAGTTTCATCAAAATCGGTTGAAAACTAAGAGAGTAATAGCATTCAAGATTTTGGGGCAAGGGCAATAACTCTGCTTCTAACGGTCGAAAATAGCTAAAATTCGAAATTGATCTTCAATTTATGAATATGTATACACATACCGAATTTCATTGGATTCCATCAAAAAAATATAAAGATATGTGGGCGTATAAAAATTCAAAATAAATACAAATATATTTTCAATTAAAGTAACAAAAAATCAAAACGGAATACTAACTAGACAGTTAAAACAATGAACAATAAATAGTAAAAGATGAGTTTGTTCCTTTAAGCTAATACCAGATAAACTATAATCTAATACTCTATGTATAAAGGCTGGGAAATGTTCAGGTTTACTGGTAAATGCCTGAAAAACAGATTTAAAAGTCATGTATCATCTTGTAAATAATAATCAGTTGAAACTGATGATGATGGTGAAAACATTGTTCAAGTCAGCATTCACAAAAACCAGATTTGTGAAAGGATTCTTGTTATTTTGAAGACAAAACACACAGTCTCAGTTAATGCATCCAGACTTCAAATTCACAGAGATCATTAACTACTTTGTGTAAATTTGAAAATTTCAAAATAAAGATTTCTAAACTGATCAAAACTAGTTGGGATCCGTTAAAATTGGGACCTACCTCCCATGGTGGAACATGTTCTCTAACTTTCTCATTAACTATAACAATCATAGACATTGAATGTGCTAAACTGGACTAAAATTATCAAAATCGTATATTATCACATGAATCTAATGCAGCATTGTTGAATAGGAAGAGAAAAAATATTTGAATGAGCGTTTTTACATTCTTCTTTTCTGCACTGGTCTAAGCCTAGTGAAAAATGTTACAGCCTTATAGTATTGTAATAATAATAAACTCTTTATATTATATGGGTTAGAATCAAATACACCAAGGTGACATGGTCCTGTCTAACATTCACGCCATGTTATTAAACAGTTGTGGAACCTTTAACATGCATAGCCTTTAGAATTGAAAGTAGCCTGTAACACACTGTTTATTTCACACACTATCGTCTCAACTAGAATTTTTGCATGACAACCCATGACTGGGGAAACTATGTAGAAAAATCAAAAAGGTATCCACCTATGCAGGGATGAAACCCACGACAACTAGACTCTGATAGTAAGCTTATATTCAAATGTGAAATATATGTAAATAGTTCTTAAGAAAAATCTATGAAATCTATGAAATTGCACACTGTACATACAACATAATGAATTCTTTGAATGATGAAATACCTTTTGTGGATGATAATTTGTCCATAAATAATTCTCTAAATAACGACTAAATTCTAACATCATTATTCTTTTCTTTGCAAAACTAAAAAAAAGATATACTTATATAATATGATTCAACAAAAAAACCATTGCATTAGCCATTGCTCAGTCAGAACTATGTATATCTGTAGTATAAACTTATGAAATAGTTATGCAATATACATTCTGATATATTATTATTCTTAAGACAACCTAAATCATCTTCGCATGGAATTGGTGATCTCATAATAATAATACTTTACTGGTTCTTTCAATCAAATTACAAACATTGGGATAAAGTCATCTAAAACAGCCCAATTTTCAGCTTTTTTTTAAATTTCCAATGAAGCTTCTTTTTAGACATTTGAAAAAATTACAAATCAATACAATTTAAATCTAGCTTGTATAGTTTCAATTACTTTTAATGTTACCAATAGTGACAGATTGGTTTTGTGTATTAAATCATCTCCAGACTTAATTTACACTTACTTTGATTTCAGAATTTCTTCTTTATAGACTTCTTCAACAATCTAAAAGAGTGAATAAAGATACAGTCTCATTTTACTTACAATAAAAAATTTTATAGACTGCAGGGCAAAGGAACTGTATATAATGTTCAGATGTCAAAGGTCACAACACGACTTTCTTACCCTTTATACATCAGAACAATTATAGTTGAAAAGAAATTATAACAAAAGATATAAAACAAACCTCAGGTTTAAAAGATGCTCCATTTTCAATTGCTTTTTTAGACCAGAAATCTTGAGCTAACTGAAACAAAGAAACAAATGCAAAATACAATCAAATAAAGAAAGAATAGACTCACATATCAAACAATCAATGTAGAGGTTAGATATTTTCTGACTTATTTCCTCTCTGAGAAAAATAATTAGTGTCTCAATATTTGTGTTATGAGCTTTATTCAAAGGCCATATTTCTCCATTTTCATTGGTTGATTTGGATCTTGAATATATGTAATTAGTCTTCCAAAGTACTAGAAAGTACGAAAATCACACAATACGTAAAACTAGAAATTTCACTTCCTATTTCTATATATGTCTTTTCTTTACATGGCAGGATCTCAAAAAAAGACAAATTGTCTTTTTAACTGTGTAACGCAGATAATTCTGGACACATATGGATTTGAAAGCTTAAATTTCAAGAAAGGTGAAGAGTATCTAAAATAATTCCTGTTTCTGGGACTGCGGTACAATCGGTAAAACAGATGGCGAACATGTCCTTTTAAGATATCCTCAGCAATTTTCAGAAATATATTAAGTTTTTTGGTAATTTTGAGAAAATCACCATGTGAATTTAGACTGTTGTCACTTTCGGCCAGTATTAACCTTTTAACATTGGTAATATACCTGTGTTATTCTATCTGCTTGTATCTGTTCTACAGTAAGCCCACCAGTTTTCTTTTTTTCTGATCTATCTGTTTTCTCTGGTATTGTTCCACTCATCTTAAATCTAAAATGAAATTATTCAAACATGGTGTGAATTTCATGTGTTTAAACAAAGTCAAGGACAATAAATCCAAAACTGTTCATCCTGTTGTTATATACAGTGGTGTAGCCTATAAGGATTCAACACCAAATTACGTCAGATTTGATAAATGGAAATTTTTTTTTATGTCTTAGAAGTTTCCTCAGATATTCTATAAAATAATTAAAATTGGTTTATTTCGATATTCTTTATTAATGGCCGACAACAGCGGCAAAATGCGTCATCTATTTCCGTGTACAATGTTAGATCTATAAATAAGTCAAGGAAAACATGTTGTATGGGTACCCAGTGTATAATTAAATTTTCTTAGTATTTATCTTTAATAATATAACTAATGATAAGTAAAACGTAAGAGTGATTTATTGCTAAAAAGTCATTGAAACTACATAAGAATATGGGCCACATAGTAGAATTTTTCTGCTGACACGGAATCTGCTAGTTTGTCACGTGACGTCTTTCCCTGGACTACATTCTAGCTGACGACACATGGAATTCCGATTACAGCATGGGATTATAAGGAAATTTGGCCGGTAAAAAATTGTGATATCTGGTAATAACTGAAATCCATCATTTTGTTTATGTCAAAGTATACATTAGGCATACATTTTTACCTTGCTTGGAACTACTGGATTCATTCTGCTAGCTAACATTGAGCAGATAAACCATGTTTACCAAAGAAAGCAAATGCAGAGGTCACGCGAGGTCGCACATGTAAATTAATAATCATTTCCGGAGACACACGAATTCAGATTTTTTCAATGTCTTACATTTACATGCATACCATAACAAGCCTATTAAAGGGATACTACGTCTTAGGATGAACATAAAATTTTAATTTTGCTCAAATTTGGCCAATAACAGTATATATCCATCAGTGGACTCATCTGGTGTCCTAACTATACATCAAAATCCCTCTATAATCCAATATATCCACAAAATCAAGTAATTAATCATAAAACGCTTATTACATCCATTAAGCGATTTTCAAATCGTGAGTCTAGGAAATCCGGTGTAATTTTCAAGGGGAAGTAACTCTCAAGTGGGGTTTCCCGCGTCCTTGACCTCTACTCTTGAATTGACCTCAACATTGTCATATTTTGAAGACGGAATTATGATGCCTCGTGGTAGATTAAGCGACTCCTCGAAAAAGCAATTCATATAATGTAGAATGAATACTCCACCGCTGACACATTTTCAACGAATATTAATCATTGGCAAAGTTTGTTTGTATACACCAGAAGATGATTGTTTCCTGTTTTAGCGTTGATTACCCAGACTCTCTTTTTCTCAAACTGAATGGATACATGGCTTGCTCACTTTTTTATAAAATAATGATTACGGTATAGTTTTATTATCCATTTTTCAAACTTGATAAAGTGTGGGATGCATACTTATTTAACCAATGGTCACTATTAAACACAAATATTAGCCACAGAGCGAGTGTATTCTAAGATGTAGTATCACTTTAAACTTGACCAAGATTGTGTTTACAAGAAATGTTAATAGACGGACGGGGGCAATGGAAATATACATTCAAATTTAAAATTGGGAGTATAAAAACTAGTGAGTTTTACAATTTGTATCACCCAGAATCATTTATATCTTTTCTTAATATCCTCGGCCCTTTTCTTATTCTCTTTTTGGACATGGTCACAAAAAGGCCCTATCACATTAGTCAAGGATCGGGAAGGAAGACACATCAAAGGAAAGTATAAATTTCTAAATTTGTTATACATTACCTGTTTTATGCGTTAGAAGAAAATACTATAAGACAAATTTGAGATTTTCATTAGATCTAATGAAATCTTCGCGGAAACCTTCAAAACGTTTTGTTTACAATTTTGTGCACATGTTCCGGTAGTCTCGATCGTAATGTTCTAAATTCCATTGACATTTCCTCTTTAAAGTTTACTGACCTGTAATGCGAGTCTATTATATGTAATTCATGTTCGTTTTGTCATGTGTACCGGATCTACATCAGCCTTGATTTAGATACATTATTATTGTAATATAATGTATTCTGAAGGTGAAGTTATTATATCAAAAATTATATTCCAAAAGCTTGCTACAGGATTTTAAAAAAACCCAATTCACTTAAAATAGACAGAACAACCATTTATTCTTCCTTTCTCAAGCTTATTCTGCTGCTTGGTGAGGTCATTTTTGACATCTTCCTATGATAGATAGCCTTTACAATTTTGATGGTATATATTGGATAGTCTTTGTGTTGATAAAACATGAATATTGTTAATTAACATTGTCCCAGAAATTTCAACTAAAATTGGTCTCAAGTTAGGTTTTTTTTTTGTTTGTTAAAACAAACCTCGCAAGAGATAGGCCTAATGTTTTCATGTTTATGTCATATTATCAACACATAGGACAAGGTACTTATCTATATTGTTATTATGTTCTTTTTATATATGACACACTCTGAAGAAAAGACCAGTCAGTGTTTTAACTTTCAAACGTGGATAATTCTGGACACACATGAATTTGAAGACTTGAATTTAGACAGTGATCTGTGAACACTATTACTGATAATCTTAGCCTAAATATTCATGTTTGCCACTGGTCAAACAAATGGCGAACTTTTTCCTTTTACCCTGAGTGTAAATGATATATGTCATATACCCTGAACTCCAAGTAATAAAAGTAAAAACATATGACGATAATGTTGTAGGATGTCACTTAGTAATGGCTGGTATACCTGCTGCTCGGGTATATATTACATGAGTGTGTGGCTGGTAAACCAGCCGCTAGGGTCGAAAGAAGACATAAGGACCAACATACATGGGGTTTAATCCTGATGTGTGTTTTCAAAGAGGGTGGAGGTAAATTGTGTAAATGTGTGAAAGGCTACCAGTGACAGTTAGTTGAAATAGTTTTTTGGAACCACCAACAATTTACCTCCACTCTTTGAAAAAAACACACATCAGGACCTAATCCAATGTATTTTGGTCCTTATATCTTTATGTAAATCGTGTTATACTAAATTATGATGTCACTATTGCAACTACCATTCAAGTTAAATGATTTTTGCAACACAGATGTCATAATATGGTTAACTTTTTCAGGATGAAAAATAAATTGAAATGGTGTCAATAACTATGAGTATCATAAGGATAGTCTATTGTGGATGAAAAGAATAACACAACAAATAAGGAATAAAATTTAATAATGATTTGACACACTTGTAATTATTTCTTCCGGTGTAAAACTCAAATGACATTTTCAAATATTAACTATAAATTACAATTTGCTTTTTCCAAGATATGCTATTAGCACTGATCAATGATGTACATCTTCTGGAGTAGGAACAAATTCTTGTATTGTTTTTCTTTCCAAGTTAAACCAGAATCCACAGTAACATTTAGCGGGTTGTCCTTCTGTCAAAAAAGTGTATCTAAATGTACCGTCTTCTTCTGAACCTGTAATGAGAAACATTCAGCATTTACAATGACAATGATGTGCTATTTTAATATTTTATGCATTATATTGGGCTAAGAAAGACAGGTGACACTATATAATGTTCAATGAATTATGAAGTTATTATTTGCAGACATTGTTTTTTTTTTATTCTGCACAACCTCCAGCTTAGAGGTCCTCCATTTAATGTCCTATCCAAACATTAATAAGGGATTGAAACAATATATCAAAGACACTTTTGCACTATTCTGATTTCCAGTCAGACATTTTGATATCTTTGGTTCATGTACTTCCAGACAACTCGATCGGATAAGGTCACTATAGTTTCTTCACATCCATATTATATTTGGATAAATGTTTCTGGAATAACATCGACAATGAACTGAGAATCAGAAACGCAAAGATACATTTGTTTATAATTAAAAATCTATGAAAATCTATCTTCTGAGCCTACACTTGAATAGAGACTTTAAACAATTGATTTGAAGATATGACGCTTGTCAGGAAGAAAATATACAACTCACATATACATTCTACATGCCTCCATGGATCAACACAATATACTTTAAAAGGTTTAGCTAAAGTTCCATTTCCATATGGTGATGCCTCATCAAATCTCATCACATTATTCTCATAAGTTGTACCCTAGAATATAATAAAAAAATTAGATACTGTATCATGCAGAAATAAACATGACAATATCAACGCACTAAGGTGTATCTTAAGATTTTTCAAATGGAATATATCTAAGCTGACACAAAGTATTTTGGAAGCTTTAAATTATGACTGACTATGTCATGATATCAGAATTAACTACACAAGAGAAGACATCCTGTAAATGAAGACAGTCTGAACTATTGAGGTAGGCTATGCTTTCCTTAAAATACGGGAGAACTGAATATTATTAATTTTGTTAGGCTTAATAATTGAGTCCAAAGAACACATCAAATTCAGCTCTCTATGCTGATAAAACAAATTCAATCTACCTACATCCATCTTGTGATCAAATCCTTCAGCCTCAGTGATCAACTCGGCTCTTTCCATACCAGATGAATGACCTAAATAATCAGCCATGTTTTCGGAACGTGCCACTGAAAGAAAACAATAATTTATATTATTCAAAAAGTTTAAAGGGACGTCCAAAATTTTGTTCTCAAATTTATGAAAACTTTACAAGTAGAAATTATTTGAAAATTTGACTAACTGCAAAAAAAAGATAGTGTTAAAGCTTGTAGATAATTAGTAATATAAATTATTAATAATGACTTTTAAATTTTGAACCTACAGGATAAAACAGAATGACTTATGGCATTTTCAGCCTAAATCGCTAGTTCATAGGGGTTGCCATTTTGATATGGCATGCACATAATATGACGTTTCGTCGTAAATAGAAATGTAAACAAAGGAATATGGCTTTAATCTAATGGCTTTCTAAATTCAGGAAACAAAATATTTCTGATTGTTTCCTTGTACGTTCAGGGATGTAAATTTGGAAGTCAGTCTCATGGCCTCCTGTGACAGCCAATCAATGGCGCTTTAGCAAAAAAACCAATTATTCTAACTACAAGCAGATTGATCTAAAATGTGTGATAAATAAACATAAATAGGTGTTGACATTAGGCCTAATGGACTTTAGTGTGGATATGTTATTCTCTACGCGAAGTGCAAACTTAAGCACTTAATCTACGCACAGTTCGCAATTTGACCATAAAGTCTGTCTACACATTGCAGACACATGAGCCACAGCCTCTAAAGAACACGAGAAGTAGCCGGTGACTACATTTGTGGTTGGCTAATTAGTGATTAAAATGATTATTTGACATAAGGTTTCAGTATATAGTTGAATATTATGAAAAGGTTCCCATTCAATTCTTTTCACTAGATAATCAAATTCATATATCGTTGAAATTGTCAGTGACACAATAACCAATGTGAATAAACACTAAACAGGGTAACTGAACAAGTCAAGGTCAAAATTCTATCGAATCCACACGTACACAGGAATAACATGAAATCAAACGGGACAAAGACGAAAACCTACACTTCTTTCCATCGTGATTGTTAAATTCGGCATCAAAATCCGACATGCATCTGCGGGCTGTATAGGTTGGATATAATACAGATCGGCGCATTAAATTACAAACTACTCTTGGTAATAGCGCAGCCATCTTGCCGAAAATCCAGTGATCAATGAGAAAGCGTTCGAAATATTCACCTTAGTAACATCGATTGGCCTAAAACACATGTCACTCGTGTCACAACTCCGCACAAGAAAAAAAAAGGGTGGGGGGGGGGGGGTGCTTTATATTCTTTTATGGTTAACACCGAAACTGATTTATCTTTTTAACATGATGCATCTAGACCCACGGTAGCCTTGGTCTTCATTTTCCGACATTTGGCTTTCATGCAAAGTCTAAAAAATAGTTTAGTATCTCCTTGAGGATTGAAATCAGGGGTAGGCTACACAAATGAAAGAGAAATGAGAAAATTTTAGTGCCCCTGTACTACTGCAAGGTATGGGCCTGGTGCATTTGTTATAGCACGTGTCACGAATCAACAAGAACAGTGGTATCGTATTACTTGTGGTCTGAATCCTAAACTCGCTGTGTAAGTCGCTACATCCGGTTGGAATTAAATTATAACAACTCTAGCCTACTCATTTTAGCTAGAATAATTTCAAGGATACAACTTTACATGGCATCTTTAATATCAAAGACGGCTGCAAAAGCAATTTTCCGAAGGTCTCAGATTGTACCAACAACATATTGCCGGAAGTATTTAAAAAAGGAGCTTGAGGTGGTAGAAAAAAAAGAAGATAAAATACAACCTGTGAAAAAAGATGGTACGAATATCTTTTGGATTTACATAATAATCTTCTTTCTATACAATTTCCTTTTTTCGTACATAAATTTTACCAATTATTTTCATATAAAATAGAATAATATTCTTAAAATAGAATGGACAAATGCAATAAGATGTACAATTTTACAGTGCGATTAATTATTCAATATCATTAATACCGATACCGGGTATTAATACAGTGGTGTAACCTATTTTCGTGGATATAAGGATTCAACACCGAATTCCGTCAAAGATAAAAAAAAAGGAATTTTATTTTTTATGTCTTAGATGTTTCCTCAGATATTCTACAAAATAATTAAAATTGGTTTATTTCGATTTTCTTTATGAATCTCTCACTTTGATCCATATTTCATGAATAACCAACTCGGTAACGGCGGCAGAATGCGTCACCTATTTTCGTATACAATGTTTGATCTATAAATAAGTCTAGAAAAACATGTATGAATACCGGGTGGTATGATTAACTTCTCTTAGTATTTATCTTTAATATGAATTCATTATAACTAGTTACAATTCCTTCAAAGAACCACGATTTAAAAAAAAAAATAGTGACTGACAAAATAAGATACGTAGCGTAGCAAAACAACATAAGACTATGGCCCACTTTGTGATCCATAGAAATTTTCTGCTTACACGGAATCTGCTAGTTAATGACGTGACTTCGTTCGTTGGACTACATTCTAGCAGACGACACTTGGAATTCCAATTACCGCTTAGGATTATAAGGAAATTCGGCCGATAAAAAATGGTGACGTTTGGTAATAAGTGAAATCCGCCATTTTGTATTTGTCAAAGTATACATTAATACATTTTATCTTGCTTGAAACTACTGGATTCATTCTACTAGCTGACATTGTACAGACAACCCATGTTTATCAAAATAAGCTAATGCGGAGGTCGCGCAAGGTCGCTCATGTAAATTATTAAACATTTCTGGAAATCCACAAAAAATAGGTTACCACGAAATTAGGTTACTTGACTGTATTACAGTTTAGGGTTAAAGGCACAGTAAGCTTATGCCAAATTTTTATAACCGGTATGAAAAACGTCACAGATTATACCTTAACATTATATTTTGTTTTTCGCAGCTTATGAAGGATTGAGTGCTAGTGAAATTCGAGTGGAAATGGCAAGAATCGAACGAGAACGTACTGAATTACTGCCATTTGAGTCTGATGCTCCAATTTACAAGGTAACAATGAAAAATAATAGACTCAGTTCTAGAGTTGAAACTCAGTTGGTTTAGGTTAAGCTTAATATGATAGCCTAAAGATGGACAAGAGACTTCAAAATGGAAATTTAAGATTATTCTAAATAAAATTATTTTCACTGCATTATTTCAATATCTTAACTTAAACATAGCTGGGGACATTCTGAAACTATTTCAATGTCAATTTAAAGCCAAAAAGTACCCCATTTATTTTTTCCGCTTACAGGATCCGTATTATTTAGAAAGGCTGGAAAGATATCAGTTACAAGGTACATTAAAGAATCCCCATATTGTCACTTCATGTGAAGACTACAGAAATATTGCCTGTATTTGTAAGTAGTTAATTTTAGATTTGGATTATATTAACTCTTTTTTTTTTAAAAAAAAAAATGGAAATATTCATAGGCCTACTCATGGATATCATTTTTATACGCCCACATGAATATATGGTTGTATATTGTCGTTGCCCCTGTCCGTCGGTCAACATTTCTTGTGGGCACAATAGAGACTACATTTTTCATTTGATTTTAATGAAACTTGGTGTGAGCATTGGGATTCATAAGGGGGCGATCAAGCTCGAATTTGATGATTTTCCTATGAACCGTTTTTGAGTTATTGCCCTTGACTAAGTGTAATCGCGTCAAAATGTTGTTGTGGGCACAATAGAAGCTACAATTTTCAATGGATTTTTATGAAACTTAGTGTGAGCATTGGGATTGATAAGACAGTGGTCAAGTTCGAATTTGACGATTTTTCAATAAACAGTTTTTGAATTATTGCCCTGGACTAAGTAAAATCGCGTCAAAATTGGGTTGTGGGCACTATGGAAGCTTCAATTTTCAATAGATTTGGATGAAACTTGGTGTGAGCATTGGGATTGATAAGACGACGGTCAAGTTCGAATTTGACGATTATTCAACAAAGGTTTTTTTAGTTATTACCCTTTGCCTTGACTTAGTAAAACATATCAAATTTAACTTGTAAACACGATGGGGGCTACAGTTTTTATTGGATCTTGGTGAAACTTGGCATGCAGGTATATATTAATGAGAGTAAAGATCAAATATTTCTATGTTGGTTAGTTAGTTAGTGTGAATTTAATGATATGTTATTATATATCTTTGAAAATTTCAGACACAAGAAGAGTGTGATAATTCAATGCTTCTGGGTTATTGCTATTGATTTAAAAAGATTTGTGGAAAAACTGAGCATAGCTGACCCTAAATTGATGAGATATTCAGGGTTTTTGAACTACAAATGCATAATGAAGATCTTTATTATATTTTTGGTCAATAAAGATTTAGTTATTATCTGACAGCTGCCAGTGGGCATGTGTTACCTTGCCTGGCAAGCTATCTTTCTAGATATAATATCTATAGATTATAAAAAAAGTTTGAAATAGTTAATTAACCTGTAACATTTCCGCTGTCCTTAAAGGGACAGGTTCGCCATTTGTTTGACCAATTTTACTTTAGTCTTAGAAATCATAATTTTTTAGCTTATTTAATCAGTAATAGTGTTCGCAGCTCATCGTCAAAATTTTAAGCCTTTGAATCCATGTGTTTCCAGAATTATCCCTGTTTGACTGTTAAAATGAAGACTCTGTTTAAAAGAATACTCATCATTTCTTGACACTGTGCCATAAATGAATTTCTTAGTTTGAGGTATTTTTGAAGCAAATATGCCATTTCTAGTGTTATTTCTATATATATATAAATTCGAGACAAAAATCAACCGAAAATAGTGAATATTCCCCTTAAGGAATATGTTTTTAAATGTATAGAAAGCAGTTAACTCTTTGAAGTACACGGTTCACGATTTTTGGGGTCAATCGTACCTTGGTCTTAGAAACCAAAAGGTAGTATTTACCTCGCTTTGTTAACCTTAGGGCATTCAGATAACATAAACTCCATTAATTTATAAGTCTGTATAAATGGACACATTTTGCTTTGTTCAAATTATCCGTCTCGGAAAGTTAAAAAAAAAAGTTAACTCGTATTTTTACAATATCTTTTGATGACCTCATATGTAAGTAGACTCAATCATCCTGTCGCACTTCGTCTACACACAGCTGTGACAAATGATGTCTGAGTATTATACATTGGCTTGGAACTGCACGATTGAAATGCAAAGCTCAATGTATTCTTTCAAAACAGGAAATACGAACCAAACAGTAAGCCCCCATCTGTAGAACACCCAGACAAAACCATACAAAACAGGTGTTGAATGTTTATTTACTAAAGAAAAACAGGTAAAAGACTCGTAACGTGACTAATTTTCTATCAACTTCTCAACTTCCTTTCAAATTATAATAAAATTGATAGTTAACCCATCATCTGAAATCATACTCGTTTACCCTTCAAAACTGATTATTTGTATAACACTACAATGACATATCCTCTCTTAATGAATTAAAAGCAAATAAATGATATTTTTGTTTTGCTCATAGGTGAAGAACATGTAAAAACATTAGAAGTTATGAAAATTGTAGCCGGACCTCCTCAAAAATGTCAGTGTGGATATTGGTTTCAGTTGAAAACTTTAACACCAGAAGAATCTGTGGAGCAAATAGTGAGAGACGTATATGATATATACCATCCTGTGAAATACTGAATCCATCACATAGATAATGTCACTCTTACCTCCATATTTCTTTAGCAGATCTTTGACCTTCTAGAATCGTGAATGTCCGTGAGATTTTGTTTGTTTCATTAAATTTAAACTAAGATAATGTTCAGCTTTTAGGATACACACAAGTTTTGATGTGACACTTTATGAATTATGTTAATTTTGATCTTTCGGCGGTCTGTATGACTCATGTCCTGATCAAAGTGATTTCTGGAAACAAAATACCTTCAGCTGTAAGGATGTAGGAGTATCAAAGGCTTGGCATTATCTTGAACTGTGTTTCAATAATAATAAAAAAAATATATGTGTCTGTGATAGTGATATGTGTTGGCTAACTGAGATGAGGACTCACCAAAACTGTGTATGAAAAATCCACATAAAGAAACTAAAAACATATTATTGTTAACATTTTGATGTATGTTGATTTTAAAATAAGATGTATGAATATTTGCCCTGCTCACTGACTGATTTAAGCATTTTGTTTTAGTGGTAGAATGCCTTTCAGACAAACATTTTCTAATTAAAAGTCTAGAAGTAGATATTGAATCTGACAGACATAGCATGTACTAATTGTCTGATTTAATGTAATGACAATTGAACCTGGCATAGTATTTTCAATTGGTGACAAGGTAGCGAAATTAAAGTATTCTTTGAAGCTTCCATCAAACAAAGCAACCAGACATCTTATAGAGGATATTTGTTATCAACTTACTTTATTGTCTTGTCTATATGACATTTCAAATCCAAGAATGTAAATTATAATGTGAACCCAATATAAATTAAATGAAATGAAATGAATGGAGTTTTACGTCCTACTTTTCTGCACCATGTGGACTAATAAAGACGGGCAATGAGGGATGAACCAATATATAAAGTTTAGATTGTTATATTTCTATAAATGCAGTCTTTTCATTTCTGTTCTGAAAGCCATCCCCTTCTGGAAAAATCAAGTGAAAGAATTGTACGTGAGCCCACCTTAGTCCACCTTAGTCCCTACTAACCCCCTCGTCTGAAAATGAGACTCAATTAATTAAAGAATTAACTGTTGTCTCGAATGAATGCAAACAATATTACCTCCCTTTGGCATTTCCGGTTTAACCATCGACTATTTCCCGAATTGTTTATTTTATTATTTATTTTAAATCTACATTAAAAATTTGATCTGAGTGCATTACAGATATTCAACTAACTATTAAAATGTTGATTGAAATGATATCAATGAATACGGGGCCATATTTCTAACTAGGGCTGTCTAAAACACTAAAAGGGTTTGAGTGAAGTATGACTTTTTACAACCGATTACTGCCACTTTGTGCAACATAGTATCACAAAATATTACTATTTGCAATTTATGTCTGAATTTTTCGAGAATTTTGTAGGACTTGTGCAAAACTATAGCATTTGAACCTTTTGAACCCTAACGACACAGTTGTCTACCATCTATAACAAGAAAATAACTTGGAATTCAAGATACCAGTGTATATCATCTCACCTTTAGAAAATATCAGCTAATCACCAAAATGACAAAACTAAGAAATCAAGAATCATTAGAAGATTTGTTTCATCAGTTGGTATCTGTTATGGAATCTGTTAATGATAAATGTATAGAAGTGGTGGAAACAAGACTTCGTAAGAAACGTTTGAAGAAATTGATAAAGGAAGAAAATGAGAAACTGAATGAATTGATGGGTATGTCAACTGAATTAGTTAAATGCAATAAAACAAAAATTCAGGCAAGTCTTAATGAGTACATATGGATACTAAAGTCTTAGATATTTTCAGTTGTTACCTATAATGCATGATAAGAAGGGTATCACATTGCCTATGATATAAATGGTAGGCCTATATTTATATATTTTGTAAGATTATTTTAAATGTCAAAGGGCATAAGCCTTGTTTAATATAAAGTAATTTTTTTTGAAGAGATATGCAAATTAGATAAAGTAAAAGAAGAAAACAATGAGGATAATGAAGATAATATTGAAGAAAATAATGAACCTGAAGGTATGTATATAAAGGAATTTATTTTTTATGCATCAGGATATGTGTACGTGCCTTATGTCTGCGCTGCATCTGTTCATAAGGTTTTGATGACACTTGATATACTTTAATTTGTATAGCTTTGAATCTTCCACCTGACATTTGGATGTGTTGAAATTTATTGTGAGCACAAAAAGCATTTCTAGGATTATTTCTCAACAAAAGTTATTCTAAGACTATCAGTACTGTTTGGAGGCTGATATTTGAATTCTTTTCATAAAGTACACAAGAGAAAAATGAATATATATTTATTGTGTCTGTAATATACAGAATTCTCTTTCTTTCAGTTTCAGTTCATTTTAAAGTTGAAAATGAAAACTGTGAAGATAGTTTTGAAGGTAACTCAAATATTGTTGATGTACCATCATATTTTATGGCTTGTCACTGATTAGTCTTATATTTACTTTGACTTCAACTACATGTGGTACCTTATTACCAGCTGATGACTGATATCAATGAAAACTGGCATAAATGGCAAATTGCTTCTCAATATTAAAGGCGAATTACGTAAAATTTTCATTATCAAGGACGTCTTGAAATATATCTCATAAAATTTTTTTTCAGATAAAGATAAAACCTGGAATGATTGTAACGAAGATGTACAAGATTTAAGCTCTATTGAAGATTGTCAAGAGTGTGAAATTTGTAAGGAATATTTTCCTAATACTGCTTTGCTGAAAGCTCATGTCAAAAAACATCAAAAGGATGGAAAAATTTATTCCTGCAAAGAATGTGCAGAAACATTTGCCGAAAAACATGAGCTTAAAAATCATATCAGAGACCATGTTATTCAACAAGACAATTTATGTGATATTTGTGGCCTAGGATTTCTAACTGTAGAAGTTTTAGATCAACATTCAAAATGCCACGATTTTCAAGAAAAAAATCCTACCACAAAGAAATTTTCTTGCTCAACTTGTTTACGATCTTTTAATTCCAAACGATTTTTAGACATTCATTTGGAAGTGATTCATAAAGAAAAACAATTGTGTTGTGAAAAATGTTCCGAATTCTTTGATTCTGAAGAGGATTTGAAAAAACATCTGAAATTCCATAATAATCATTGTCATATATGTAAACAAACATTCCCAGTTAAAATCGAATTGCAGAAACACATGAAAATTCATGAAGACCCTATTCTAAAGCTGCATTGTTCAGTATGTGAAATGGATTTTTCCTTTAAAACTGAGTATGTGAACCATGCAGTTGACCATTTAAAAGATAACCCAAGATACTGTATAATTTGCAGCCGAACGTTTAAATACAGTAAGGCAGTTGTAGATCATGTCCAACGCCATGCAAGTATTAAAACTGCAGAGAGCTCAGAGAAAAGCATGAAATGCGATAACTGTTCAAAATCATTTCGAAGTTCTGTTGGTTTGCGGCTGCACATGCAAAAAGCTCACAATGCAAAGCATAAAAGTAACAACACTTGTACAATCTGTGAAAGAGTCTTTGAGAACAAGACTGATTTAAAGGCCCATAAACAAACTCATGTTGGAACCAAACCATTTACTTGTTCAATCTGTCCAAAATCTTTCCGAAGTAATTCAGACTTAAAGAAACATATGACATTACATACTGGTGAAAAGAAGTACCAGTGTGATACTTGCGGAAGACAGTTTAGATTTGGGAAACTTCTCAACATGCATTTACGTGTCCATTCTGGTGAAAGGCCTTATTCCTGTGAATTATGTGGAAAATGTTTTGCACGCTACAGTGGTTTGGCTACACATAAGAAATCTCATGCAGAATTACGTGCATATCAATGTGAAATCTGCAGTAAATTGTTCAAGATAAAGCACACCTTGCAGCGTCATATGAAAATTCACAGTGGAGGGAAACCATTTGTTTGTGATGTTTGTGGCAAATCCTTTAATCAGAAGGGAAATTTACAAACTCATTATCGTATACATACCAGAGAGAAACCTTTTAAATGTCCAATATGTGGAAAGGCGTTTATGTATAGTGGCCTCTGTAATGATCATATTAAGTCCCATAATCAACAACAACTACAGCCTACAGAGCAACAACCTGATTACAATGATTATAGTCCTATTCCAGTTCCTCCACCTCAGCTGCCAACATTACCCCCACACCCTTCATCATCACAATTACACTTTGATAAATATAATATACCTAACCTGTCACAGCCAATGTTTCCTATGAATTTATCTGGAGTAGATTTCTCAGGAAGACATGATATGCCTAGTATGGTACCTTATAGTCAAGCCAGAATGTAAATATGTTTTCACCTTTTTTAATAGCTTTTTTTTACCTAATATAACTGAATTTCAGTTGGTAGCTTTACTATTCTATTTGATAATACAATATTGTTCTATGTATTTGCTTTACAAGCTTATGATTCAGAATCTAAATTAAATGTGGCCCTTTTCAGTTTGAAAAATCTAACATCTGCTTTCTCAGCAGGAGGAAAAAGTTTGAACTGATGTCAAAATATTCAAGCAATAATTTATGTACTAATGTGCACTTACTACCAATGACATTATTATGTTGGCAAAATCTACATGGGAGAACGTATATAACGCCTAAGAAACTTCAGACATGTGAGAAAAGAACATCAAAGGACTATTAAGAGAGAAGAATTTTACCTTAAATTAAGTTCCATTTTAATAAAAAAAATCTTTCAACTTTTCACACTTCAAACTAGGTCACAACCATTTTTTTGGCATCTGTGCTTGACATATATATTTTACCATTTGAGTACCATTTGATTGAAATGCAGATCTATATATGTTCATTGAGAGATACTACACTTGCCATGAATGCTCTGATGAAATTCCTCTTGAAATTGAGTAGGGCTAAAATTTGAGTTCCTCAAATGTAATTTGTTCAAATCATAGATGACAATTGGAGTCACCCATCTACATTTTATTAAGATTGACTCTATTGTGGAACAGGTATTAAGTTATCAGCATAATATAATGTTTCTCATAATGACAAGCAAGTTAATTTTACTTTGATGATTTTTCTTGCCGACTTTGTTTAATTAATGAATCATAATGATATAATCCAGGTTTATTATTTTTAACCTTTCATTATATTTAGTGCTATTTGTTGTGTGTATGTACATAAATATAAAGGGATATAGGTGTCTAAATATTTGCTGTCCATGTTATTATCGATTGTAATAACTTTTTGCTGTTACAAAATATTTTGTGGCAAGTTCCTTTTGTTAACAACAATGTATTACTATTGATGAAATACAGAATAACAAGTCTTGAATATGTTCTTCAAAATATGTTTGTTTTTTATTTACATGAATTTTGACTTTATCTGTAGGATTTAAGCAAATCCACATCAGCCTCTGCCTCCTTCCTCCAATTATTTATGAGTTAATATCCACAAGTATTTAATATCTATTTTTCTGTTAAGTTGAATATAGTTTTCAGACCATTGCTCAAAACCATCCTTAATAAGCTTTTGTCCTAATTTTATTTGTTTCTAACATGGCCTGGTATTTATATACCTTAGTTTTTTAAAGTGAAATAATAGGCTTCAGATTTATTTGTTAATGCTAACAATTGTTTTTATCTTTATTATTTATGGGTATTATTGTGTTTGTTATATGTTTTTGTAACTTATTGTTTGTCTGTATTTAAATGAATTTGGTAATAACTGTCATAGTAATCATTTTAGTTTTTGAATAGTTTTGTATATAACTATGTGTCTTTACTTGGAAAGTTCTGTGTGCTACAGGCCATGCATATGAAAGATTCTTTGACAGTTGCAATTCGATAAAGAGTAATCACTGCATCACTGACCTGGGAAAATCTGTGTTAAATTTTAAGCTGTTACCCAGAGTTAAGCCAGGGTCTAAAATCCAAACCTACCAATCGAAGGTTGAGATGTTTGTTGTAGAAAACTAAACCAAAGACAATATGGTAATGGTAGGATATTGTTGTATATTGCAAAAGAATAAAAACATCAAACATTTTTTAAAATTGCACATTAAGTAGCATTTATCTGATTTTCAGGGCAAAATCTGCCTTAGTCAGGAAACATTAGGATAATATCACTGTGCATTAGACTGAAAAAAAAACACAGAATATAAATATCCTTCAAACAAGGTGTAAAAATTCTCAGAGTCTAAGACTTACTTATGTAAATTACACTTCAATGCAATGACTATTCTTCAATGAGTCATCTTGTTTTGCTCACAAGCTTCAAGGTTCAATATTATAAATTCCATACCTAAACCAACACTCCTAATCAGGATTATATATCAGATACATTTCAACACATGACATCATAATATAAGACTTTCATGGGCAGATCAAGCAAGGCAACACTGCAAGTCACATTTTGTAACTCACTTTCTATGCAATATGTTTCTATCTGGACATTACTAGTGTTGTTACTGCCAGATAGATTGGAATTATGAAGTTCAAAAAATCATTGGATTTGGATCTCAAAAGAACAGAATCAATCATATATCACACATATTATTCAAATTCAGAATTTATAATTTGAATGTGTTGATAAAAATTTAAACAAGGGCACATATTATCACTTATGGATGTATTAACAATATTTTATTAATATTTGACTAAATTTTGAATCCTAAGCTTATTCAGTTGATTTTCTTTTCTAGGGGAGTATGTTTATATTAAATTTAAATTACAACCAGGGCTAGTATTTTATTTTTTTGTCAGCCAAACATTTTTCCCTTGAGAGAAGGTCTATTATATCATAGCCTACCGCACCCGGTATTGACATGATGTTTGGCTAACGAAGGTCAACTGTGTCATTTAACCAACAGATTATCAGATTATCGAATAGTAATCAAGTTATTGTAATACCAAGCAATGATTGATGGCTTTATATTTCATTAGAGAGTTGTCATTAAATTTTGCAATTGAAAGACATTGAAAGCCATGTAATGACTAACCTATACTTGATGTCCGATAGAGGATATTGACCGTCGGCAATTTGAGCAGCCCCGTCGGTAATGTCCAGCATATAGAGCCAAATCAACAGCCCTGATTACAACACTTCATATTTTCATTTGAAGCTGTTTATCCAATTTATTGTCAAATTTTGATTTATTGCCAGAAGTGTGAGCATTGGAGAATTTAAGTCTTAAAAAAAAAAAAAAAATCAACATAATATCATAAGACTTATAACCAAATACAATGTATAACTTTATATAATAAGAATATTCATAAAACTATTTTATGAATTAAAGAATTGAGTTATCAATCAACTCTTCTGTTCTATTTGACTAGAGTTGTGAACAGCCAGAACTCTGTTCTTGCCCTATCAAGTTCCTCGGACATGATATACAGATCATCATAATGTCACTATCTATAGGAGTTCAACCCACTTAATTTTTGGGTTGCAAGTGTGTGTACATACCAAAAGTTACGTCAAATTTGAAAATTCTCAAAATATAGTGACCCAGAAATGAGTTTGGTTCAACTCCATTGTAAAAGTGAATAAGATTATTACATCCTGATCATCTGAGGAACTGAGTAGTGCCAGATTTATCGTGTTATGTTCTTATGTACAAAACATTTGTAAATTTGTGTTAACAGTTATGAATGTATCTAATTTCTATGGAATCTTCATCTACAACTAACCATAACATGAGAACCAACACGGCCCTCAGGGAAATGTGTATGGAAAAATGAATCACAAAGTTTATATCCTGATTGTAGCAAGTAAGAGTTTATAGACGGTTGTAGAGTATTAAAATAAACAATATGGCTTGGCCAGGGTAAGCGCTTTACTGCAAATTCTTCTCTTAGCCATTGGACGGGATGAGAATAAAACACATCTTGTTCTTCAGTATAGTTCTCAATTTTTGATAAATTTGGTTCACAAGTTAAAAATCTCATATTAACTTTACGATGAAGATAACTGAAATTATCAAAATAAACAACATTAGAAAAACAATAGGAAAAATTCAAGTAGTATTAAAGTAGTAGAAGGCCATCAATGAATTTCTTGTGCTCATTCAGGCCCATTATAGTTTGAATTCTGAATTCTTTTAGTCTCCAACAACCTAGCCAAGGTAGTAATCATGCAATTCATGTATTATCTGGATATGCTACTGGAGTCAAGTAAACCAAGCAACCAAATTTTTCACATTTAGAAAAATACAAACTCAGTTTCAGAAATTATAAATGAAAGTTTCTAAATAAATAAATATGTATTCCTTTACCTATAATAGGGAGTGGAATGGCATGGCATTAAAAACAATATGTCTACTTCCTTCTCCAAACTCTCATCATATAAATATTTGGTCACTAGAATTGTTCCTCGTTGGTGAATTAAACTAAAATATAACGCTAATGGAATGTTTGTAATCATTAAAATTATCACAAAAATCTTAGCTTTAGACAGATTAGATTTCAATTTTGTTTTTTGAAGTATTTTCCTTTTTGATTCTGTCTGCTGATTTGATTGGTTGTCGTGAGAACAAGATTCAGATAAAATACTTGATTCTGATTGACTCTCGTTCATATCAGATCCACCAATACCACTGCTGCAACTTTCGTTCAGTTCCTCTGCTTCAATATTTTCCTCACTTTCCTTCATTTTCTTTTTTCTGCGTTGTCTTTTGATAAAAGGTTTCTGGCACAATGATTGAAAATATATGCCACAGTAATGCATACTTAGAGGTAATATAGGTAATAAAAATCGAAATTCTTTGTGTGGTAAAAAGCTGAAATACATCCAAAAAAATAAGACTATTAATGAAATCTCAAATCAGGAAAGTACTTCAGATAATTTTCTTTCTAAAACCAGGCAGTTGTGGCATATAAACATATAGAGTCTACAACCATCATAAGAGATTTTTCTTTTTGCATATACCTTTTTATAATGAGTGATTTGTGATGTCATTGCTGATGTAAATAATTGTGGAGAATCTGATAGATCAGTAAACATTATTTGGTATAGCCTACTTATCATGGATGTAACATTCAAATTCTCACAATGAAACTAACCTGTATATAAATATATTCCAAACAATTAAACATAAAAGAGCTTTATTACTTGAATACCATGCTCCAAGTAGAAATGGGAATGTATGAGTAGCCATTATAACTGGTAAGCCTTGTGATATATACCAATGCCAAGGATGGGAACCATATATTGCACTATTACCACTTAATACATTAAACTTGACAAAATTCCACTGAACTAGTATCAAGTTGTTATAATATACTCTGTCAATAACAGATGATATACTCAAAGTTACACTCCTAGAAGATAATTGTACATAACAAATCATATTTTATGTTATATCATTTGAACAGATGTACTAAAAGCATGCTTACTTAATCCTTGGAGTAATGACTGACAAGCTTAATCTGACATAACATTTATACTTGCAAGCATATTTGTGCAGATAAATGGGATATTTATTATTAATATATAAATTTCATATTTCAACTATGTTCTGGGAACTGAACTGGTTTGTTTATTCTTGCAGGAATAGACATTTGAGGGACCTATTGTCACAAAATGCAACGTTTGGAAGATTTTAAACTGAAAATGGACTATACCTACCCAACAATAATATATGATTTGAGAGTTTTAAATAATGTACTTGATTGTTGTTGTCTTTGTAAATGCCAAGAACATAATAAAATCCACATGATGGCTGCTGTAGGACGGACTACTACAGATAATGCTGCCATAATTAAAAACTTCACTGTTGAATTTCTGAAATATAACAATAATAATCAACTGAAATGGAGCTTTACACCCTGTTGTTCAAAAATAGTATAAAATATAACTGTCGAACAATTATGCATATTTATCCAAACATAAATCGAGAACCATTAATAGTTAATTTCACCAACATTAAGTCATACATGAACAAATTTGGTAAATTCAGTTTTATCGTTGCCACTGTCGGTCTGTCCTTCCTTCCAGAAGCTACAATTTTTATTTGGTTTTAATGAAAGATTTACATTTATGACATCTTGCTCAAGTTTGATTGTTTGATAAAGGATTTTTGAGGTATCGCCCTTGACAAAGGAAAAATGCCTCAAAATTTGTAAGAAACTACATTTTTTATCTGATTTAAGATTTGGTTCGATTATTTGTATTGATGAGATCTTGGATAAGTTCCATGTTGATGATCTTTTGCGATGAACGGATATTGAATAATTATCTTGGAAAAACACATTGAAATTTGTTTGTGAACACAATAGAGACTACAGTTTTTTTCTGAATTTAATGAAATTTGGTGAAAAAATTCAAAATTGAAGATCTTTCCATGAACAGTTTTCTGAGTTATTGTCCTTGAGTTGGACTTACTTGTTGCATTACTTTTTGATCAGCAGAAAAAGCAAATTTTAAGAAATGAAATTTATAAGACATGAACAGAATGTATTTGTAAACTTAAGAAAGAATCGTGTGCTATACATACCTTCCAGAAGGATAACCTGGCCATGGGAAGTAATATAAAGCTACTGTAACTAATACAGCTTCTGTAGAATTGGTAAGAGTTCTAGTACAGCAGTATAATGTAAACCAATTAATAACTTGACATAGTAATGTCCACTGAGCTGTTGGTGTGTCACTAAGTTTTCGTGACAGTTTATAAAGGTGTAAATCTCCAATTGCAGCTAATACGCCTTGTAATAATCTTGGAAACTTTATCTGAAATTACAAAATATAGATTGAAACACAAAGAGTGTATGTACTCCATCAAGTTGAATTGATGTTTAAAAAACACAGCTCAGGGTTTTCATGATATCTAAAGTCTGTATCCTCATGAGAGGCTTGCCCCAAGGGATTTTCTGAAGGAAAAGGAAATATTCTTTGGAACCTCAATCCAATCAACTCATAGGAATAAATAGTTCTCAAGTTCTGCTGTTGTAGAAAATTAAATCTGAGTGTCCCAAGTTCACAGAAATAGATAGAAAACTGTAATTTATAATATCACACAAGTTTTCTTTATAAATAAAAAACCTACACTTATTCTAAAAAGAAACATTTTGAAGTCTAATTGAAGTAAAACATACCAATAATATTCTTGAATCTAAACCAAAAACTTGGAGAAATTTATACAAGACAGCAAACATTAATGGATATCCATATCCCCTGATGCCTTCTCTCCATTCCCAAGTTAAATAACCATACCTTAAATGACAAATAAATTTCTTAGGCTATTATTAGAGCTGTGATTGCCAAGCATTTTTTATCCTAACTCAGATTTTGAGTAGAACTGTTTGAAATAATATGTTCAAATCAATTTTTAGCAACTTTTTCACAAAAACCATTCTCATCGTCAAGTTTACGATTTTGCTTCCATAAACTGTCCTTTTCGAATTTTTTCTAAGAAATATTTGGATTGTTTTTTCTATTGACTAAAATGTTTCATAGTGCTGTTTCAGGAGAATATTATGTATATTTCACAGAAAGCTTATATTTAAGGTTTTAAGACTTCCTTATCATGAACTGATGAACTTACCCAAAAGCCATGTTATGACCAACTTCTAATGACTGCCAATATTCATCAGGAACGAAATGTGTTTGAATCATTAATGCATTAACAAATCTCAGGGCCAACAAACCCAGGAACAATGATTTGTCCGAAGCCATGATAGCTTTAACTACATTGGGTCCTAAAACTTCTTCATCAAACAGATTCTTATCTTCTTCATCTTCTTCGATGTCACTTCCTGCTGGCGATGAATGACAGCTAGATCTAGCTTTCTGTTTATCAATGGATGTTAACCTCATCTTTCTTCTTCTAATCATAGCACCTCCTTTACTCTCCTTCGACATTTTACTTGATTTCTTCTCTATGTACCAGTATGTCCTTCATATAATTCTAATTCTAGTATTCATGGCTAGAAAATAAATCAATCAATAAATGAAGTTCAATGAAGTTTCAAAAAGGAACAGATTGCTTGCTATGTAAGGTAACCTATGCCCACCTATTTTCTATAGCAGATTATTTTTTTGAATGTTTACACATTTAAATGTTGGCGTATTTAAAGGAAGTGCATATCAAATTTCCAAATATTTCTTCATATTCATTGATTGGCAATGACATTTGCAATCTAATTAGCCCAAAAATCTGTCTCAGAGCTATTCCAGTCTCTGATAGCTATTTTGACAGTTGTTAGCTGGAATAGGTTCTTATTTGAGAGGATTTTCAGCTCCCCTGAAGGTGATGCCCTATCATCTAGATAATATGGCGGATTCAAGGTATAGAAATAGATATAGATGGGTATGTCTCAGAAAATCCAGAACTTGGGTGGTACAGAAAATTTTCATAAAACAGGGCCTAGTTTTTCTGACCCTGGCTACAATAAAGGGATTTTACCTCGTCCTCACCTTCTCTTGTCGACTTGTAGTTGTGAGTTGTGTTTTGAAACTGAAAAAGAGCGTTAATATTATTAAAAGACAAACCTACTTTTAGACTTTCGACTTCACTCAATTTTAAGCCATTAACTAGATTCTAGAACTCCATCAAAGATGTTGATGATAGACAATTAGAGACATGTTTTATCATGTCATTTACTTTCTTCTTAGGTTAGGCCTAATCAAAATCAATTCCAATAATCGATTGTTTACATGACCAACTCGATCAGCCAATGGAAATGCTTGAGTAAACGTCGGCCATCTTGGAACTCCCAGATATTGATCTAGTCCCGTATTTCCAGTGACCTTAACACATTCGGCATTTCTCGACAGTTTCCGCACAGCTTATGGAAGGCGAAATGGCTTTTTATTCAATATTCATCATTGCTATTTCTTAATACTTAATTCTAAATCTAATTGAAGTCTTAATTTGCACGGTTAATTCAACATTTGTCATTGAAAATTGACATTTGTATACCAAAATCATAATTTCTACTGAAAATGAGCATTCTTCGGTATACATTCGGTTTTCCAATAATTGAATTAATAGAATTCTTGCCAAAAATATCCTCTAACACAAATCTAGAAATACAAATCTAGCTCAACATATCTTCAAATGCGAAACGTCAAACACAAATCTCTACCAACAAATGTTCAAATACAAATTTTCAATAGATATCTCGCACAACAAATTTTGCGAAACCTTTCTCCAAATACATATCGAATATATTTGAAGGTTATGAATATGACGACAGGTGTCGCTGTACAACCAACATAAACAGAGCCCTTTATCTCTATAAAGGGCTCTGAACATAAAATATTATTATAGACTATAGATAGCCTCTATCATCCAGTTCAATTTTCAACACACTTCACGACGACATTCACGACTGCAATACTGAAGTTGATACGAGTTGTACGAAGTAGAGATAGAAGTCTTTCAAGACAAGTACGTTTGCTAAATCTTCGGTTCTTGTGTGTGTTAATAATTATTTTCGGTTTCAAATAGCCTAACTTTAAGAATGTATTTTAATTGGGCTTTCGATTATAATTGTCGGTTACTTTTATTTAGAATTAAAGAATAAATCTAGTAATCATATTAGTAAATGTAATTGGTCTAGAGTCTAGGCTACGACTACACAACAGCTTAGTGCCATTGTGGGCAAATAAAAATGTGTCGAGTTCTACACCGAGCCTATTTTCCTTTAGTATATCTTTATCTTGATAATTGCAGTGTGACTTTTGAACAAAAATGCCGAACATTTTCCTGAAAATTGTACTCTGTAAAAACATTGACAATAGGTCTATCCAATATGATCTGTTCATGTTTAGATTTCATTTGACGTTTTTACAATAACACTAGCTACTAGGCCTTCAGCGGATATATATTTTTAGGATGATATAAAAATCATCGGCAAAATGCGATTAACCGATGTACTTGCAAAGACAGTAGGCTACAGCGGTTTACAATTCATGACAAAATCATTGCAAGACATTTGCATGAATAGCCTACTTTTAAAAGACTTGGCCTATGATTATTTGATGGCTATAAATGTAACTTGCCTTGTTAATGCTATGAAAGGAAAGGCTTTTAAATCCTTGGACTGGATGATAGAGGCCATATATATTTTTTATTTAGGTTAACAGCGACATGTGTCGTCAAATATATTCGACATGTATTTGGAGAACTGTTTCGCGAGATTTGTTGGTAGAGTTTTGTGTTTGACGTTTTGCATTTGGAGATATGTTGAGCTAGATTTGTATTTGTAGATTTGTATTTGAGGATATTTTGACAAAAATTCTATTAATTCAATAACTTGAAAACCGAATGTTTATCGAAGAATGCTCATTTTCAGTACAAATTATGAATTTGTATACAAATGTCTATTTTCAATAACAAATGTTAAATTAAGCGTGCAAATTAAGAAAAAGAATTTAGAATTAAGAATTAAGAAATAGCAATGAAGAACATTGAATAAAAAGCCATTCCGCCTTCCATACATTCTGTTAGTCTTGACAATTTCAAATTGTCTTGGTAATGAATACCCCACATTCGTTCGATGTGTTCTATTGCAGGCCTTTTTACTTTATGTTACAATAATCATTCGACTGACTTGACAGTTCTGTAAAGGGAATGTGCCACGGTAATAAATGCATGATTTCGTTGTGTATTCTAGGGTGGAACTCTTTTGGGGAGACCAAATATTTGTTCGCGCGGTCGACCGCCGAGATTGCCCCAAGAGCGAATTTTTCAGAAAGTCGCGGCGGATTTCTTGCTATCAACCAATCAGCTTGTACCACCTCCCTTGCATCATTTCCTAAAATAGAAACTTGTGCACATGGCTTTTCCAATTTGCTTGTGGGGTACAAACAATGGATAAAACGGAAGTTTTGATTTTAGAAGTTGAAAAGAATCCAGTTTTGTTTGACAAAGCTGAAAAAACTTACAAAGAGACAGTAAAAAAGAAAGATATTTGGAAGGGAATCGGAGAGAAGGTTGGACTGACAGGTGTGTGATTAAAAAAAATTCAATTTATTTTGCCTGTTTCATCAATGGTATGGAACTTATAAAGAAAATAACAATTCATTAATTAATTACTTTTTAATTGACTGTTGTCACACTTTGTTTAACAACAAAAAAGGCGATCCGCATTGAAAGCCGTCGACGGTTTTCCGCGTTCGTGTTCGCGCTCTATTTGAATAACTGAACTGATGAAAAGTCGAGTTCGCGGTCGCGTTCGCGCCGGTCGCGTTCGCGTTCGCGCCCTGTATAAACCCACCTTAAGGACGCCTTTCAGGTGTGACGGAGCTAGAACTGTCACAAGCACTTATTCAAACACTGAACTGAGCGATTTTCAGATTATATAAGTATAATAAGTATAAGTTAGAAGTTATTTTTATTTATATCGGATTGAACGAAAGGCGCAGTTGTATAGGGGGCATCAAAACGATTTCTGCCCCTGTTCTCGGACTAAAAGTTGCACGCGTTTTCAAGATCAAAGGCTATAAGCGCAAAAACTCATACTAGATATTTTCTATTTTTCTTATTTTCAATAGGGTTCATCCTAAATGAGGGTGATTACAAACACTCACACCAAGAATTGTGCTATCTGGAGTGTTTACGAGCTGAAAATTGGACTAGTTTTCAAGAACAAGGGCAATTTTTCTGATTCACGATTATAGGGTTGATCCTTGGGTGATAACAAACATTTACACCAAGTTTCGTAAAAATCTGTCAATAATTGAACCTTCTAGAGGTTTTACAAGATAAAATTGAACGCAATTTTAAGAACAAGAACAATAAGGAGTGATATAAAACACTCAAAATCCGTCACCAATTGCACCTTCTAGAGTGTTTACGAGTATTACAAGAACAAGGGCAATAACTCATACTAAGGTAGGTATTTTTTTTTCGATTTTTTATACCTCTACATGAAATGGGGGTGTATATTGCCGTCGGTCCGTTCGTCCGTCGGTCCGTCCACAATTGCTCGTAAACACTCTAGAGGGCACAATTCTTGATGGATTTCGACGGAACTTGGTGTGAGTGTTTGATATCATCCAAGAATGAACCCGATTAAAAATCCGTAATATCGAAAAATATTTAGTATGAGTTATTGCCCTTGTTCTTGAAAACGTGTTCTAGAAACACTCTAGAAGGCACAATTCTTGACAAATTTCATGTGGGCTTATAACAAATGTTTGAAGAACGGAACGTTCTGTGATATTCGGAAATAAAGAACGACAATCAGTATCTGTCAGTAATACCGAGAGAATCATAAACTAGGATTATGAACTTGTCATGTTAGTTTAATCAATGATAAGATCATGATATTATATAGACAGGAGGATAATATTTTTTTTCAAATTTCAAATTTAATCCTTATTTTTAATCTCAATCAAATTAAGTCATTAAGTCATCTAAACTGGATTGTAAAGCTTTAACATAGACTTTATTCACTATTTGGAATTTAAGAATGCTTGTGCTCTAATATAAGATAAATAAGCTTATATAGTATGTAGTATAAGCCCACTGTCAGCTTTGATTCTAAATAAAAATATTTGGCAGTATATCTACACAGTAACAATTACCAGTATGAAATATTCAACCTTCATTCTTACACTTCTTTTGAACTTTTTGGGACGATACTGTATAATATTACCAAATTTCATTAAAATCTGTCAATAATTCCCAACCCCAATAACAAAACAGTAGTAAAGTAAATGAATACTTTAATTATTGTGGCCAAAATATACTCAAATTAAGACTATACGCGTCTGTAACCTATTAACGAACAAATATAATGAAAACAAGATGAAAACCAATCACAGGTATTGAAAGGGTTAATCTGACCAGTGCTGACCTAAACTAATTTACACCTAAACTCATTGTACGAAACAAAATCGAAATATCTTCATTTATACTTAAACTCACTCTACGAAGGAGAAAATAAAATAGTTAAAGGAGTTGCCAATTAAACATTTTATAGATAAAATACTAAAATTGCATCCTGTAAAATTAGCTCTCTCAAAGAGAAAATTATTTGTCTTATTAGCCCCTTTCAAAGACTAACAACAGTTGACTGTTGACTGTTGACAGACAACTATTAGCTTTTAGTAGAGTGTTGAAAAGGCTAACAAAAGTCTATTATTATTAACGTGGTAGCCTACATCGAACTCGAGGCAGCCTACATCGAACTCGAGGCTACTTATTCTAATGATGATAATAATAATAATAATAATAATAACATGAAAATGAATGTAGAAATTGTAAGCCTTTGATCGCGCACAGTTTCTTCAGTATGCAAAAGAAATGTGAATTGGGTAAGAAGATTCGTGGCGGCGCCAACCTCCCGTAGGAGGCCTATAGGCTACATATATGCGACAGACTCACTCCAGGCCCGTAGCTAGTGGGCAATAGAGAGGAAGTGGGGGAGGCCCATCTAAATTTTGTTTTATAAGAAATGACTTGTTGAGTCTATATTATAGTTGAGCACCATTCAAAAAAATGAAATTCTGAGTCTGGTTAATCTTGATTTGGCGCCATTTTGAGTTCTATTATGTTCGTGGCAAATAGTTCTCGACCATTCGTAAGGCAATTAAGGGTTCCTCTTAATTAGCAGTTTCACAATTTTTTGTTATTGCAACAAACAAAAGGAATGTTTTAAAGGCAATAGACCAATAATAAATTTGGAATCAAATGTGCATTCAAGCAGGAATAAAGTAGGAATTATTGGAATCAGCTGAGGCACAAATTCTGTATTTTAAAATACGTGGCAAATATTTTACTGAAAAGTTATGATTCGAATTCTTTAAAACTCGAACTATACCCATCCTATCTCTTTCAATCAAATAAATCTAATTTGAAACAATTCCTGTCAAAGAGTTTGGAGTTACCTCCCTTACTCAAACAAACTACGTCGCAACTATATGATCGATTCGAATAAAATTCTACAATACGTTAAATATATATCGGATCAGACCCTTTTCCAAATTTCAGAGCGTCGCCTTGTTAAATTGAGATATAACGAAAATAACAAAACTTACACCCACTTGTGTTAATCAAGTATATATTATTTGAAACAATTCCTGTTATAGAGTTTGAAGTTACCTCCCTTACTCAAACAAGCTGTACGTGCTACGCCTAGTAGCGCAACTAGATGATCGATTCGAATGAAATTCTACAATACGTTAAATATATATCGGATCAGACCCTTTTCCAAATTTCAGAGCGTCGCCTTGTTAAATTGAGATATAACGAAAATAACAAAACTTACACCCACTTGTGTTAATCAAGTATATATTATTTGAAACAATTCCTGTTATAGAGTTTGAAGTTACCTCCCTTACTCAAACAAGCTGTACGTGCTACGCCTAGTAGCGCAACTAGATGATCGATTCGAATGAAATTCTACTAAATTCTATTAAATATATATCAGACCACACCAATTTCCAAATTTCAGTGCGTTGCCCTGTTTATAAATCGAGATCTGACGAGGGCTTAGCTATAGACTCGACAAGTCATTCAAGTCATCTAAATTTTTCAGGGGAGGGGTGAGGGGTGACCTAGCCCCGCCCCCTCCAGTTATGTGCCTGCTGCAGTTGCTTGTTAATATTTCTGCAGCCTACTCATAGGCTATTAAAAGTATGCTTATTTTCAATAGATCCAGCCCAGCAATACTTAGCCCAGCTGACCTTTGGTTAAAATTAACATGCAATTTGGTAACTTGGTTTTATTGAAATAAATAGCTCTCTGAGAAATAGGCATTTTATCTACAAACAATGATAGACTTTATCATATAGTCATAGGTCAACGGCAGTATATATGTACATGTTTTTTCATTTTTTTCTTTAACTTTCTAGGATCATTGAATAGATACCAAATTGAGAAGTTTAGTAGAAAACAGGATTGGGACTCATTAAGAGACGAAATATTCCAGTGTTATGATGCTGATGAAGTTCCAGAATCCTTTGCATGTAATTTATGCCAGAAAACAACAGACAAGATTTACAGATGTTGTGATTGCTGTCAATGGCAAAAACTATGTATTTGCTGCTTGTTACAACGGCATAGTTACCCCAATCTTCATATTTTTGAAGAATTTAAGGTTAGTGTCAATTTTGAAATTACTGATACAGAAAAAAAAAACGTTTATAGAATGCTAGGAATTGTAAAGAGTTGAAGTATATTCTTAACATTCATTAATTCAAATTCTATTAATTGTTAATGTTACTTTGTTGTCATTCAGCTAATTCTTTAAATACATTTATTCATATTTTGCTTTTGTCTTAATTATTCTTGGCCACAAAGATGTGCCAATCTGTTCAAAACCTTTCTATGATTGATAGCAATAGCATTTATGGGTTGCTTACCTTTCCTTACCTGAGCTAGTGTCGCTCAAAGTTTAAATGAGATCATCCTGCTTATGCTAATTGGCCACTGGTAAAGTGTGAATTGTTCCCACAAGAGATCATAGAGCAATTAGCAATAGGAAATGCAACCTTTTATGTTTTTTGTAATATATGTTAGTGTTTGTAAAGCCTACCAAGATAATTTATGTAGTGGTATGGTGGTATGTATAATAATGATATTGATGATGATAATTGTAGGAGAAAGCCTTCATTGAGTGCAGTACTGATACACCAATATGGAGAATTTGTCACCCATGTGATACAAAGTACCAAAAATCAATGATTTTAGTTGATGATAAAGGTATAGTACACCTACATTTCATTGTTGGAATGCCATTTCTTTGATTCCATTTCTTTTACTATGAAGAAATAATTTAATTGCTGATGTCTTACACAGTTATACAATAACCATGTTACTCATAAATTTGATGTAAATTGTATTTCAATAAAAGTAGGTTGTGATAAGAAAAAAAAATTCCATGTGTTTGATATTTAATGAAGTTTAAATGAAAAAAAATAACAGATTAAAGGAATGATCACTTGGATATATTCATTTGTAATATAGTACAGAGATGTGTAATTATTATATGTTTAGCCAGGTTTCAGTTCAAATTGAGTATAAATATTTTTGCAGGTAAACAACATAGAAGATTACTAGAGTTTTGTAGTTGTGAAAAAGAAGCAGTGACTTTAACCAGATACAAATTTTGGCCATCAAGTGTGAGGTGTCCTGCAGTTGCCTTTAGCTTTGGAATTAAACAGTTCATCTATAAAATCAAAAGATACCAAGTCCTATTATATATATTCTTTATTCTTTATTATATAATTTGTACTTTTGACAGAATTCTTATTTTTAAACATTCTTTTGCAGGAGGTCAACAAATAGCCATTCGACTATCAAAACAAATTAAAGCCTGCAATATGAAAATTAAAGACGCCCTACCAACCTATAATGAATTATACAATACCAACAAAACATTTAAAGAAATAACAAACCAGGATGAATTAGAAAGAAACAGCATTAAACAAAAAGCCTGTAATTTAAGATTACTAATTGAAAGGGCAAGAGAGGAGCAAATAATGGTTAAGGAAGAAATGACATCAACATACAACTATTTTGAGCATCAACTTGACAATCTAAAGGATGTTTTAAAAGAAACTAACTCTGCAAATAGAGAGGCCACCATATTTAAAGAGGGGTTGTTACTGGAAATTAAACTTTCCAGTCTTTATGAACAATTTCATAAGTATGTTGTTTTAAAGGAAAATGCACCTTTATTTTCTATAACTTTATCTTATGAAATGAAAGTAGAAGAAATTTGTGATGATATATGTGATGATATTTGTGATGAATATGATGATGATGACGTTGATGATGATTATGACAATGGTGGAAACTATGGGGATGAGGTGCATTAATATTGATATCGTTAGGATAATGTTTTTCAAGAAAACAAATATGTGTTTTAGAGGTTAATACTTTCCAAGAAAACACTCACACGTTGTAGAGAATGTTTTAAAAAAAAAGCCCAAAACACGTACTCGCTGTAGAGGATAATGCTTTTAAAAAAAACCACCAAAAACACCCACTCGAGGATAATGCTTACAAAGAAAGCAACCACTAGCCATCGAGGATATTGTTTTTTTCAAGAAAACACCCACTCTCAGCAGAGGATAGTGCTTAACATAAAGGATAACGCTTCTTGAGAAAACACCCACTTAACGTAGAGTTAGTTCAATATTTTATGATGTTGTATCATTCTCTTTATACTTATTTTTACATATATATATATAGAGATTTTTAAAACAAAACAATCTAAAAGCTAGTGTTTTATTTTCCTTGCTTCCATTTAGATTCCAGATTATTGTCAGAATATATAAATACATATATTATTGGGCTGGATTCCATCACATTTAGACGGCAATAATACATATGATGTCTTTCCTGGCCGGAGTTCGACAGAATTCCACCTCATTTAGTATAATGATACATATAATGTCTTTCCTGGCCGGGGTTGGACAGAATTCCATCACATTTAGACATATATATGCTTTCTGGCTGGATTCCATCACATTTCTAGACGGCAATGATACATATAACGTGTTTTCTGGCCGGAGTTCGGCAGAATTTCGCCTCATTTAGTATAATGATACATATAATGTGTTTTCTGACCGGGGTTGGACTGGATTCCATCACATTTAGACGGCAATAATACATATGATGTCTTTCCTGGCCGGAGTTCGGCAGAATTCCACCTCATTTAGTATAATGATACATATAATGTCTTTCCTGGCCGGGGTTGGACAGAATTCCATCACATTTAGACATATATATGCTTTCTGGCCGGGTTGGGCTGGATTCCATCACATTTCTAGACGGCAATGATACATATAATGTGTTTTCTGGCCGGAGTTCGGCAGAATTTCGCCTCATTTAGTATAATGATACATATAATGTGTTTTCTGACCGGGGTTGGACTGGATTCCATCACATATAGACGGAAATAATACATATAATGTCTTTCCTGGCCGGGGTTCGGCAGAATTTCGCCTCATTTAGTATTATGATACATATAATGTCTTTCCTGGCCGGAGTTCGGCAGAATTTCGCCTCATTTAGTATTATGATACATATAATGTGTTTTCTGGCCGGAGTTTGGCTGGATTCCATCACATATAGACGGCAATAATACATAAAATGTGTTTTCTGACCGGGGTTCGACTGGATTCCATCACATATAGACGGCAATAATACATATAATGTGTTTTCTGGCCGGTGTTGGACTGGATTCCATCACATTTAGACGGCAATAATACATTTAATGTCTTTCCTGGCCGGTGTTCGGCAGAATTCCACCTCATTGAGTATTATGATACATATAATGTGTTTTCTGGCCGGAGTTTGGCTGGATTCCATCACATATAGACGGCAATGATACATATAATGTGTTTTCTGGCCGGAGTTCGGCAGAATTCCACCTCATTTAGTATAATGATACATATAATGTGTTTTCTGACCGGGGTTCGACTGGATTCCATCACATTTAGACGGCAATAATACATATAATGTGTTTCCTGGCCGGAGTTCGGCAGAATTCCACCTCATTTAGTATAATGATACATATAATGTGTTTCCTGGCCGGGGTTGGGCTGGATTCCATCACATATAGACGGCAATAATACATGTGTTCGGCAGAATTCCACCTCATTTAATATAATGATACATATGTGTTTTCTGACCGGGTTCGACTGGATTCCATCACATTTAGACGGCAATAATACATATAATGTGTTTCCTGGCCGGAGTTCGGCAGAATTCCACCTCATTTAGTATAATGATACATATAATGTCTTTCCTGGCCGGGGTTGGGCTGGATTCCATCACATATAGACGGCAATAATACATGTGTTCTGCAGAATTCCACCTCATTTAGTATAATGATACATATAATGTGTTTCCTGGCCGGAGTTCGGCAGAATTCAGCCTCATTTAGTATAATGATACATATAATGTGTTTCCTGGCCGGGGTTGGGCTGGATTCCATCACATTTAGACATATATATGTTTTCTGACCGGGGTTGGACAAAATTCCACCATGACATTTGGGCGGCAATGATAGAATCTTGGACAAACCTTTACATGCAGCTGATAAACTTGATGTTAATAGTATTTAAGAAAAAGTTTTACATGTACCTAATGAACATGATGTTTGTAGTATCATGGACAAAGCTTCTCTTACAGCTGATATACTTGATGTGTATGGTATCTGGGACAAAGTTTTACCTAATAAACATGTCTGTAGAATCTGGGACAAAGCTTTACATGTACCTAATAACCTTGATGTCTGTAGTATCTGGGACAAAGTTTTACCTAATAAACATGTCTGTAGAATCTGGGAAAAAAGCTTTACATGTACCTAATAACCTTGATGTCTGTAGTATCTAGGACAAAGTTTTACATGTACCTAATAAACTTGATGTCTGTAGTATCTAGGACAAAGCTTTACATGTACCTAATAACCTTGATGTCTGTAATATCTGGGACAAAGTTTTACATGTACCTAATAACCTTGATGTCTGTAATATCTGGGACAAAGTTTTACCTAATAAACATGTCTGTAGAATCTGGGACAAAGCTTTACATGTACCTAATAACCTTGATGTCTGTAGTATCTAGGACAAAGTTTTACATGTACCTAATAACCTTGATGTCTGTAGTATCTAGGACAAAGTTTTACATGTACCTAATAAACTTGATGTCTGTAGTATCTAGGCTAAAGTTTTACCTAATAAACTTGATGTCTGTAGTATCTAGGCTAAAGTTTTACCTAATAAACTTGATGTCTGTAGTATCTAGGCTAAAGTTTTACCTAATAAACTTTATGTCTGTAGTATCTAGGACAAAGTTTTACATGTACCTAATTAACTTGATGTCTGTAGAGTCTAAGACAAAGTTTTACATGAACCTTGTAAACTTGATGTTAGTATGTTGGAGATAGCTATACATTTACCTAATAAACATGTCTGTAGTATCTAGGCCAAAGCTTTAAATGCAGCCGATAAACTGGATATTTATAGTATTTTTGGACAGCATGCCACATGTAGCTAAAAAACTTGTCTTTAGTATCTAGACTAGTTTTACATGTTATTGGGCAAGATTAGCAAACATGGCCTCAGCAAACACAGCCTCAACAAAGACGGCCCCAGCAAACACAGCCTCAGTTCATGAGCATAGTGTTAGTCTGTAATAAAAGCTTATGATGCTGAAACCTGGTTTTACAAGGATAGACAGTATACAGTGTGTCATATAAAAAATTACATCGCATTATTTCAGTCTTTATCTTAAAAAGTCAAAATATACAATTTGGGTTTTTTGCAGGACCTTCCTTGAACATATTATGTAAAGTCTGTTTCTATTTACAAGTTCTTTTTCACAACCTGCAAAAATATAATAAATAAAAACATATTAGAGTAATCTGTTACAATTTGTTGCATATGCAGTGAATCTTTCTTGAGAAACTAACATGAATGAATTTTTAGACTGACCGTATTGTTATTGTTATTATTATTGTTTTGCTAGTATTTTTACCATTGTATCAATGACTAGATTTAGGTATTTAACAATGATTTTCATCAATGACAACATCAATCATATATAAAAATAAAATAATAGGAACTAATTTTACATTTTTAATATAAGTCTCATTGCATACGCTCCATTAATATACATTTTTGAAACTGAAAATAAATGATATAAAAAATTACCAAATTCTCCTCTGGTAACCATGAAAAACTACCATCTACAGACCACTTAACATAAACTTGTCCTTCTTTTTTCTCTATAATTTCTTCAACTTCATACACTAGAATAGAAACATGCCAGTATTATTATATTATTTATTATATATTATTATCAGAATATTTATTGTTGTTTTCATTTATTCAAACTACACTGCTACTTATGGCCTTCTTTCATTGACTGAAAGACAATAACATTGCAAAACAATTTAATAATAATATAATATAATGCTTAAAATATTATTGGTTTATGCACTCTCAATTTGTACTCTGTCGCTATGAGCAGAAAAATTTATAATAATTGAGGCATCTCAATAAATAAAAACCGGATATCCCATTAAAAGTATATCATGTTGTTGCTCTTACAAAATTTACATTTTCTTCTGTTCACGGCAAATGGATATTTAAATGATATTGGTCCTTAGCAGTTTTTTGCTGTTGGGACTTCGGGTTGTGGGTGGTTTGAGCAAAATGTGAGTTATCAGGTTTTTAATCTAGCCGCCTCAATTATTCTTTTAGTCTTATACTTAAGTTGAGATATAATTAGACACCTAGCTTTGAAAATAAAATAAATTCAGATAGCAAATCGTACTTCACTTACACTTATTCTCTTGGACCATTTTCTTTTTTGTTGTATATTTTCCTATCAAAAGATTTTTTCAATGTTTAAATTATTAAGGATAATGCTATTTTGAATAAAGCTATTGAATTTAAGCTTGTTTCACTTTTTATCAATGGATCTTTAAATATTTGATTTACAAGCTGATTTAGCTCAATTTCATGTAGGGTTATTACATTTTGAAATTGCAATTTGTTGTGTAAGGTCACAAGGAATACCAAAAAATATACATACGTTTAGGTGCCTTTCTTTTTTTACGCATTCCTGAAAAAATGAAGCATTGAAAATAATTAAAAAACAAACAAATTGATAGGGAAACACAATGTATATAATATCAATTTTATTTCAGATATTAATACATTTTATGGCTATAATTTATTTCCTCAATTCAGTTTTATTTTTGACATATTGGAGTTAGTGTCAATGCCTTTGAATCCCTATCATAAAGACGAGACAATTTTGAATTATTTGAGCATTTGTAAATAAACAAAAAAATAATTTACCTGTTTCAAGGACCCCTCTTTTAGATACCTGTTGCAAAAGATTATCCAAATCTGAAAAAAAAAATATTGTGTTGTCGTTTCATGTTAGCAATATAGATATAAATGAAAACTGTCACTGAAAAGTTTTATTTACATATATTGCGTTTGTTCCAACAACTAATCATACTGATTTTGATAATTAGGTGTTTAGAGGCCACGAGTCTTGTTCTTGGTTAAAGAAGACATTGAGAAATTCTATTACCTGTTGATTCGAGAACCTTAATTTCGTTTTCTGGCAACTCTGCTGCTATTATTTCTCCTGAAAATATATCAAGTCAAACTTTTTTTTTTACAATAGTGTCATGATCTAAAATAACAAGTCTCAAAGACTTTAATTTAAAATTAGAATGATGCAAATAGAAGCTTAGTGTCACTTATAAACATACAAGGCTACCTCTAAATTCCTGTAAGCAAAGAAAATTTTGAAAAAAAGTAATTATAATATCTACCTAATGTTTCTGGAACCTCTATTTCTTTTTCTGGCAGTTCTGCTTCTAATATTTCACCTGAAAAAATGTTAAAATAACATAAAGCCTTACTATACAATAAACCCATGCATTATATCTGATAAAAATGAATCATGCCTAAAACCAAACATATATTTAGTCAAGGGTAATAAAACAAAACTGTTCATGAATTATCACTAATTTTGGACTTAAACTCTATGTATACTAAATTTAACCACAATGATATAATACAACTATATTGTGTCTATATAATGTAAATGTATATTGTTCTTGTAAACAAATTATATCATGAAAAAAAAGAAGAAAAGGATTCCCATAACTGGTTATTGTTTACTTACCATGCTCTTTTACGTTTCCTGTTTCTGTTGCACTAAAATTTCAATAAATATAGATAATTATACATTTCTTGTGATATGACTGTAATTCCATAAACCGACTGACAGCACTGTTTAGTCACCTATTATCCTTTATTCACTAAGTTATGTCAAAAGTTGTTTTCGAACAATTGTATCTTACTGAACTACATATAACACACACAAACGTAGTTCACAGCCATTTTGAACCTCTACCTCGACTTATTTATTCAAAATTTGTATAAAGGCAATACTTTTCACGAAGTGTTCAAGTCAAATTTTAAGGCCATTTCTAAATATGAAATATTAAAACCCTTAAAACCTCTTAAAATTCAACTTATTAAGGCGAGACATGAAATCAAAATGGTTGTGAACTACATTAGTGTGTGTTACTTCCATCTTAGAATGGCAATCGTATACCGAAATGGGTAAGAACAATTTACCCTCCACATTTCATGCTCAAAATAATGCTTCAAATGATAACATTTTCAAGGACAGTGTCCACAAACCACAAGAAATGCTGAACTACAAAGCCAAGATTGCAACATAGGAGTAATGGTTTCTAGGCAAAAAGTCAAAAAGAGTGTATCATAGTTGACCATAATCTTGTGACCATGGTGACGGATTTATCAATTTTCCTCCATACTTACTTTCCTGGATGAAAAGTTATCGACAGCTTAAGAATAGCTTCCATAGCGCCATTGCTGTATAAATGGGGCTCTTTAAAGACTAGTTCAGTTGCTAAACCAATAACTTTGTGAGCCCCATTTATTATTGCCTTATAAGGCACAGCTGTCTTGATTCCAGTTGAATTCTCTAGAAAATAATGTTTTGAACATCATAGATTTTTTTCTTCTAAAAACAGATTGGCTTTGTACAATCTGAATCAGAGAGGCATAGCAAAATTGGTAGATATGTCAAATTAAGAAGTTCATTTTTTGTTGATTGTTTTAAATTACTATTTAATGCAAAAAAGGAATAATGTAAGGTACAGATATTTCATAATCATCTGTAGAGCCGCTTAATTTTAAAGTTATATCATTATTTCAATTACCCCAACAGTGACGGAAGTGCTCTCTCAGCTGTTTCTGTAACTTTTTCTTTTTTTCTGAGTTCGTTGGTGGGCAAGTAATAGCAGTTGAAGATGTTGTCTTGATATCTAAAGAGAAGAGTTTTGTAACAAAATGAAAAAAAAAATATCTAAAATGTATCCTTAATATTTGTTTTACAAGCCAACAGAACTTAATATAAGCTCATATCCCTTTCCAATTGTATATCTGTAATCCAGTATAAAATGATAATCAGCTTTAAATGGTATTCTTGATGGCATTTTTCTGTTTCCAGGAGGTATATAATTCTCTACATTACTAATATGATGATCGTATTATACGTTACTGTTTTCTATCCAACTTTCATTATTTGTTACATCTATTAATTTCAATTTTGAATTAATAATTCTTTAACTTTTGCTCTATTGAATATTCACCTCCACAAGAATAAAAAATAAGTAAATTACACTTGCCTGATTTACAGATGTAATCTTTAAATTTATCAAACATCTCTTTGTTGAAAAATGATTCTGCTTTTGAGGTAACAAAGCAGATATCATTCTTGCTATTGAGAATATCTTCCGGATCTGTACCAAATCCACCAATAGCAAACCCCACTTCAGCTAAAGTCATAATCTAAATCCAAAAAAAATTTGAAAAGTGAAGGCAGTAAATATTACATTATTAAATTCTAAAATCAGATTCTATGAGGGTAATTATTATAGACAATGGAAATCAATCTACCATAGAATTTGAATTAGATTTCCATATTCCCTATGAACAAATGATCGTGTTTGACTCACCGAATTTTGGATGGCCTTTATTTCCTGTGAGATAACCTCACTACGTGATCTTCCTTTCAGAAGAGTACAACGAAGTTCTTTAGACTCGGTCTGAAACTTTTTGACAGAGGCTGGGTCTAAAGACTTCCATTGTTCCCCTAATTTTTTCAGATAGTCTCCGCCATCCATATCACCTTAAATTATAAAATCATTTATGTAATTTCAGCTCCACTATAAATACTGTGGCGGGGGTCACTTTACTTGTGAAACCAGGTTTACTCTGTCTTACTTTACACCCAATCCAATTCAGCAACATGCCAATTTTAATAGTTAAAGGGACTGACGCACAATTTGAGGTGTTTATTTGAGTCTTCAGAAGTACTAGAAATGTTTGAAAACCACATAATTCCTTAAAAATTATCTCAAACTAGGAATTACTATTTCCTGATGTCTTTTCTATATGGCAGTGTCCAATAAAAACACGATTCGTCTTTTTAACTTTCAAACGGACAAACATGGATTTGAAGGCTCAAATTTTGTTGGCGAGTTGTGAACACTATTACTGATTTGTTTAGCTAAAATATTCCTGTTTCTGAGACTAAAGTATGATTGATCAAAAACTGGTGCACCGGTCCCTTTAATATTTTTTTTTAGCACATTCAAAGTGATAGAAGCTTCAAAAATCAAATTTAAAGAAATATAAAATAAATAACACAAATTGCCAGTACCGTATCAGATAACTTACATCAAAATATGTTACATGATCGACAACAACCAAGTCTACCAGAATTAAGACATGAAATAAAAATATTGACAACCTACCTTTTGGTTGACCAGAGGCAAACAGACTGTAAGCTGTGGGCCCCCTTGAATACTTTCTACATTTAGGATACATTTTAGAGTTTCCATTCTGTATCCTGTTTTGCTTAGCCCGTCTGTTTCCTATCCATACCTAAAAATTTGAAACACAGATTGATTTTTAATGTTTTACAGAAAATATTTAACCTTATGAAACATCATTAAGATTTACCATTAGCATACATATTTTCAAACTTAAAACTTATATTTTCTTCTGTATTTTTGAAACTTACAAGATAAATCAAAGCAATGTCTCCAAAATTTTGAAGTATGTAAGGTTTTAAAAGTTTATGATGTAAGCTTATATGCATTTTTAGGTTACAGACAGTAATGTTGTTACAGATGTCCATCTTAATTGTCAAACTTACTTTAACCTTGTCTTCAGATAACTCGTTCTGCAGCCACTTTGACAATCAAGGTATGGCATGGTTAGGCCAAAGTACAAAGTATGGATCCGAACCGCAAAACAAAATCCGAAATCATTTTGACGCATGAGACATTTTAGATCTCAATAGATTGAAATTCAAAACAGGGTGTAGGGTGGTAGGGGAGGGGGCATACTCCGGGCCAGCCAAATTACTGAAAGGGCCTAGATCTTTTGACTTGATTCTAAATCTCGATTGATCATTCGCGTGCATAGCCTGTAAGTAACAGACCCCATCCGCAACAAAACGTGATCTTGGCCTAGCATCCCCCATCCCTCCGCCATTGGCCCCCGTAGAAAAACTTCTGGCTCAATCTAAATAGATTGTAGTCTTTTGCGTTTTGGAAGTTCTATAAGCCCAGCTAAAAGATGTATAAAGATTGCCGGCGGTTGTTACTTACTTGTTCTATAGATGGTGTAGTCATGATTCTTGTCTTTCTTTTGCTAATTTGCTTCGCTTAAATTCGAGATGGATGAGCCTATTCTACTTTTTTCCCGCGCTCCGAACACGTTCGAAATTTTCATTGGTAGATTTATTTACTCACCGCGCATGTTGAACATGCGCACAGTGTAGGCCTTTTCTTATCTTTTGTTAGCCTTTTCAACACTCTACTAAAAGCTAATAGTTGTCTGTCAACAGTCAACAGTCAACTGTTGTTAGTCTTTGAAAGGGGCTAATAAGACAAATAATTTTCTCTTTGAGAGAGCTAATTTTACAGGATCGGGTGAAAATTGGGCTAAAACCTGAACGCTTTTTTTAAGAACAATGGCAATAACTCAAAAAAATATTTTTCGATTCTTCTGATTTTCTATAGGGTTCATCCCTATCCGGTCCGTCCGTTTTTATCTGATTTGGATGAAATTGGTGTGGTCATTTATATTAATGAGATTTGGACAAGTTCGAATTTGACGATCTTTCGATGAACGGTTCTTGAGTTATTACCATTACACAATATAGAGTATAGTGTCGAGGAATCTTTAACGTGCACAGCCTGTAGCAAACGGGGCCCAGGTTTATTGTCCTATCCGAACGACTAGACACCTTTTCCATGCCAGCCCCTGTTACCTGCATCACTGACAGGGGGAAAACGGGTTGAAAAATAGGAAGGCATTTTCTCGACATATGCCGGAATTGAACCCTAGACCTTCAGATTAGCGAGCAAGCATCTAACTCACCGCGGCTACTCATAATTCATTTGAGATAAAACAGAGGACATATTACACAAAAGAAGTTGCACTATTTTACTACAAACATTTTCCAATTTAGAAATGACACTTTACAGTTGAAAATGTACTTCTGGTATTTATCAAATATGACGGTGGTTTATCTTTTAAGATTTTTGGAAGATGCTAAATGAATTATCTGAATGGATTTTAGTTAAGTTACATGTGAATATAAACATCTGAATTTAGAATTTCAATCATTATATTGTTTGAATTATAAGTAGTAGGTAATAACATATTTTACAATTGTCTTTGAATCAGTGTATTAGACAAATCGGTAGAGCATAGATTAATAGCGCAAATTGACCTCCATACAAACTAGGAGTTCACTTACTATAATACATGTCTTTTCTATTTATATGATGAGTCGTCTTTTTAACTTTTCAAACGCGGTTAATTCTGGACACACAACTTGGGATATAAACACTATTAATGATTAGTTTAGCTAAAATAAATTCCCGTGTCTGTGACTATAGTACGATTTGTAAAAAAAAAAAATAGTGCATTGTTAGAAAACATTTCTTTTAAGCATGTTCATCTTGGTTGTTATATAGAAAATATAACTAAAGTTCTTATATAGTTTATTCCGATAATGTTAGTCTACAGGTGGGTTCCTTATGCCTCTTATTGGTGGATTGACTTTACGACCTGAGCTGTCCGTTATCCACAGACAAAACTGACTAAAAACGATGTTGTCTTGGTTTATAAAGACAATACAGCAGTAACGGACATTACAATAGAAAACAGAAACGTTAGTATGTAAGTTAATAGATGATAGATAAGAACATGGCATAAAACACAAATAAAAACTACTAATCTTATTCATTAATGGAGAAATATTATTTGTTCCATTGTTTCAATGACATTGGTATTTAACCACTCTCATCTGGTAGTTGATAATCATCGCGTGATAACCTTCTTCGTATATTTCGGCCACTTGACCACCGGGAGAGTGACGTATACTAGATTAGAGGCGACCGAGTTTTCGCTGGAAGATAAAGTACCTTGGAAGATGCCTGAGTGCATTTTCCAACAGCATCTGTGCCTTTAATAATGATGCAGGTATCCGAAATAATATGCGGCAGAGTGACAGATTAGTCTGCTCAAAAATGCCAACTGATTTGTTTGTCAAGTGCTGTAAGATCAAACGAAAATATCATTTCACAAATTTCGGAAGGTACATTCCGCATTTTTTGTATGGGTAGAAAATATTTTATGCTCAAATTTGTGAAAACTATACATCAAAATCTAGAGAAATGTGCCCTATAACATAATATCTGAAATAAAAAAATCCAGCCGTAATTCTTAAACGCCAAAAATATTGAAGCTGTTAGAAAACCACTGTACGGATTTGAATAAAATAAGCGCCAAATAAAATCCTATTCGAATAATCTTGGACCTTAAACTCACCAAGAAATGCCAGGAAATCGTGTTTCTTGGAGTTCCAATTCTCAAAATTGTCTATGGAAGGTCCCTCAAACACTATACAAACAAACTTTAAACTCGCGTCTCAGGGATTCTAATTCCAAAAATTTTATAGGAGAGCTCCCCCAGATTAACCGTTTTAAAACATTCAGTTTGATCAAGAGGATACATAGATATAAATAGCATACTTTAGAAATATTGATATTGAAAACTTTAAACTTAAATATGATGTTGCATTATTTTCATTCAGAAATACCATACTGATATTAAAATTATGAAACCTGTATCAGAACTTTTCAAGTTGACATTATTTGCTTTGTGCCAAACACTCAATAGTCTATCTCCGGTAAATTAGTATGATAAAGAGTACAAAGTAACCTGTACAATGCAGACTATAAAATATATTCCAACGGTTAACTATTAACTAGACATCATTAGTGGTAAAGCTTTACACTTAATAGGATAAGTAAGATTGGTAACGTGTAGGTGTACATTAGCTGTTTTCAAAACTGTAATATAGGTAAAAACGTGACGCCTTAAATACTGAATTGGGAAATAGGAAAATAGTTTGATATTGTCAATATGTAGGGTTCCCCCACACGCTTCAATGTTTAAGGAATTTAAAAAAGGGAATTGATATGTTGTCATCTTTTTATGATAATAAAGTTTTATTGTAGCCCACACTGCACACGTAACGTCATTGCGAAAGAATTAAATGTGCATTAAATTAAAACTAATACATCTAACAAAGTATTAAATTTTATATTTGGAAATTACTAAAACAAAAAAACATAATAGTAATGAGCATTAACTTAAATCTCGTGCTGGGAGCCGCGGTGGCTCAGTGAGTTAGACGCTTGCTCGCTAAACCTGAGGGTCCAGGGTTCAATCCCGGCATAGGTCGAGATAATACCTTCGGATTTTTCAACCCGGTTTCCCCCTGTCAGTGATGAAGGTACGAGAAGCGCCTAGTCGTTCGGATGGGACAATAAACAGAGGCCCCGTGTGCTACAGGCTGTGCACGTTAAAGATGCCTCGACAGTTGGAAATCGAAAAAGAGCAGGCTTATACCGCTGTCCTGGCAAAATTTCCCTCATTGCACCCTGCATTGCGTCGCCTGTCTTCATTAGCCCACATGGTGCAGAAAAGTAGGACGTAAAACTCCATTCATTTCATTTAAATCTCGTGCTCTTTGTGCAAAATCTATGAGCAAATCTTTTTGATTAATAGTTTATAATATATATAGTATTGTAATCATTATTTACAACATCGATAACAACTAAATATGGTTCAACAACTACAATCCAGTGGATAGAATACTGAATTTACTGGTATTGACTGAAATACTAAAAGAAATTGGCCGATAGGAGGATGCGCATGTCTTTGGACTGATGTTGAGTAAATATACCGGAAAATATGTGGCAACATCTGCGCTTGGCACATCATGAAATCTGAAAAATTTGCTGATACGCTTTTTGTATTTGACAGTTATACCACTGATAGGATATGGTCAGGGCATTTCCCTGTCAATTAAAATTTTTAGAACTCATTTCCAATTCATTTCTAAGGAATTCCAAAATTTCAATACAATTCCATGCTTTTGTCTAACGAAGGAAAATAAATGACAGCTTTCTGGAGGGGCTCAAGCTATGTTATTTCGTGACATATGCTCTATAAAATATATGCCATTATGCACAAAATCAATTTTGTTAATCCCGCGATTGCGCTTTATGGCGCTTCCACTTGTAAAAAATAAAAACCAGCAGCCTTAACATAAGAACAGATAATTTAAATATTGAATTTATCTTGGATTTTGAAATGTAATCCGGATATTCATTTGATTTGCTGTACTTATAGAATGTGTTTATTGCGTGATATACTTTTCGAAATGTTCCTTCCCCCTCAACTTTTTTGTGTCTGAAAGTGGTCGTGACATGGTTGGTGTGACATAGCAAATCTTATGTCACCATCTGTATTTAATCTATTTCTTGAGGTCGAGTTGCCAGTTGATTCTTTCAAATAGCTAAAGAGCTTTTTAGACGCCTGGTTCACATAATATTTTAATTCGATCCTAAACCACTACTTGTCTTAAAAAGAGGTTCATTTGTATCACATGTGGGGTTTACTTGTATCCGCAAGGGTCACTACTATCTTACATGTCTTTATGGTGGGATCCTGTCAGTATCTTACCTTATTTAAACCACATTTGAAGCAGTTTTTCACTCAAAAGCTGCAGTAAAGTTGACAAAATATTAGAGAAAAACTGAAATATAACATTTTATTTTGATAATGGTATAATAAGAATATCACAAAGCTCACATAAATAGCAACAAACAAAATAAAAATAGAAGGAAAAATATAATTTTACAATAAATTTGATATAATTAAATATAATATATACTGATGTTTGGAATGTTCGAATATAAGAATTGTTTGGGAACATTCTCTCAAATTTTGCAATCATTCTGTTTCTTGGTAATTTCGCTATACTAAATACATTTCGAATAAAACAATATACCTATATATATATATATATCAAACAATACATGGTCTCTTCTAAAAGGAATATGTTAAGTCGATAAAATTGAGTTCACATTGAACTATCGTCATAACCGTATGTCTTAGTTTTAATTTCATAATTCGTCATTATTGTATGCTGCATACTTAATAAAAGAAATAGCCTATCTAAAGGCTCATCGTCCTTCTAATCAATAAATAGATCGAAGGGTGGTTCATTTTGTCCAAATAGCTTCGTAAGAGGTGATGAATATTTACCAACCGTTTTTCATATGAGAGGTGTCCGTTCTCATTTGATCAGCGTGTTCAGCATAAAATAACTAAGAAATTCAGCTCAAGTTTTGATTCAATCAATAGTTAAGAATTTGAGAATGCATTTCCCACTATGCAACTAAATAATTTTATTTTCCGTCTTTTCATTAATCTGACTATTCTCGAAGATGTCTACATTACTTTAAGATAACAGTATTTTGGAAAGTTTTCCTTTTGTAGCGTACAAAATATCAGGCCATGTCTTAAACCTAATTATTTAGAAATAGAATATGTTATGCAGTTAGGAAGAAAAAATATAATATCAAATGAAAACATGCGAAGATATACTGAATTATCCTAAGATATTCTAGCTATCTCATCTTGTACACTGGCATCCTACACTCATATCTACATCCACAAACAACCAACTTCTTCTCAATGTTGTCGGAATTCTGTGATCACTACATCTTGCAGCTAAACACAATTTTAAAACTTGGACCGAAACAACAACAGACGTACAATTATAATGTCCATACCAACACGTATCACTCATACACTGCACCTCCAATATTCTACTAGGGTATAAATGTTCGCCTAGAATTTTCCAATGAGAGTCTGTTACACAACTCCATGGTAGAGGAGCCCCAGGAGCAAATGGTTCTGATGAAGTCCTTCTGCTTAGTCCATAATAATCCATCTCACTTCTTCCAATTAAAGATGCACACACTCCAGTCGAATTCAAATTGATTAATTCTACTATTAAAATTGTCACTGCCATTTTCTGAAAGTGAGAGAATAAGTTAATGATAGAACCATTTTTGTTTATTCATATTAGGCAATAGTGACAATAAACCATCAATAAAACCGTCCCCAATTACACGGTCAAAATAACTCAAACCTTGTCGATCTAAACCTTGTTAAAATGGAAGTAGTGTGCAGTCGAAATAGATCGAATTTGGTCACTACGGATCACGAAAAGAGAATGAATACAAGTTCGTTGAGCTATTTGCGTTAAACAGAATATTTAAAGGGACAAATGTGCCACAATTTGGGGTGTGTTGGGGGAGTGGTTGTTCGATTTGAGTGTTGAATATATGCATGTAGTTTTAAGAAGTAGTAGAAATCTACGAAAATCGCATAATTCCTTCAAAAATATCTCAAACTAGGAATTTCTTTTCCTTTATCTATAGTTGTCCTTCCATATATATGGCAGTGTTTCAAGAAAAGAAGACTCGTCTTTTTAACTTTCAAATGCAGATAATTCTTGACACACATGGATTTAAAAGCTCAAATTTCGACGGTGAGCTGTAAGCACTATTACTGATTGGCTCACTTAAAACAAATCCAGTTTCTGAGACTAAGGTACGATTGATAAAACTCATTTTCGGACCAGACACTATTTTTTTTACCAACTCATGTAAGAATTTCTGTTAAGAAAATACTTCTAATAAAATAACATTTCTCTATAGAGACGTGATAAGAATGAAATGTCATGCTCAAGGCAGTCTTTGATATTGTATCATTATGAATGGTGCCTTTTTATCGTCAAATTAGTGATTGTTCTTGTTAACTGATCATATAATTGATATATTATATATTTAGCAGCTGTTATTGGAAGATTACAATACTGGTTGTCCCTCAGACTTTATATTATAAAAATACCCATAAAAATGGTAAGCACCTGTATGTTTCTAATTACAAAATTAATTGTTTTGCCTGGTTCGTTTTATTAATGAAATTCCTGATGTTTCTATCGGACTGAATGGTACTAGTAGACCATAGCAATTAATCCAATCGAGGACACAAATGCCAATCAAATCAATTAAGGTCACTATGGCAGGATATTCAATGGTTAATCACATGGTATAGATTTACTGAAATGCATGTAGGTAATATGATCACCAGGAAAACTATCATAGTAAATTGGACATGAGGATAATTGGCCACAAGCAAATTGGTCACATGGTAAATTTGTCAAGTTGAAAATCGGTCAAATGATAGGAACATAAACTGGTAACCTGGTAACAGTATTTTATTCACAAGGTAAATTGTTTTTAGTAAAATATGGACAGACGGTCAACTGGTCACAGTAATTTGTTCACAAGATAAACTGGTCACAGTAATTTGTTCACAAGATAAACTGGTCACAGTAATTTGATCACAAGTTAAACTGGTCAGAGTAATTTGTTCACAAATATAAAAATGGTCACAGCAATTTGTTCTCAAGTTAAACTGGTCCTAGTAATTTGTTAACAAGGTAAAATGGTCACAGCAATTTGTTCACAAGTTAAACTGGTCACAGTAATTCGTTCACAAGTTAAACTGGTCAGAGTAATTTGTTCACAAGGTAAAATGGTCAGAGTAATTTTTCACAAGTTAAACTGGTCAGAGTAATTTGTTCACAAGTTAAACTGGTCAGAGTAATTTGTTCACAAGTTAAACTGGTCAGAGTAAATTGTTCACAAATATAAAACTGGTCACAGTAATTTGTTCACAAGTTAAACTGGTCAGAGTAATTTGTTCACAAGTTAAACTGATCAGAGTAAATTGTTCACAAATATAAAACTGGTCAGAGTAATTTGTTCACAACTTAAACTGGTCAGAGTAATTTGTTCACAAGTTAAACTGGTCAGAGTAATTTGTTCACAAGTTAAACTGGTCAGAGTAAATTGTTCACAAATATAAAACTGGTCAGAGTAATTTGTTCGCAAGTTAAACTGGTCAGAGTAATTTGTTCACAAGTTAAACTGGTCAGAGTAATTTGTTCACAAATATAAAACTGGTCACAGTAAATTATTCACTTATGAACTTACCCTCTAAAGTAACTGGTCACCAGTAGTTTTGTCAAAATTATCCACGAGGATAAATTGATTATAGTTTGCCCATTTTGCCCCAAAAAGCATATTTACAAATAGTCATTTTGCCTTTGATTTTCAAGTCTTTACATGCAAAATATCTCTTAAGTTTCATATGTTGTAATTTATGTCTATCATCCTTTGAATTCCGATAAAATGACAAGTAAACAATCTCTCGTGATCAGTGATATTAGAATTTGACTCACGAAGGGAATTTGGTAATGAAGGTGTAGTCTGGTGAAGCTCCGGAATAAGACTATTTTGTAATATTCATGACCTTCTAAATAATTACTTAGACGGTAAAATAGAACAATAATAGATTTGTTGCAAATTGGGATTGAATGAAATACCATTTAAGCCTATAACATAGACAAATTTCCACTGTACCGAGAGATGATTAAACCTTTTAATAGACGGCTTAAGAACATCTTGACATAGATTCATTCGTATGCAAAAAGGTTTGGACAAATAACAAACCATCCCATCGGACAAACGCCCAGATTTTACTTGTAGATCAACCAAAGATTTGGTTGAGAAACTATTTCTAACCTAAAAACATTTTGGTTTTTAACTCTGCGAGCGCAAATTGTTCATAGTAAGACTTACCCATACTGCTTGTGTCTTTACATTGTTAGACCATTTGTATGGATACCATGAAGGCCGCTCTGCTTGCTTTATACCCATTCCTTGGATTAAAACAGTTCTTCCAACCTCTCTTACCAGCTCTAAAACATAGATTCCATTGTTAAAATGTTCACAGTACAGATTAGGTTGCATCTGATACTATTATCATTAACACTCGGTTGATCTGTAACAGAAAGAAGAACCTATTATCACCAACGATAGGTTCTTCTTTCTGTTACAGATCAACAAATCGTATACTGCAGTGAAATCTACAGGATGGCGAATTTTGAGATATTAAGTAGTAAGCACAGTGGTACAAAACCTAGATTCCATCTTTTCATTTAAGTAGGCTTAAATGGTTTTACCTGGATTATCTAACATTACAAAACTTACAACATGGATTTGATCAAAATTTCTTTTCATTTTTGATAACTGATTAAACATTAAAGGGACAGATGCGGTATTTTGGGGGATTGATTTAAGCCTTCAAACAAGAAATTTAACTTTCTATTCATTTCTTTAACAAGCTTATCTTCTCTCTGAAATTTTGGGTATCCGAATGTTGAACGTATTGTTGATATACTCTCTGACACAAAGACATCTTCCGTCGCAGCTTTGCGTAGAAGAAGTGAGACAGGATGATTGAGTCTACTGTATATACATGACGTCATCAACAGATATTCAAAATAAAAAAGATTCAAAATAAAAAGTCTCTTAAAATGACGACTCGTTAAAATAACTTACAAACATAGATGATTATTGATACACATGGATTTGAAGGCTTAAATTTCGACGATAAGCTGTGAACATTATTATTGTTTAGTTTAGTGGAACAATTTACGTTTCAGAGGCCAGGGTAAATGCCACACTGTCCCTTTAAGTGCAGCTCGAGCACCATTGTCTGCAATGAAATTTCTGTAGAGTAGGCAATTACAAAAAGGCGGTCTCTCTTTTGTGATTTACAATTTAAGTTTCTCTACCGGGTGTCCTCGCCTACTAAATATAGTTTACAAAGTTGTCCTTTGAAATAGCTACAAGGAAGTAAAAAAAACACGATTTCTCTGATATTAGAATCCATTCAAAGAGACAGTAACTCTATAGGCGGTTCCGTGGAGGTGCGAACATCATATGTCAATGTGCCTGACAGGGAATACATGTTCTTTGTTTCATTTTTACACTTATGTCAATATACTGATTTATTACAGAAAACTGCTGACAATACTGAAATACCTTTTATACCATTAAATGAGCTCCAGCAATATAATGTAGAAACTATCCCTACCATCTAATGGAAAAGAAGGAGGACAGAATTGTACTGTTACTCAGCCGTGGAAGCCTAAATTAAACAACACTTTTTTAACTCGTTTTATGGAGTTTGCATCGCATAATTCCACTACAGTTTAATAGAAAAGCTAAGGGGAAGAGGTGATTATTGCGGTGTCGGGGGTTTAGTTCTTGCAGAACCTTAGACTGAATCAACGACTGTCAACTACTGGCGGCGTATGGGAGAATCTCAACAATTGCTGCTTTCGGTTAACCTGAGCGCAAAGACAGTTTAAAAATAACAGTTTTCTCATCTGTTCATGTTCTTCATTCTAATGTAAATTGAATCTGATAATCGTTCTTAGCGATCGATATCTGGGACCATTCAGTTGATCACCATAGTTGTTATTTGCAGTCAGTTTTTCAAGCGTTTTTATGAATATCTTGAAATGAAATGAGATGTTCTTAATCGCTAGTTGATCTGAGATCATATTTACAATTTGTCAAATTAACTAATAAATCGAATTCACTTATTTCACTAAAACTTCATCTAAAGCAACAATAATTTTCGGTGGTTAAGTTACAATTACAGTCTCTCATACAGATTTGTCTCCTTAAAAAGGGACAGCAAGGATCAAGAACTCTCTATAAGAGATCGATACAATGCAATATCCATTGATTGTGGCACTTCCGTTTAATCAATTAATTAACCAATGATACAAAGTAGATCGGTTGAGGTCTTTCAGGGGCTGTGTAGAGGTTTTCCTTTCTACGTGTGTCGGGGTGGCTTCTATTTGCATCATTCCAACTTCAAGTTCTCGTGAGGTACGCTCTAAAACGCATGGTTTTAGTTGGATTGCAAGGCCAGTCTGACATTTGACTGCAAATTATAGTTGTGCACATCGATGCCGTCAGTATCCCCGATGGAAATAAAAAGTTTAGAACACCCCTTTTACAACCCCTTTAAGTTGTGTCTAATAGTTCAAAAGAGATATAAATAGATCTTGATATTTTCAAACTGGTTTTCTTATTTAAGACATAGCTATATCCTATTGATAAACAACATAAGCTAGTAAAGTAACAATTTAATCTAAGCAGGATTTAAAGTGACATACTAATTAGGGAAAACTAGGAAGAATGTGAATATAGTTTTGACCATCACGAAATGTTTGTAAACGTTTATTTTAGATTTTTTAAGTCGTATGACCTTCATTCCATCTTCCAAATTTCAGAGCAAAAAAAAAAAAAAGAGTTTCATCTCTAGATAAAGAAATATTTAATTATGTTCATAAACTTAATGTCGAATGTAGTTTATTGCTTCAGGTGATTTACTAGGTTTGTAACTTGTAAGGTTGGACTAGTGCAGGCATTGGTTACGATATCAACAATATATCATACGTGGGACTAAAAAAAAATAGAACCGAGAAGACCGCCTAGTTGCGTTCTTATGACATCTGAACCAATAAAATCGTGTAATGTAGGATCTGTTTCTTGCTATTAACGACAAATTTCGGGATAGCTAATTCCGAAGAGGTTGTCATGTTGCTCTACTTTAGTTTTCGCCATCCCAAAATTCGTCCTGGTTGGCAATTAACAATTAGTATTCCATTTTAATTAACCCTTTTAAATCAAATTCAGTTTGATCAAATAGATACACAAATGTAAATAGAGAATTTAAGAAATATTTTCAGGTATAATCTACGACGTTTTTGATAATGGAAATTTGAATACTGCCCCTTTAAGATTAACATTTCCTTATAAGAATACTTTCGATCAGCTCAATCATAACTAAGAGTTTCTTTGATTTATTTGAAATATTGTGTGGGCAATGTTTTGTATCATTGCTATGTATTGTTATAGGATAATTTTTATAACGATTAAATTCAAATTAAAATACCATTAAACAGTTTTAGCAAGAGATTAAAGCTATTTCTATAAACTTTCTTCATATATGATCATTTAACAGAAACATGGTCAATTGACCCCGGTCAATTAAAAGCAAACCAACTCCAGTCGGAACCGGTTATCACATGAAGTTTTCTCTTACTGTTACAACGTTCAAAATAAAAAGAGTGGAACAGATTTCTCAAAAGATTTATCAGTACTTCTAGTATAAATCATGAGGTCCCTGTTTTTTTTATTTTTTTTTATCCCAGATTGAAACTGACAGCGTAAAAAAAGTGATTTTAGTTAGGTTAGTACTCTGTAACACAAAACCCGTGTCCAGCAGATTTTAAAAAAAAATGATTTTTATATGTTTTTTTCCAAAATATGTGACAGAATGAACCAAATCAATTCGATTTTTGAAAATTTTATTACAAGAACTCTCTCAGAAACTGGGGAAATGCCGCCTCCACAGTTGCCGCAATTTGAATTCAGCGTCGGAAGACTCCCCGCCCCCCTTATTTCATCGTTGTAGTTTCCACTACTCAAATTCAAGAAATCTCACGAAAACTTTTTTAGAAGACCAGGGTCAGTCCTTTTGAGAAATAAAAAAATCACGTATTATTTCATCTGTAAATGCTTTAAAGATTCTTTCATTGACAGATCTCCAAATTCAATTTGTAATAAAATTCCTGAACTATTATCGTAAATAATGCTAATATTATAAGGTTACAAAATAACTGTTAAACGTTTTGAAGGATTTAGTTGTTGTCTGGAACTAGTGATAACACAGTGTATAGTTCTAATTATTTTTCAAACTTGAACAAGAATTTTGTTTGTTAAAAATTAATTGATTTAAGGGTAGGCCTACTGTTTCTCGAATATCAATTAATCACAAAAAGTTGTAAATATAAAAATCTTAACACTCACCGTCGATTTAAACTTTTTCATGGTTCCACATAGAATGTTAGAAAGGATAAAGATTTAAAAGGGAGACTTTATAGTTAATGTCAACCATTATATCCATGCCATATTACCGCCCACCAACCAATCGTCATCAGCTGCTTACAAAGCAATTTTATCTGAACAATGAAATAAATGATACTTTTTCACTCAGAGCTAAATTAGTTCACAAGACATAATGTAATTGTTTTAACAATTAACAATTTATTAAACCCGAAGGATAGCTAATGGTAGCGACAAAACACATCTCCACGCACCTTGTGGAATTTCATGAACTAATACAATTATTACAAAATATTTTTTGAAAAGTACTTATTCATATGCAATAACAAACCCTTCAGGTATTGAATATCTAGACGATGATAACACCTGTCAACTCGTCATGACATGTGTTAATTTTACAGACGCAATTAAAGGAATTTGACAAGGAAATGCCAAATTTCATTACTCAATTACATTTTAGCCTGCAAATAATTTGATAAGATCTGAAGAGAGAAATAGCAATTTTCCGTCAAAATAATTATATATCAACCGTCGACACTTGATGTCGTCCACGTCTTCGGGCTACGTAGATGCCCTAGAGATTTAGACAAAAAAAAATCACATGGAGCCAGGTCGGTCGAAAAGGGAGGTTGCTCAAGCTCGGCCTGGAACTGGCGGATGCTGTTTTGTCAAACAGTCATGAATTGTCCTGTCCGGCCCTTCTTAGCGCACTGAATGAAGCAATCTCTCTGGATATGTTGGGATCTAAGCTTATGCTGTGGCCACACGAACGGTTTTTGACTATTTGTCTTGTTAAGGGTTTCATCGCTTCATTTCCTTGTGGAGGTTCTACTTGTCGCACATGCAAGCATTCACACGTTACCCATATTTTCAAAAATAACAAAAACGGAAAATTATATGCAATGAATGACCTAATTTCTTGTGAAAACAGATTATCATATAGGGCTTACCTAATTTTTTGTAAGAGATGCAATGTACAATATGTTGGCGAGACTCAAAACGCGCTTCGAACGCGATTCAATGGCCATCGATATGATAATAGTATGGCAAGGCAAGCAGTTTCTACGTCACCTAGTATCAAGCTTAGACGTCTACAACGCGAAAGTTGATAACTACAGACTGATGCCAAAATTTAACGCCATTTGATTCTACAGCTACCGAAGTCTCCATAATAGTCAAACGCCATTACTCGGAAATTTTCCCCTGTTTTATCAGTAAATTAATCGATTTCTACGTTGGATTTCAGGGAATACTTATTTCAGGACTGATGCCATTGCTATATACAGTATATTATATATCAGAGTACGTGTATGTTTGTCCTTTCAACTAATATCGTGCTAATGACTTACTTATTTTCACGTTATTAATAAGCGTATCTATCTGAACCTTTTCTGTCACATCTCGTATTCATTGACATCTACTCTGATGTGCCTGATTAGAATTTCGCAAATGCTCAAAACTACGGAACCACGTTCAGCTCACTCAACGTTCGACACCATCCTCATAACAAAGTGCCTACAATTTTCTCAAACCCCTCTTTTGACAATTCCAACATGACCCTCATTCTATTTTATTTGAAATGAAGAAAATAATACTTGTATAAAAACATTTTTTTTTCAATTTAGAAGTCTTTAAAACAGTGGGCGTGTTCGATTATGGTGGTTCATGCTTTTGAATGGAGATGGTGGTGAGGAACACACATTCAACGGGAACTGTTGATCTATCAATGTGTAGATAGATACACTACCACTTCTCTCGGATAAAGCGATCAGAATAGGAGTACCAGCTACATTGCTCTCGGCCTCCGGAACAACACTGAATGAAACAAAATATTATTTTTAAAAAAATCATCAAATAAAATATTGCTCGATGTAAAATACGCTTGCTCAAAATAAATATTGTTGACAGAATATGCCCAAATGATAAGTGAGATTGCTTTATAAGGTTGATCCATCATTTTGCTCCAGCAATGTTCATATGGATAATGTGGCTACTTACATCAAATCACTTATACCAATATCACCCATTACACCTCGTGAATATAGATTAGTCCATGTACCATCAATTTGACCTCTTCTGTGGACACTCTGGAACTCTGGTTCTACTCTTTCAGTGACTGAGGCTTGTAGTTGGAAAGTATATATCTGACCATTTTGTCCACTACCAAAGAATAAGACGGTTCTTCCTTTAAAAGTACCAATAGCCAACGAGTTTATACTTGGTCCCTATAGTAAAAATATTTAACATCAATCATATATTCCCCAGAACATTTTTGAGTGTAGATAAAACAAGTTACTTGACATTTCATGAGGGGGCTCATCAATAAATAAATAAAATATATCATAATAACAGTATGACCTTCTGATAGTGATATGGTTTACCTCCGATTAGGCCTATATACAGCAAATTTTACTACGTGTAATTTTTAAGTTTGTCGAATAAGAAAAAGTCTCTATTCACAATAAATATAAAATTCTTTTGATAATATAGTTTGAACACAAAAATGAGTTTCCTTTTGACCTTTATTTTAAAATAGAGCATGCTATTGTTTATTTTGGTACTACTAAAAAGGTCGTGTTCTATTTATATTGCTTTTAACAGTACGAGACAACACAGTTGATCTAATGAGCACATAATATAGACACTATATTTAGTTATCCACAAAAGTTATCCTACTGATATCCTCATATAATTTCTAGTATAGCGGTTAATCTATAAATTATTGAAATGTGTGTTTGAATAACGATAGTCATAGATCCCAACAGTAATTGCTCTAGATTCGACATACCCCAAAAGGTGATTGAGTATCTCTTTCGTCTATTGGTGTAAAGTTTGGAACAGTGTAACCAGAATTGAACACATCAGGGTAGAACCATCTGGAGAATTTTTCTATCATATCACCACTTTCCCATTCTCTAGTCAATGTGTTGCTGTCAAAGATTGAAAATCCTCGACCACCAAATGTGTATATTTCAGTTATCTGTTGACCTACTCTACCATCTTGTAAACTGACAATTGCTCTTCCTAAATTAATTCGAAAAGTTGATACTAGACAATTTTACTCCACAGGGCTTTTAATAGATACAGTCTGATGTGCGCTTCTCGTGCCATTCAGTAAAAAACAGATTTACCTTATCATAATCGATATTTTGACGTAATTTTGGTAATAACTACCCGTAGGGAACGACAATAACGTTGAAAAGTGACATTGATAACTGACTCTACATCTTTATCAAGACATTACAGATGTGGTGCACAGTCTGGCGCACGAGTGGTTACTATATTTGTCTCAGCTGACCGATTTATTAAATGTTATTGGGGTTAAAAATTACCTAATTGGGTATCATCAAGTACTGAAGCTAAAAATTGGTTATTTGTGTCCCAGGGGAAGCTATACTCTACAATAGAAAATATAAATTAGAACATAGCTTGCCAAATATAATAACCAGTGGCGTATTTAAGTAAGGGTGGCAATGTAACGCGTTGTTTTTGGGGACCTCTGGCAGGCCGAAGACCCTCCTCCTTAAGGGGCTTCGGCTCTCGTCTAAGAAAGATACTTCTCTTATTTCGATGTGGGCGTATAGTATACAAATTAAGGCATAAATACGTCCACATACTGGTAGACTACAGTAAGAGTTTTTTTTTTTTTTTAAAAAGAAAAAGAAATACAAATATATAAATGTCAACAAAATGTGTATCCTGCTTTTTCAAATTTTTATTTTGTTCAAAAAACGTTTATCTCGGATCTGTGATCCGGATGTTCCATTATATATCTTTGGGTTACATTCCATTTTGTCGGCTCCATTGTCAGTATTTAGACTAGATGTAGGAGAACAAGCAGGGTCAAAATATTTACAGAAAAGAGAACAATATTCAATGAAATTTGTTAAGAAGATCATCAACACTTCAGTGCATGTCTACATGTCTATAAACTAATCATTGATGTTTATTATTTAAAGGAATAATTAAAAGCTCTCTGCTATTTATTTAAATCGTCATTTTGGAGCCATATCATTAGATTATCTACCTGAAAATCAAATCCTCGTTGCAAAAAAACAAAATTATTTTGACCTACCATTTTCCAAATCTCTGGCTCTAGCGTTATCAGCAAAAGAAGCTCCGGGCAAGTTGAAAGGTTTTCCTTCGTCAGCTGTGAGTAAATATAATTTATTGCCCCATTCTAAGAAGGAAATTTTATCTGGTTGGTATAATCCACGAACTCTTCTTCTTTTCATATGTACATTGGGAGCTGAACAAAATTTAGTTACAGTTTTTAAAAAATAATAAAAAACAAAGAAACTCGACATAATTAATTATGTTATTAAAACAACAGCTCAATAATATTATCTCCCTTGAATTTTTTGATATTTGATACATTTTAAAGCGTAAAGATCACATTGTATGTGTAGGGTGTTATAACAGATATTCTCCTATAGAAGCACTGGCCTAGGTCACAAGAATAGATAGCATTGGAATACAACAATATGATAAGAAATTACTTACTTCTGGAGTGATTTACAAGATAAATAAATAATTCAAAAATGCAAAGCGATTGTTTCATGGAACTAATGAAAGGGGATTCAAGTATGTGTAAGTTTTGCTAGCAATGGATATTTCATACTACGTCATATTTGTAGATTTTAAGATGCTCATACTTACATGCATCTCTATCGCTCAAATCTAAAGTAGAAAACTGAAAGTCTTTCCAACCCATAGGAAATATTGTTGCTGGATTATCGTCTATCAGATCAACTTTAGCAATGGCATTGTTTTCCTGAAAGAAATGGGTATATGTAAACATTTCAATAATGTAGCCATCTATTTATTTGCTTGACTAACTGATAAAATTTCAGTTTAGAAATGTAGAAGTTTAATTAACAGCAGGCGTTGTATATTGACGTAGTCATAAATCAAAATCACATTTCAATTAGTATAAATCGAACAGTTCCATACGAGCTAATATATTATCAACAACCAATCCAACTACCAACTACTACGACTACCAACTACCTAGTTTGCGATATCAGCATCCGCTGGAAGCGAACGTTAACTTGTCTTCTTCCAACAAACCAACGAGCTAATACCAATAACCTACTTACTTGTAGTGTAATATAAGCGTAAGCATTATTTGGGGAAACGGCGATATATTCAGGTTCAATATTGTTAGAAAAGGGATTCTGGACACCTGGCTGTACTGGATTGGTTCGTACCATGTAGCGTACACCTAAAGCCAACAGACGGCTACAAAAGACAATACGATCAAAGTCAATCAATCGTGGAAAGAGCATCGAACAGGGTCACATCAACATACAAAGTATTTCTGAGGCGGCCATTCGTTCATCACAGCAATCTAAAAGACGTACAGGAGAAGAAATCAATTGTTATAACAAGTTTCGCCAGTATGCAACATTCAATGCGACGTCTTTGAAGCTTCAATCTTTTCGCTAGACTAATGCTTCAAATCAAATAAATTTTAAGGCAAAAAAGTGTAAATTTCTTACTCAGTCTCAGCTGGATCATCAATATATGTGAACTCTATAGTTTTGACACCAGGGTTACCAGTTAAAGGAATCGTAACAATGTTGATGGTTCCTGGTGGATCAATGAATTCTCCACTGATGACAGAAGCTACACCTTCATTAGATACAACTAATTTATTACAATCAGATGTAAATTTGATGTTGTCTGGATCAATACCCACTGGAAAATAATATAGAAATGAAAAGTTTGGAGTTTTACGTCCTCACTGTCTTCTTACCATATAGAAGATTATAAGACCGACCTAGAACAGCTATCACCCGTTTCAAATTAGTGTTCTAACCACACGGTTTTTTTCCACAAGACTTATTAAATCATGGCTTATCTACGACGCGGGCATTTGATAAGTATGAACTAACACATTCAATCATTACATCAGATGAAGACCCACCTGTTATTCTTTCATCTGGAGCATTAATGGGCTTTAAAGCAGTTTCACCTCTTATATACGGCGAGTACAAGATAACATGGCCTTGTTTAGATGGATCTTGTTCACCAAACGCAATGGCAACGTAAGCTCTATTTTCTGCTTGATTGCGACATACTTGAATGTCGAGTGGATAGCCATCAGTTCCCGTATCAAAAGTAAATGTTTGTAGTACAGCAGGTGACGCAACATTAGCTACATCGATGACGTGTAACACTCTTGAAAATTTACCTAAAAAATAATGAAAAATTACGATAAATTGTACTGTATTTGTTTAGCGTTTGTCTTTAAATCTAAAAGAAATGATTAATCCGACCTTGATCAACTCGTAGAGTCGTCCCTCTATCCATATTGATATCCGATCATCGATCATGAACAACTTGACGCATATTCCAAAGACCCTATATTTGCATAACTTTACTGAAATGGTATTTTAGACTTACCGACAACATATAAGAATCTGGAGTTGCTATCATAAGCACTTTCAGTTGCCGTTCCACTGTCAATCTCTTGGGCACCATCTCTGTTTGGCAATTTTAAGTAACCTTCTTCCTTCAGCACGATATCTGCTCTGCATATCGGTAAGAGCAACAATACCATAAGATACCACTTAGCCATCTTGGTTAGGAGCAACTCGACTGAAACATAACGTAAAGAAAATTATGTTTGTTCAATCCTCCGCCCAAAACCAAATTGGCCATGCAAAGATATGCGGTCTATTCCTTAGGACCTAAAATCAAGTAAAAACAAATAGCTATACAATAAGTTATATCAGATGGTAATTTAATTTAATGCAATTTAATCTGCTCTTGTATTTCACTAGAAAAAAAATCCTTTTTAGAAGACCATACAACCCTTTGGCTTATAATTTTCTTTCCGAATTTCTAAAGCGCAAATATGAATTTGATGACAAACGGTGTGCTTACAATTCTTGCCAAGATTAGAAAAAAATGAATATCCTTACCAAAAACAAAATAGTTGAAATTTGTCGTAATGCATGAACTTTTTTGACACGGCAGCAGAGAGGAACCATTTATTTCAAGTGTGGGAATATAACAGTGATTTTGACTTTTCAACACAAATCTTAAATATTTCCTTGCACGCTTGTTTAAATGATCGTCATAATATTTTCACTTACAACAGAAAACAGTACACATACAATCGAAAGGCGTGTATGACACCAAATCAGGTAAAAGTCCAAAGCATGCTTAGTTATTGCCAACCCCGTCGCCAGGAATCTGATGTTCCTTAACTTGGATTATGAAATAAAGACAGCTATGTATATGTGCCCTACTAAATGTATTCACAACCACAGACAACAACTGTCGAAGGGAACAATGATATTCCGAAAATTGCCTGAATGCGGTCACTTCATATTCTGTTTAAAAATAAGGTCATAGCCACGCACTCAAAAATCTTAAATGGATTCTCTTAAGAACAAACTGTGTGCGATCTCTACGATATCCAATAAGCCAATTTAATGGTATTGTGACAAATCTATGTTGCAAACTAAAAAACAACCTTATCCAAAAGTGATTTTACGATTAGTCTGCATAATATTAAGTCACGTTGAATTTGATCTACAAACTGATCATCAAAAACTCATGATGACCGCATTATAACGAATTACCTTAGGGACAGTTGTTTCCAAGTCGATATCTCTCCAACTACCCAGCAAGACCTGAAAATAATATGTGTTAATAGTGAGATATATGATTTTATTTTATCTTATCCCCTATATTATCTGAGCTATATTTCAAAGACTGACGTGAAAGCAGGGTACCCTTTATGAGTAAATACCATGGACACTTAGTTGCCAGGTACGGTATAGGAATGTTAGGGGCTGGGTCCTCGTATATCAAACTTGAAAAGCTCGGAGACTAACGAATAGATAATCTAACTAGGTCTGTGTTAAAGGAGATAAGAGTCCGAGTGTAGTACAACCAAGAGACACTGTCATAAATTTCATGCTGAACAAGTTCGAAAATCAAGTTAATGGCCTGTATAAATTTCAAATAATCCCCCCTCCCAAATTCATAGGTTGGGCTGTCAAATTAATACCAATGAAGAAAAAGTTGCAAAAGAGCTATTAAATACGCCTACACTGACTCAATGACTGTCTGGGGAAAAGGAAAAAACTGCTATCTGACAACATCGATTGCAGAAAATTATATGTGATAAAGATCACAAAGATTAGAGACACATCTGGAAACGGTTTTTATTCAAAAGTTCTAATGCACTTATTCATCACGGTTTCCTTGGATACACGCTTTTACGCATAATAGTGCCATCAATACAGTTCCATTGAACCTTTCGTTTGATTCACAAAAAGTAAATATTGACAAATAGAATTTTGACTCAATGAAGATAATTCACGCCCACATGCTAATGAAAACATTTTATTCACTCGATCAGCGGTCCAGACGTGGTATATAAAATGTACAGCATTTTGTACTCCCGGTAAACTCTGATATCTCACAAATACAATATTGTGCGGCCAAATAAATAATGAGATTCCTTGTCAACACCATTTAATCTCACAATACATGCATACACAATTCCAAGTTTCCTCAAAATCCGTAAGCTCTCTTTTGCGTTCCCAATATTGGTTGCGGATAGATTGGGGTGACGACTACACACACACAAGATTCCGTTATTGATAGGCCCTACATATTCGTTTGTACATGAAAACTTTCATTCCAATTCATACAGGTTTAAACAAGAATTCTAATGAAATTGGAGCTTTGCGTCTGTTACTTACGGGGCAGAGATTGTAGACAACTTACATGCGTTCATCTTTCTACACGTTATAGACAATATTAACCAATGCTCCACTGAAATACATTATAATTTGAATTATTGCCTTCGATAACGCTATCTAATTTACCATAACACTTATGAACATATAGGCCTACGAGTAGACCTAAAGTGCGTTAAATTATCGATGGCCACATGCACAAGAAAAATAATAGTTATTTTGGTTGTATTGGTGCGCTTACGTTAGAAATTTCATATCTTATTAAATGCAGGATGCAGGTTCTCTTGATAGGCTTGTAGGCTACGATAATCCTAAAATTTTGTTTGTATAATATTATCATCATGGGCAAAAAGGTTCTATCTTCTCGGGCGAAAACTGTAGTCTACATCGCAAGCCACATGCTTCTATGTATGGTCAATACAAAGGCAATAGATGACAACACCTAGACTTGGAATCGAGCTGGAAATGACATGTTCAACCTTCCTGAAGCTTTTTGTTTTAAGCACAGTTGACGTCATATCTGAAATCTGAATCATTCAATGGGATGAGAAATTCAGCTTCCATGAGCTGCAGAATGTGCACCTCTAGGCCTTTGTTGGTAACCAGAACACACCTGTACGATACGATACGACGTCACGTAAAACAGCCCGAATATGCATGTAAGCAATCCGTGTCCAACAACCAGTCAAGAGTTAGTTTGGGTCCATAGTTCAGGAGAAGTCCATGAAAACCACTTTCCAATACCCAAAGCCATATATTTCAGGTTCACGTGACAGTCATGCGGTTTAAAGTTCGAACCCACTAAAGATTGCTGTTGTTATTTACGTACTATTAGTATTTTTTGTTAATATTAGATCGAGGGGACATGGAAATGATCACCAGACAGTCGCAAATCATCAGAGTAGCACGGCCTGAAAGCTTTTTGAAATAGTATGAAACCCTATGTTGGCTATAATTTGGGATATATAGCAAAAGGTCTGTCTCACAAATACAAATAATTTGGCCAATTGTATCTTCCTTACATTTCTAGTCATCGAATCTAAGTCTCATAATATACAACATACACTCAAGGTTCCGTAATGTTCATGTATTTACGAGCATGTCAGATCATTGTCTGATTTCCCAAAATACTCAAGACCCTTCTAATGAAACTCACGGCTAAAATTTTGGATAGATAGCGCCACTTACTCTTTGCATCTGTCCGTAGGGATGGTTTTTCCGAAGCTGAAATGACATAATTCAAATCATTTCAACACATTTAAAAAGTGCACCCTGACTGTACTAACTGGAATTTAAAAGTGCAGCCCAAATTAGGTTTAATAAGGGTGTGGGCACACGAACTGTCTTGGTCGGCGATTTTTGTCGTCGACTAAGAGTTTTGTCAAGTATTTGAACGATCGGCCGCGGACACACGAGGAGACAAAATATCGTCTGTCGTTTCTCACTATGTCGATAATCACGTGCAGGCCATGTAATTGAAAGGAAAAAAAACGATAAAACAATCAGTGAAAATTATATGATTATAAATCCTGTCGGCATCACGATAATCTTGTAGAAGCGCGGGCACTCGTCAGATTTTACTCAAGTTTGGAGTCGGCAAACAAGACTGTTCGTGTGCCCGCACCTTTAGAGACGATCAAATAGAGAACAGTATCTTGTTCTCTCGATATCTATGTTAATAATCATATTGTAGCATGGATGAATTAAAGTGGCAGTGTGCTCCAATTAGGCATACAAAATTAGAAAAAAAGCTTATAATGTAATCGAATGTCTGGAATAAGGAATAAGTTACACCTATCTTAAAGATAGCTTGCCAGGCCAGGTAATATACGCCCACTGGCAGCTTGGATTTTGAATAAAAATATTTAGCAGTACAGTAACAATCACCAGTATGAAATATTCAACCTTCAGTCATAGACTTCTTTTGAGCTATTTAGGGCGATACTGAATAATATGGAGTATGAGTTATTGCCCTTGTTCTTGAAAGCGTGTTCAATTTTTGGCTGTGAAAACTCTAGAAGACAAATATTCAAACACTAACACCAAGTTTCGTCAAAATCTGTCAAGAATTGTCCCTTTAGAGTGTTTACGAGCTAAAAATTGAACGCGTTTTCAAGAACAAGGGCAATAACTTATACTAAATATTTTTCGATTCTTCTGATTTTCAATAGGGTTCATCCTTGGGTGATTACGAACACTCATACCAAGTTTTGTCAAAATCTGTCAAGAATTGTGTCTTACAGAGTGTTTCCGAGCAATTGTGGACGGACGGACGGACGGACGGACGGACCTAGGTGACGTCAATATACGCCCCCATTTCATGTGGGCGTATAAAAACTGGTAGACACTCCCACTTTCATTGTAAATATTTTCATTTAAACTATCACTGCGCAACGGGATTATCTTCTTCACGGTCATATGCAAAACATCAAAAAATGTGACCAGAAATTACTGTACAGGTAAAGGAAACCCTAATACAAATTAAGTTATTAACACAACATAGAGGGTTAAACAGAATGTGATAGGTAAAATAAACTAAGAAAAATTTAATCATGAACAACTTGTCTACAGCCAATATGCCTAAAAATTAATTCTTTCATAATTCCAACAAAATTAAACAATTCATTCACTTTGAATTCTTGACAGATTTGACCCCTATTAGAGAATAGTAAATCAGTTGAATTTGATGTAATAAGGACAGACCACGCCTATATTGATGCAAAACTGAACAAATTTCATAGTTTCAAATTCTGCATCAGTCATGATTGCATTTAATTCATTATGTATTTCAAATATATGAATATAAACCATAGACCGGCATAAAAGTTACCATATAGCTCCATAAGAACATATACAATAAAATCACACATACTCTGTTACAAAACAGGATATCAAACACTTTCTTTTCATGTCAACATGGCTAGCTGTTGCTTCTTCTACACAAAATGTCACTGCTTCAGTTTTAAAAATCACTTGACTTTGATACACCAGGACTTGAGCTTTAGTTCCTTGGATCACCAAAATTCACTTTACAATTTATCCATGAATTTGACTTGTCCATGACAAATATATGAATGTATGTCACAAATATTTTCATAATATTAACAAAAATAACAATTGATCCTCAATGGCGATAAAACGGTCGCCTTCGATGGCCATCTGGAGGAGGACGAGGAGGATATGGTCTCTTTGGTGGAGGTGGTCCATAAGGATCATCATAAAAATACGGATCTATTGGAGGTCCTCTAAATCTTTCCCCAGGATGCCTGAAAGGTCTTCTAGGGGGTCCATGGTAAAAATGTTCAGGAGGGGGTAGACGATGCGGGGTACGCACTCTAGGTGAGTGAGGATAAGGATGTCTCATAGCAGGTGGAGGCGGGGGATGACGATGTACTGTAGATCTCACATTGTTCCTCTCTTCAAATTGACTCTCCTGTTCACTATGCTCCATAGGGCATTCCATAGAAATATCTTCAGAAAAATCGTCCTGATTTGGCTCAGGTTCTATGTGTCTTACAACTGACTGACGACGTAATCCATCCACAATTTGTCTCCCAGGTTTAGGTTCATGGCTTCCTACAGTAGAAATGGTTTGGATACTTTCAACCTGTTGTACATTATTGTCTTCTTGTGGAGTGAGACAGGTCAAATTTGGACGACTTTTATCATAACTATACATGTTTCCATGACTTAATTTTTCACTGAAGTCCTCTATATCTTCCGAAGGATCCCTTTCATCAGAGCCTAATGCTTCAATATAATGTGTTTGTGAGAAAGTTGGATCATCATTGTACGATTCACTAAGTGGAATGACTACAGCACCAGAACTGTTGGACCTAGAATATGACACATTATTGTGTCCTGAATTGTATGCTTTGATTGGTGAGTTAGTGAGAAAAGAAGCAGTGGGCTTGAAATTTGTCAAGAAGGAATCATTTGCAAAATGTGGTATACTTCTAAAGGGATCATTAGAACTAGCTGCTCCTGAAGATTCAGAGGTAAATCCTTCCCCAGTTACTATTTGATTTAATATGTCATCAAGTCCACTGTCAGATGATGTAGGTTGTGGCTGGGTTAAGGGTGGAGGAGGGGGAGGAGGAGCACTAAATGCAGAATGTAAATTGGAGAAGATAGGAGTTTGTGATAAAACTTCAGGACTAGGAGTGGTAAGGCCTGCAGGAATAATGTTGTGTTGGGATGCCCCAGACACAGATTGAATAGGATAGACATCAGGTGATGGAGGAGCCATTTGCTGATGAGAGTACACATTGGATGAGAAAATTGGTGGAGCTCCTAGGTAAACATCTGTTGAAGAATTGGATGGCAAGTTTTGATGGCCAGGATAAACAAGAGGTGAAGCAGGAGGATGAGTTACTGTGTGCTGGGAATACATGTCAGAATTTGTTGGCTGCACTGAATATACACTAGATAGAATAGTTCCTTGCTGCCCTAAATATGCACTTGATGATGTTGGTGGTATTGCTGCTATGGGGTACATCTCTGGCGATGTTGGTTGACTAGCTAACAACATGTGAGGAGGCAGCACAGGTGCATGCTGTTCTTTCTGTGCCAGACTTAGAGGATACTGGGGATTTATTCCAGGGTTTGGTATCTCTGGAGAAGGAGATTGTTGGACAGCATCAGATAGTCCTTTTGCAGCATTCACATCAAGAGCTGGTGGTAAATTTAGTACCGATGTAGAGAGATTTTGGTTGACAATAGATGATACTACTTGTGGAGTTAAGGTTGCCTGAACTGAGATTTTACTAGCTGTATCTTGACCAACTGCAGTATTAGTTGACACTTCTGGAGAATAACCAGAGAAAGAAGGAATATTACTGGGTTGATTCTGAGAGTTTGATTGGCTTTCATTCCAGGACCATTCTTTGGTTGTAAATGGCACTTCTGGAGCAACTTTCTGATCAGTTTCATCATTAGTTCCCTTATTGTTCTCAAATTCCGACTTCACAGTGCTTGTCAGTAAAGATAAATTTTGTAAGAAACTTGCTCCTGAAGCTGGAACGGCAGAATTTGTTTTTGAAAGTAATTTTGTTAAAAAGTCTATAGGGTTTTCTTTCTGAACTACAGTTTCCACAGTTTCGTCTTGTACTGGAGTGGAACAACCTTCATCACCAGAGTCCTCCTTGCTACTTCTATTGGAGATTGACTTCTTATCCTCTTGACTTACTACACTTACAACACTTCGTAGTCGTGAATTAGACTTTTTATGAGATTTTTCACTAGTTCTGTCTTTATGTTTTGCTTTAGAATGTTCTTTGACTGAAGTGAAAACTTTGTCTGGAACAGGTGCAATGACTGGGGCAGGCACTCCATGAGGAGGAAAAATGCCCGGAGAAGCCACAATGGGAGTAAAACCACCGATAAGAGTATTGGATACTCCAGAAGGATCAGGAATTATGTTAGGAGCTGGTACTCCAGTAGGCACAATTGGTTTCAGGTCTGAAATAGAAGAGATATAAAAATCATTTCAATCAACACAATGAAATATCTTTGTGATAACCAACTTCATAAATCACTGGACTGGTTATATGGACTATGGACTAAGGCCAGAAAAAAAAATCAGATCAATGTATTCTGCAAAGAAGCATAGATGGTGACGAGGTACTATGGACTGAAAAGTGGAGTGAAAGTACATGTATACTTATTTTTTCTCCCTTGAGTAAATGAACAAAGGCTAAATTTTTCCTATGGGCTGAAATAACCATTTCATTTTTAATATTTGACAGTGTCCAATCCAAATAAAGAGAATGTTTTTACCAAAGTGTTAGTTACACTTACTCATTGTATTCACAGCAGGTACATTAATAGGGGCTACAGGAGCTACACTTTTTGTACTTCTGAACCTCTTATTGTGACTTGCTCTAGGATCATTAGCAGCTGTAATAATAATCATCAATTACATGGAAATAATTCATTTATTAGTGTTTATTATCAAAGGAGATTGCAATGCAAGGCAAATAGTGTCACATTGAAAAAAAAATGGTAATGTGGAGTTCTAATCTTATTTGCCGTTTTAAGAGTCTTTATTATTCCAGTCAATCCAGCTGAAAAATGGTATATGGTATAATCATGTTGACATGGTTAGCATAGTACTCAATTACCACAATTGCAGCAAGGGGTCACACTCTCTTTAAATTAAAAAGATAGTGAGCTATGTCCAGTTACACTCTAAAAGGCATATTAAAACCAAGAAGCTCACCTCGTTTCTGTTTCATCTCATCATCAGAATCAATGTCCATATCTAAAGGATCTGCATAATCATTGGGATCTTCCTGAGGAGGGGTTGGCTCAGGTGATGGTGCATCTAGTAAACCGGTAGGTGATGGTATTGGACTTGGAGTAGCCGGGAACTTATTCTTTATGTCCTCCACTTTCTTTTTCATATTATTGATTCGGGTGCCAAAATTTCTGTAAGCCTGGAAGATTTTTAATTTCAAATTAAAGAAAATAGTATCAAACATGTGCCATTTGCGAAACAAATACTTGCCTTTATTGACAACAGAGTTCTCGTGAGACAAGAGACCAATATATACTCACACTTACAAATATTTTGGCTTCTTAATAAAGACATTAACAACAATAGACAAATATATACTCACATTTACAACTATTATGGCTTCTCTATAAAGACCATCACTCTTTAACAACAAGAGACAAATATATACTCACATTTACAACTATTATGGCTTCTCTATAAAGACCATCACTCTTTAACAACAAGAGACAAATATATACTCACATTTACAACTATTTTGGCTTCTTTATAAAGACCATCACTCATTAACAACAAGACACAAATATATACTCGCATTTACAACTATTTTGGCTTCTTTATAAAGACCATCACTCTTTATTAACAAGAGACAAAAATATACTCACATTTACAACTATTTTGGCTTCTTTATAAAGACCATCACTTTTTAACAACAGAGGACAAATATATACTCACATTTACAACTATTTGGGCTTCTTTATAAAGACCATCACTCTTTAACAAGACACAAAACTATACTCACATTTACAACTATTTTTGCTCCTTTATAAAGACCATCACTCATTAACAACAGAGGAAAAATATATACTCACATTTACAACTATTTTGGCTTCTTTATAAAGACCATCACTCTTTAACCACAAGACACAAATATATCCTAACATTTACAACTATTTTGGCTTCTTTATAAAGACTGTCACTCTTTAACCACAAGACACAAATATATCCTAACATTTACAAATATTTTGGCTTCTTAATAAAGACTTATCACTCATTAACAACAAGAGACAAATATATACTCGCATTTACAACTATTTTGGCTTCTTTATAAAGACCATCACTCTTTATTAACAAGAGACAAAAATATACTCACATTTACAACTATTTTGGCTTCTTTATAAAGACCATCACTCCTAAACAACAGAGGACAAATATATCCTAACATTTACAACTATGTTGGCTTCTTTATAAAGGCTTATCACTCATTAACAACAAGAGACAAATATATACTCACATTTACAACTATTTTGGCTTCTTTATAAAGACCATCACTCTTTAACAACAGAAGACAAATATATACTCACATATACAACTATTTTGGCTTCTTTATAAAGACCATCACTCTTTAACAACAGAGGACAAATATATACTCACATTTACAACTATTTTGGCTTCTTTATAAAGACCATCACTCTTTAACAAGACACAAAACTATACTCACATTTACAACTATTTTTGCTTCTTTATAAAGACCATCACTCATTAACAACGGAGGAAAAATATATACTCACATTAACAACTATTTTGGCTTCTTTATAAAGACCATCACTCTTTAACCACAAGACACAAATATATCCTAACATTTACAAATATTTTGGCTTCTTTATAAAGACCATCACTCATTAACAACAAGAGACAAATATATACTCACATTTACAACTATTTTGGCTTCTTTATAAAGACCATCACTCTTTATTAACAAGAGACAAAAATATACTCACATTTACAACTATTTTGGCTTCTTTATAAAGACCATCACTCTTTAACAACAGACGACAAATATATACTCACATATACAACTATTTTGGCTTCTTTATAAAGACCATCACTCTTTAACCACAAGACACAAAACTATACTCACATTTACAACTATTTTTGCTTCTTTATAAAGACCATCACTCTTTAACAACAAGACACAAATATATACTCACATTTACAACTATTTTGGCTTCTTTATAAAGACCATCACTCTTTAACAACAGAGGACAAATATATCCTAACATTTACAACTATTTTGGCTTCTTTATAAAGACCATCACTCTTTAACCACAAGACACAAATATATCCTAACATTTACAAATATTTTGGCTTCTTTATAAAGACCATCACTCTTTAACAACAAGACACAAAAATATACTCACATTTACAAATATTTTGGCTTCTTTATAAAGACCATCACTCATTAACAACAGAGGACAAATATATACTCACATTTACAACTATTTTGGCTTCTTTATAAAGACTGTCACTCTTTAACCACAAGACACAAATATATACTCACATTTACAAACATTTTGGCTTCTTTATAAAGACCATCACTCTTTAACAACAAGAGACAAATATATACTCACATTTACAACTATTTTTGCTTCTTTATAAAGACCATCACTCTTTGACAACAAGACACAAATATATACTCACATTA